AGGGCGACGCTCGGCGCGGGAGCCGGGGCGGGCGGGAGCGCCTGCCCGAAGGGCGGCAGGGCGTCGACGGGCGTCGGGCGCCAGCCGACCTGGTACAGCTCGTCCGTGAGCTGCACGTGCACGAGCGGGCCGGTGCAGTGCCAGATCTTGATGCCGTTGTCGACGCGCAGGCGCGGGGAGAGCGTCGCGGTGAGCAGGAAGCGGCCGTCCGGGGACCACTCGCAGTGCGACGTGTTCGGGGCGTCGATCGTGGTGACCTTCGCGAGCGTGCGCCGGTCGTACACGTTGATCTTCCCCGCCAGGTTGCCGAAGCCGGCGAGCGCGACGAGCCGGCCTTGCGGGTTGAAGGAGATGAAGTTCTGCGGGGCGGCGCCGAAGTCGTGCAGCGTGCGCACGCGCTGGTCGAAAATCATGGCCTTCGCGGGCATGACTACCGAAAGGCCGATGAGATGTTATCGGAGCAATCAGGAGACAAGACGCTCACAGCCGTAGACGACGCCGAACTCCTTCGAGTTTGGACTCCATGCAAAGTCGTGGATGGGACCCTCCTTGTCCAGCGTGACCCTGCAGTCAAAGTTGCCCGCCGCGCTGAGAAGATAGAGGCCCGTTTCGCCGTAATAGCTCTTGTTGGCCGCATCGACATCGGTCTGCGTGAGGATCAAGACCTGCGTGCCGAGCGTGTTCCATTTGATGGTCGCCCGGTCAGCCTTGTAAAAGGTCTTCTGGCCCGTGGGAGCACTGTTGAGGGACAGAAGGCCGAGCACGCGGATGATGGCCGGTGCACCCTGATTGACGAAGTGTCAATGGTTACTATATTGGTTAGTTGAATACAATTATGAACGCGCGCGCACCTTTTTCTCGCCGATGAACACGGCTACGGATGGGTTCAGCCCAGGGCTCAGGGTAATACTCTTGACGCCCTCAACCTTGAGCTTGTCGACGACACCCTTGGACCAGTCCGCCGGGTTGAAAACCTGTATCTCTTGTCCCGCTAACCGGATCGCGTGCGACTCGGAGATGGTGTACTGCACGTCCCAACCCTCCTGCGACTTCTGCGTGAACGACGCGAGCTCCTCGCCGGTGGACACGGAGAAGATGCGCAGGTTCTTGTGCTGAGAGCCATCGTCGAGTTTGACTGTGAAGAGGCGTGATCAGCGAGGTCGTGCGAGGCAGGTGCGACGTACCTGGCCGCTCCCATGTCGAGATATAAGTTCCTCGAGGGGAAAAGTTGATCTCGACCACGCCGGGAATCTGGAGCTGCTGTAGGAGCTGAGCGGATTCGGCTTGATAGATGAACACGCTGCTGACGTGTGAGCGGAGAACTCGGAGATGAGTTTTGGGGGCTCCACGTACCCCTCCGGGAGTGCCAGAGCGAAGAGACGACCATCGGAGCTGTACTGGTACGTCCTCGCCGCAGATTCCGGGGCCTTGAATGCTTCCAAGGGTGCGTAGTCTGGGGTTCCCCCAACGAGTCCAAGGCTCTTCTGGGCGCGGACTGCCGTCAAGTCAACAACAAAGACCGAAAGACCGGCAGGGCAGATGCAACTGACAAGCGTATTGCTGAGATGGTACAGCCATTTCAGCTGAGCGAGAGGATGGACGGCTGGGGAGGACGAGGGTGAAGCAAATGAATGCCTCACAGGAGGTGGACAACGGCTGTCCGAGCGTCGACGTTGGAGAAAAGTTGCGGCAAAGGCGAGGCTATATCTCTCCCCACTATCACGTGACTGAGCACAGCTTTCCGGCCCTTGATCGGAGGTAACACCTCGACCGTCGCCGCGATTAGATCTTCAACACGAACGAAATGTGGTATGTGGTCGACGGCAAATTTACATGCTTATGATCATGACTCAACGTCCAAGGATATTATCACACAATTTTGTCGCGCCGAAACGCATATATATATATATTCGAGTTTTTATCTGATTATCTCATACACTAACTACCTATGTACTTACGTCCTGGTCCGAATCGTGAACCAAACTATGGTAAAGAGACATCGTTCATAAATGCAAGGATACTGCGATGCTGAAGCTGCTCAAGAGCATAACGGGGGCATGGATAGATGGGGGTGAGGCGAAGATATTTCGAAGCGTGCGCAAGGCGGCGTGAATCCGCCACGGCCGCGGTGGTGATGACCATGGTGGTGACGGGCACCAGGACCAGGGCGAGTTGGTCCGCCGTGGGTTGCATCCCCATCGAATCCGCGGAAGAACGGGTGGAAGCGGTGGTGATGCGCGCCGCCCCGGCCGTGCATGCCCCGACCGCGTCCTCGAGTGTCGAAACCTTCACGAGGGCCTGGACCAAAGGGGAATCCGTGCGCATGATGGTGAGGAGGCATATCAGGCAGTACATGACCCGGACCATGGAATTCGTTGAAGGGCGCGTGAGGCGGGAACGGCGCGTGCTGATCCGGACCGAAGGGCGGTCGCCAGAAGGGTGCGGGTCCCCCGTGCGGCATGCCGAATGCTGGCGGCGCCGGGGGTTGTTGGAATGGCTCGTTGGGGCGCATGCGATGGAGGAGGTGCATGGATTGGTGCACGTGGTACCCGCCGCGTCCGCGTCCGCCGCCTCGTCCATGTCCTCCACGTCCTCTGCAGAACATGCCGTGGGCATGGCGGCCGAACATCATCTCGGCCCACAGCGCACGGGGATCATTATCGGTGTCGCGAGTACGGGGAGCGGCGTCGTCCTCGGCCATGCGGCGCGCTCCGTCGGCCATAACCTCATATACGACCGTCGTGACGGCGCTTCCACTGCGAGTGGTGCCCTCCGGCGGGGCATCGCCAGCAGCTGACTCCGACTCGTCATCGCTCGACTCGGACTCGATGTCAAGCTTCTCAATGCCTTCGTCCATCTCCATGAGATCTTCCTCGTTGAATTTCACGCCGTCATCATCAAGCGTCACAGAGCGTGCTCGGCTCTCTGTGCTGGCAGGCTCCTGACCGAGTTCGACGACGTTGAATAGGATGGTTTGACCTTTGGGAAGGGAAGTGAGATAGAAATCGGCGAGCTCTTCCTCAGAGTTGAGAGTGACCTCGTCGCCCTCCGAGTCGCGATACGTGACGCCCACGCTGGACGCGGGGATACTGTACAGATTTGCGAGCTTCTCCGCGAGTACGCTCCAGCGAGGGGGGCTGGAGAAGGTAGCGGTGCGAGTAGGAGAGTGAGTGTTGGTGAACTTGAAGTTGCAAGGCATTGCGAATATCCTGAACTGGATGTTGGAGAGCGGTATCCGAGCCTGCTTTTATAGCGCGAGCTCAGGTAACCTTCGGGCAACTTCATAGAGGGCACGGCGACGCCATAAGGCGGCCGACCGGCGGCCTCGTCTGCCTGCTCCTTCCGTTTGGAGCAGAAGATACCCATCGGCGGCCAGCGCGGGTTTATAGCGCGAGCTCAGGTAACCTTCGGGCAACTTCATAGAGGGCACGGCGACGCCATAAGGCGGCCGTCCGGCGGCCTCGTCTGCCTGCTCCTTCCGTTTGGAGCAGAAGATACCCATCGGCGGCCTGCGCGGGCGCCGTCGGGCGCCATTGGGCCTATGCACGCGGCGCCCTTTCCCCACGGGCGGAGGCCGTAGAGGTGCCATAACTCTCGTGCTGTGTTGGCTCGAGTCAGAAGGACATCCGGATCATGCCGATCTGAGGATTCCGATCAGCTGAAAGTCGCGGTTAGAGTAAGAGCAAGAGCTATCAGAGCGTGAACTTTTGATTCGGACATGAATAGGCGTAACGTCGAGAACGGTCATGTCGTAATGAGGTTTTCTGTAGAGTATTTTGGGTCTCGAAAAGTCCAAGTGGTCCAGTTCCCGAATCCTGGAGCGAACAAAGCGTCGTGGCATTGGCTCGGTCATCAACGGAGCCAGAGACAAACGCCCAAGCACAGCCGCCCCCTGTATGCTACGGGCGTTGATGCCCCGGACCTCGCTTTGATCTCATGCTACATCCATACTGGCGACGATAGCTCCTCTTAACGTCCTAATGCTATCGTCCGGCGTGCTCTATTTACCCTTGAAATACTCAATATGAGTCAGGAGAACGGGCTCTCTCAAGATGGAGTAGTATCTAGTACAGATCCGAGTCCTTGGGTGTACGTGCAATCGGAGACACAGGATACAGTCACCATTGGTGAATCACACCCATTATGGTCATACTCGAACTTCTTCTCATGAGTCATCTCCAGAGTTGAACGATAAGGAACTGGACATCTTGTCCTCGGTGATCATTGGGGATCACTTGCGGCGCGGCGACAGGGCAAATGATGTTTTGATATCTCGAGTAGAAGCGCCGAGGTTGATCGACAGCCTGTATCGTGTGAGATAGCGCGTCCATTCTCATTGCCATAGTATCCGACTCTTGTTTCAGGCCCTTACCAACACGACTATCTGGAACGACGGGACTGAGGTTGGGTTCCGCACTCAACTGAGTAAACTGATTGTGAAACTCGCTCGAACCTTCGATCACCTTCCCTCCTCCTTATTTGTCACGGTTGACTCGGTATCTCCCAACGCCGTCGCATTCGGCGGATTCGCGGACATATACGAAGGTGTCTACCACGGGAGAAGGGTCGCCCTGAAACGTCTACGCGTCTGGGACGGGACCCAGAAAGATGTACTGGTTGAAAAACTTTGCAGAGAGGTCATCAACTGGCACTATCTTCAACATTCCAATGTTCTCCCGTTTTTGGGCCTAGAAGCCAGTGACGTGTCAGTGATTGCACACACGTCTATGGTATCTCCATGGATGGAGAACGGGAATATGCTCAACTTCATCATCAAGGAGGATCTTCGACCGGCTGAGCTCAAGCGTTTGGTACGTTGCACTGAAGTCCGTCATCAATGCCCCGTGGCTGGACTGATAGCACGAACAGCTCTCGGAGACGGCGCAAGGGCTGCATTACCTCCACTCACAATCCATCGTACACGGTGATCTACGATGTGTAAGTCGGTTTGTGGACCAAAAATTGGACGTGTACTTATCGACGATCTTGTCAGAGCAATATTCTCATCGACACCGGGAAGCATGCGCAACTTGCAGATTTTGGACTGTCGCTAATGGCAGAGGGAACGGGCATAACCTCGAACGCCACCAGGACTACTGGATCATGGCGATGGAACGCGCCGGAATTATTCCTTGACGCTGTACGAAACACCCAAACCGATGTTTACGCTTTTGGCTGCCTTTGCTTGGAGGTATGCTGCCATTGTCACACGGCCTAGGCGATTCATCGATGAATCTGTAGGCATTCACACGGCAACACCCTTTCCCCGACATAGCATACGACCATCAAGTCGTTTTTGCGATAAGTAGAGGTCGACGTCTTACCAGGCCATCTCAGCTCGACCTCGGAGCATCTACGATTGATTCTATATGGGACCTTACCGATCAGTGTTGGGACTCGGATGCGGCTAGAAGACCTACCGCTAAGCAGGTATCCGAGGTAATGGTTGACATGCTGAGGCAGAGCCCGCTTGACGAGATCGCAACCGGGACTGCGCTGGTGCACCCTGAGTCCGTCGACTTCGGATGGGGAGCAGACGACATCCTTGAGATCGGTGAGTGATCACATGCTCCATGGTATACACATCTACTCATGATACTTTACTCTCACATGTTCAGCTATGGAATATGATCCAATCTTGTTCTTTACCGAGCTGGATATCCAAGTCAAATATGTCATCGTGGAAGCTCCATTGCGGCTCTGTATCACTCGTAGTGACGCAGGAAAGCTCATCGACTTCGTGTGCGAAGTGTGTTATATCCTATATGCCGTGCAATGGGAGTCTCATCTTGCGGCCCTAGATACTCCTTCACTCATTCCCACCGCCAAATCCAACGCAGAAGAAACACTTCATCGCGGTGCTGACCGAGTTGATACACCACTCTCGCCATTTACCTGCCGCACTTTGCGTCCGCGGAATCCAGCGCACTCCGGAGTACCCGCGTTCCGGAATATGGGCAGATATCCACAAAGGCCTGCTACAGAGTCGCGTGGTGGCACTGAAACGGTACTCGGATTACCACACGACGAAGAAGGTCGCGCCTCCTACAACATTCGCGCGTCTGTATTTCGGCGCTAAATATTTCCACAGCGATTCATCCATGCTATGCTCGTATGGAAAGCCGCCGAACATCCTCACGTTTTGCCTCTCACCGGGCTGGATGTTGGTACGTTCGACCCCGCGGTATGGACAGTAACCGTCACACCTTGGATGAACAATGGCAACTTGGTCGAGTACATCGACAGACAGAGAGTCGGGAATGCGAAGATTCACAGATTGGTGCAGTCATCGTCTTCGTTACCAGGCATCGTCGGCTGAACAATAAACCAGCTCCTGGAGGCGGCCGAAGCACTCCAGTATCTGCATTCAGAATCCATCGTTCATGGAAACCTTCGCGGTGTGCGTTGATGTAGCTTTGACTGATAACGAAACTAAATCACGCCGATACAGTGGTACATATACGTGGATCGCTGGAAGCACGCACGCTTAGCAGGGTTCGATTTTGCCGCTATCGTCGGCGACGGTAGCCCGCAAAGAAGGACCGCACAGCTAGCCTGCGAGTGGACAGCACCGGAAGCATTTCTTCCTGAGTTCAGGCAATATACCATCGCCAGCGACGTTTGGTCATTTGCATGCACATGTCTCGAGGCGAGCATGACCCACAGTTTAATCATTGACTGATCTGACAAGCTTCTTAGGCATTCACGCTATTGGCCCCTTTCCCCAACCTTGACAGCGAGTACGAAGTTATAAGGCATCTGACGCGAGGAGGAAAGCCGGAAAGACCCGCCGCGCCATATGTCCTTCGGCCCCACGCCGAACTCATATCTGATCGACTTTGGCGCTTGCTGGAGCTGTGCTGGGCAACGGAACCGGCGATGCGACCCTCAATGAGCTTTGTTGTCGACGCTCTCGAAGATATAGGCGGAGATTGGATCCGGGTACAGGATGTGGTACCTCGAAGGAGTGCGAGTGTCAGAGGAGGTATTGCCACGCCGACATCATAAGTGAGCTCGCGAACCAGTGACCACCACTGTAACAGTGGTCGTCTACGCCCAGTGTATGTGCCTTTTGCCTGTGCAGTATGTATTTGTGTGCTGTATCTACTACACGGTGTCTATCGCTGTGATAAGAAATGCGCAACTCGCATCGACCAGCCTCCAACGTATATGAGGCCCCGCCAGTCGCCGCGCCTGCAATCCATTCATAACAAGGCGATAGCCATACAGAAAAAAAGAGCTTAGCACTCACCGAGCTACACAAAGGTCGAGTCGAAGATACTCCAAGACAAACTCAGGCTTGCAGATCGATATGTAATGGCTTGTTCTTGACAGGAGATGGTTCGCCATAAGCCAGGGATTGGCATGGGTTGGCGATGTTTACTCTTCTGTCCACGGCGGCTCGGGTGTCTACCCCGGCAGGCTTTTCCCTGGATGAATCCGGATATGATCCGTATCCATCCGCCGAAACATTCACGGGTCAATATCTGCGCGGATTCAATCCGTGCGGATACCGCGGATTGTGACATCCATACGGATACTAGGTATGTACGCTAGATTACATCGAATCTGAGGGTCTATGTATGGAGTGTAGAGTAGATGCGACATGTAAGGTCTATAGTATAGTGAATCTAAGGGGAGTTCACGGAGATTGAGTGATAAGTCACCCTCTCAGTGGTTGTGACGTGTCGTCTACGAGTCGTGTAGTCTCTTCGAGATCAAACCAAGGAGCCTCTACCCAGGAACCTACGGCAACTCTAGCACGCAGGCTCTGCAACTGGATTGCGTACCAATGATTTCCGAGTCAGGTTTGCCCCAAACCTGTTCAGTACTCTCGCTGTATAGGCCAGATTTTGTCCGCTTTCTCCTCTTATGTGACGGCTCGACAGTTGCCTGTTTGTCATTCTCGTCAGTCTGGGAGTGTTGCCGTGATAATGCGTCGGAAGCTCGTTTGGATGAGAATTGCGAAGAAGAGCTTGGTGATGGCGAAAGTGCATGGGATAATGATACAGGCGATTCAGGAGGTGAATTCCTTGACATAGACAGGTCCAGGGTGGACCAATGACTGTCGTTCACAATGCTTTCGTAGGTACAAGTGAACAGTCAGAGAGTGCACGGGACACCAGAAACCCGAGTTGAACACGGATGGTACGATATCAGCGCGACACCGTAATCCGTGAGAACTAATCCGATCCGAATTGTATCCGTGCGAAACGGTTCGTATCCGCGGTTATCCACGGATCAGGCTCCTAATACCATCCGCTCGTACCGTGTCTCGCTCCTCAATCCTATTTGCGTGGGCAAGGCTGAATCCGAGAGGGATGGGAGTTAGTATCCATATTAAGACATGTATTATGTCAGATCCAAATTGGGATTAGGGACCTTCCTTTTATATCGGCGTAAGTGAGGAGCGGACACGGTAGAGCGGCTGGCCAAACTCGACATTTCAAATTACGGCACAACTCGGCACACCTCAGTTTCTCAGCAACACTCAACCTAGGGCTTGGATTATTCTGCACAGCGAAATAGACCCACTGCACTTTGCCGCCACCACGCTGCCACCACCACCACCACCACCACCACTAACAACAACAACACCCTTCAGTCCGCCTGCCTCTAATCGTTGTCGTATCCGATCTTCCTCGCCGCCTCCGGGTCATCCATGTTCTCCAGTGCGGCCGCAGCCCTCCGCGCGTGGTCGTCCATATCCAAGAATCCAAGAATCGCTTGCTCTGGCCCGCTTTCTTATCGCGCTCTCGTCCCCGCTCGCGATCGGGATCGACGTACAGGTACTGTTCCCGTCGGCGATCCATGAGAACAGAGGGACATGGTTGAATACAACGCTTGTCAGACGATGCTCCGCGGGCTCTACGAGCTCGGCATCCCTGGCAAAGTGGAGGAGTTCACCGCGTACCGGATTTTAATGCTGCTCCACGGTCAAAACCGCAGCGGTGTGTTGTACTTGTTCATGATATGACCTCCACTGACTCGAGCAAATGTCCAGAATTAACATTGTACGTAGGTCAATTGTTCGCAGTGAACTCGCTGCACATGGCCTGGCAGCGGCTCTCGGACTTATCGGCATCATCGGCATCGTCGTCCACATCCTGCACCGACGCGCTAGGATGGGCTTGCACCTAACTGCCCCGCCAGGGTCGATCGTGGCAATCATCTCGCTCACCTCGCGCTCCGGCTTCGGTGATCTTCTCCTGCCCTACGACGACGTCGACACCATCCGGCACAAGCTTGACGGGCTCCGGTTCAGGCTCGACAAGCGGACGGGCGCAATCGTGGTCGACGGCGCGGAGAGCGACGAGGCCGAGTCGGGCGAGAGGTACCGGTAGTGCAGCTGCAGCGAGTTGGTGGAGCCGAGCGAGGAGGACGAGACGCCGCTGCCGTGGCGGAGGTGGGCGACCGCGGGCGGAACGGCGGCAGCCGTAGCCGCCGCGCCGGGGAAGGCGGTCTGCACCCAGTCGGACGCCATCCCCTGACCTTGGACCTGCGCCTGACTCGGTACGCCGAAGGACGTCGCGTACTGTTGCTGTTGCTGTTGTTGCTGCTGTTGCTGCGCATAAATCTCATCCTCCGAATCGACGTCGGCCTCGTCCGCACGCGGGTCCTCCGGCTCGTGCGCATACACCCCGTTGTCGACGTGCGCGACGCCCTCCGCATCCGCACGCGCGTGCGTCCTCGCGTGCTGCGCCAGGTTATCCGCGCGCGCGAGCCGGCGGTCCTGTCTCCGCTGTCCTCACTCCAGACAGGACAGATCAACAGCTATATCATATGTCAATACACTTGGCAGTCAAATCCCGGGGAGCACTTTTGACCCTGGAGCGTGGATGTATCATGCATTTGACGGTATATTCATCGCGAAACTAAAACTACGAAAAGAGCAAGAAGATTAATGTTAGCCGAGACCCTATGTTGGGTGGTAGCGAGGTGTGCCGAGCTCCTGCCGTAATTTGAAATGTCGAGTTTGGCCAGCCGCTCTACCGTGTCCGCTCCTCACTTACGCCGATATAAAAGGAAACTCGCTTAAGGGCTCTGACATAATCCAGTGCTGCACATGATCATCACTTCCCTTCTCCCTTTCGGAATCAGCCTCGCCCGCGCAAGTAGGATTGAGGAGCGAGACACGGTACGAGCGGATGGTATTAGGAGCCTGTCCACGGATTAGTCTATCCAAGGACAACCCTGTACCCCGGAGATGCCCACCTCACAGCCGTGCTGTGGAACATAAGTTTAAATTTCCGACCGTGGGACGCCGTTTGCATTCGCGTCTCGCATTCCAACCTCAGTCACCGCGACCAGGACCTGCGCAGGATCTGGCCCTATCAGCGATGGTGAAGTCAAGACCATGCACGATTGTCATCAAGCTGGGTACGAACACACTCTCAGCGATCTGGACAACCTAGACCAACGTCGATGTCTAAGGGTCGTCCTCTATCGTCCATGAGAAGACTCATCAGCCTCTTCTGTCGACCTTGTCGGCTCTCGTGGAAACCGTAGTGCACCTTCGTGCTGCTGGGCATAAGGTGGTGCTGGTCAGCTCGGGTGCCATCGCTGTTGGACTCAAGAGGATGGACATGCCGAGCAGACCGAAGAGCCTAGCAGGGAAGCAGGTGAGTTATATCGTCCCTGACATTAGTGCGATACTGTATTTATTCTCATGCTAGCTTGCAGGCTCTCGCTGCGGTTGGTCAAGGACGCCTCATTGCGCTTTGGGACAACCTATTTGGCCAATTTGAACAGCCCATAGCGCAAGTCTTGTTGACGAGAGGCGATATCGCTGATGTACGTACTGGATATTGGCTCAAGCTATACCGACCTAACTTCCGCTCTAGCGAACTCGATATCTAAACGCAGCCAACACCTTCACAGAACTTCTGTCCATGGGTGTCGTCCCGATAGTCAACGAGAACGACACGGTTTCTGTCAGCGTACGTTTCACTTCCAATCAGTACCGCTCTCGTTAAATCAATCGCATATTGCATAGGAAATCAAATTTGGCGACAATGACACTCTGTCGGCCATAACATCCGCAATGATCCATGCCGATTACCTCTTCCTCCTCACCGACGTCGACGGATTATACACCTCCAATCCGCGAAGGGACCCAAACGCGCGCCAGATAGAGGTCGTGGAGTCCATCAGCGCGATCCGCAAACAAGGTCAGTTACCATATCCTCCATATACCTACCAGACATCCATCGTGTTATAGTGAGCACATCGACGCTTGGATCGAGCCTTGGCACAGGCGGCATGGAGACCAAAATCATCGCAGCTGAAATCGCGACGGCAGCAGGCGTCGCAACAGTCATCACCTCCTCAAAACGCCCCCACGCGATCTTCGACATCATCGAATACAACCACTCGCTAGCCCCTTTCTCCCCGACTGCCCCGTTTCCATCTACCCCGTCTTCGCTCAGCGCTGGCTCTGGTTCAGAAGCGAGTGAGCTTCCAACCCCAACTCCAAAAACCGTTAACCTGCCGCATCCCGACTCTGCGCCGGCATCCGGCACTGTCACCCCTGCCCGCCCCCCTCACACGCTATTCACGCCTTCTCCTGCCCCACTCCGGGACCTCAAATCGTGGACGTCGCACACGCTCTACCCGTCGGGCAGCGTCATCATCGACGCCGGCGCACACGCCGTGCTGTCGCGAAGAGAATCCGGCGGGCGCTTGCTGCCCGTAGGCGTCGTAGGCGTCGAGGGGGCTTTTGCGGCTGGACAGGCGGTGAGGATCGTAGTAAGGAGACAGGAAGGAGAACACGAGGGAGCCAACCTCACGGTTTCGTCGACAACAAGAAGGTCGACGGTGGACAGCGTCAGTGAGCCCCCGACGCCCGTCATCCAAGCGGCGGCATCTATGAGCTCTTCGATCGTTTCCTTGGAGCCTTTGTCGTCATCTCTAGAGTCGCTTGCCAACATACCGTCTTCCAACACCCTCAAGACGGTGGTCGAGAGCACCACCACCACATTCACGCAGGGAGAAGGAAGCGTAGTAACCGAAGAACCTGATGAGCAAGACTGGCAATATCTCGAAGTCGGTCGAGGCCTCGCCAATTACAACTCGGAGCAGATATCGAGAGTCAAGGGTCTCAAGAGGTCGGTCCAGCCTGCTTCCTTCCATTGTGACTCAGCCTTACGATCTCCTGTTGCTTGACAGCTCCTACATCCCGCAACTTCTAGGGTATGCAGATTCAGAGTACGTCGTCGAAAACATAACCATTCGTGTTCCGCCCTAGAGAGGTCTAGGGGCGAATCTTGGTTGCGTCAGAGTACTTGCCTGTTTTCCTCGCTTTCGTGCAATATATCAGAAGGATCGACTGTGCGATTAACTGCGAGGCAGGAAGACAGGGATATAAGTTATGCAAGGTATTAAAAGAGGTAGTGAAGATAATTCAGTGTCTACGATCGAGGCTCCATCCCCGTATATATCACCCTCCTTGTGGAGCTCGCACGTCGGCCCCCAATTTCGACACGATCTCGAAACACACGACGAGCAGAAGCTGTCCTACAAGATCGACGAGCGCCGAGTGTATCGGCATCGCGTACATGTCCGGGTCAAGATTCTTCGACCACAGAAAATTCGTGAGCACCTGTGCGAGAAGCAAAGATACCGAAACCTGCATGTCCAGTTTCAGGAGTTGAAGGGTCCGCGGAAGCGAGACAGCAGGACTACTCACGGCGATGCAGAAGAAAAGCACCGAGAAAGCCACGAACAGGACGGGCGGTCGCAGCCAGCCAAGGGCGCGGAGCGTCCCGAGGAACACAAGCTCGACCGGGAACGTTACCAGGAGCAGCGTGAGCATCACCAGCCGCGGGCTAGGCTGCCGAGTGCCCAGTTTCGACGACGTGGGAAGCGCACCTGCCGACGCGGCGGCAGCGTGCAATGCAGTCGATAGCCGCGAGACGAACACGGAGCCCGTGCTACCGGGAAGGCCTGCGCCAACCAGAATAAGCATCGGGAAGGGAGCTGCCGCCGGCACAGTAGCAACTCACCGCTGATCACCACCGCCAACAGCGCGAAACCTTCATATCTGCTGACGAAGAGGTCGAGCACTATACCGGACCCGCTGCTAATCACCATCGCCCCGAATAAGGGCGACCAACCCTGTCCGAGAAGGTGCTTGACAGAGTCGTTCCGGCGCGTGAATCCGACGCACGCGCTTGCGGAGAGCATGAGTAATATGGTGACCACGAATGGGAAAGGCGTGTTGATGACGAAGATGAAGATCGATGAGACCAGACCGAGGAGACAGAGCGTGACAAGATCTCCAAGACATGCTGCTATTGGTGGTGCAATGTTGTCTGCGAAGAGGTGTAAGCCGCTGATCCGGTGATCTCTTCTGCGGAACCTACCTGGATCCCGGCCGAATCGCCTACAGAGCACCACGAGGCCGCACATGAAGGAGCCCAGGATGAGACTTGACAGGCACGCAGCCGACATAGAAGTGGAGGTCACCATCACGTATCTGGGCCACGGTTGAGTACGCGCGTCGAAGCAGAGTGATTGACTCCGGACCTACTCCGCCAGGCCGGACCTCGGGTGGCCGTCGTTGATCGGCCTTTGGCCAGGTCGCGGGACTCGTGCAAACAGAGGCATGAACAAGGTCGCGTTGGTGGACACATCCGGGTCAGGGATGGCCAGCGTATCATTTGAGGTGCCGGGAAGCGTGACGGGAGGATCAACCGCGGGCATGACGAAGCTGAGAAGGAACGCTACGTTTGCCGCCACAAATGATACCACAGTCGCTTGCACCTGGAGTAGGGTGAGGTTTCCCAGTATGAGCGACCTTCGAGCGGCGGGAGAATCTAGCTCGCCCATGTTGGCCGCGGTTCCTAAACGCGCAGACAGGTTCATCTCGAGGTTACCCTTGAGGTTCAGGATCACGGGAATGATCATAAGCAGTTCGTTCACGCGTTTCATGGCCCGCCAATGCTATTCGTCCAGTAAGTCAGCTATACCCCACCGCGTGTGAAGGACCGGATGGAACGTACTGCAACATGGTCCAGCAGCTCGCCGGTAAACAGCAGGCCCAGGGTAGTAAGCAGGAGGGTAGGGGCTGTCTATCGATTGCCTGAGTCGTGCATCTAGTGGGCGAACTGTACGAGGTAGACGGCTTACCTCGATCACGATCCCTTTCACTTGCAGCCATTTGCCCGTGTCATCCTCGTCCAACCGTTCCCGCCCGCGGGGTCGATCATGAGACGCACGAGAGCCCAGCAAGGCACGGGCACCTTCGTCTTCGTCTTCGTCGTCTTCGTCGTTCTCTTCATGTTCGTACTTCACGTGGTGGCTATGGCCGTTCTGCTCAGGTCGCGGTGTGACAGCAACCTCCTCCATGTGGATCATCTCGATGTCATGTTCCGAAGATGCGCGAGTCGAAGGAGGCGAAGGAAATTCAAGCGAAGACATCAATCCAGACAGCGCCGGCCAGCTCGACGTGTTGGTCCAAAGGAAAGGTGCAGTGGCACAGGATTAACGGTCAATTCAAATCAGAGTGATGGCTGTGCCAGCGTTAGTCGCGATTAGGCGCTGGGTGCGGCAAGCGGCAAACGGCGATTGCGGGAGCTCGGGAGAAAGAACTCGGCACCGGGTCGGCAGGTTCATCGTTTCACGACATGACCCCGACTTTCAAGTACCAGCACGAGGACGGCGTTCTCCCCCACTCACACAGTCTCCGATACGACCTCTCATGTCCCAGCGACGAACCGATGGCGCGGTCAGTGGAGAGAAGGATGGCTCCATGACTCCTAGACATTCAGCGGATGCGGCAGACGAGGCTCCAACCCGTTCATGCAGTCCTCCGGCGAAAGCAGACGAGGCGCCCTATAGCATCTTCACCACGAGGGAGAAGTGGACAATAGTCGCACTGACATCCTACGCCGCCCTCTTCAGGCACGTTCCTTATCTTCGACTCGTGGGGTTATGTTCATAACAATGTTCTGATTTAGTCCGCTGACGGCCAATATATACTTCCCTGCTATACCAACGCTTGCGAAGGCATTCCATACGAGCACGGAGAATATCAACGTGACAGTCACTGTGTACATGGTTATGCAAGGAGTGGGTGAGTATCGTTCTGGCATCTTCAGCTTCCCGAGCTAATGCTCGCTTCCCGCAGCCCCAATGATATGGTGCGGCCATCCCTGTTATTCCCGTGATTCATCTTCTGACGTTCTCGCGCAGGGGCACACTTGCCGATCGATGGGGCAGAAGACCTATGTTTCTGGGCTGCATGCTCTTGTTGTGCCTGTCATGTGTTGGGCTCGCATTAGTCCCCACCAACGCGTATTGGCTTCTCGTGGTGCTCAGATTGGTTCAGGCGGGAGGTTCAGCAAGCACCGTTGCCCTAGGTATGTCATTGGCGCGTCTACACTGAATCGACCATTACTGAGTTTCTTCCCCAGCCGCGGGAGTGGTCAGCGACATCGCTACGGCAGCGGAGAGGGGCGGCTTCTTTGGGATTTCTGGGTTGGGATCGCTGGTGGGCAAGTTACTGTGCTGAGTCTGTGAGGCGCTGAAATATTGCTTCCCGAACAGCTTGGTCCGTGTATTGGACCCGTTATCGGAGGCGCACTCACACAGCACTTCGGATGGAGGTTAGTGAATACATGCCGGTTGAAGGGACATGGCAGCTAAAAACTCCTCACAGAGCGATATTCTGGTTTCTTTGTATAGCATCTGGCGTCTCGCTCATCTTTTTCGCTGCGTGCGCATGTTCATATCTGCTTCGTATGTTTGCTTCAACTGACCTTACGGCTGTCAGTGTTCTGCCTGAGACCCTTCGGTCGATAGTTGGAAACGGCAGTATACCCCCTCCTCGCATCTATAAGACGCCTGTGACCCTGATTGGCGGACGGTACGCGCCAGACGCCGTCAAGCTCCCTCCCGGAAAGCGCTTCGTCAACCCCTTCCGACTATTCCTCTATCCCGACCTGGACGTACTCCTCGTGTTCTTCGGCCTGATCTACGCCGTTTTCTATGGTGTCACCGCGACCCTGTCGTCGCTCTTTGCGGACGCGTACCCCTTCCTCGACGAGACCGACCTCGGCCTGCTATTCCTTGCAATCGGCGGCGGGATGATCGTGGGCACGGGTACTATGGGAAAGATACTCGATTGGGAGTATCGACGTATCCGCGACGGGCTCGTTCGCAAGTACGTGGCAGACGGCGGAGAGAAGGTGGACGTTGCCGAGGCTGAAGCGGAAGTGACGAAGGAGGAGAACTTCCCGATCGAGAAAGCTCGCTTGCGGCTGATACCTATCCTGCTCACCATATACGTCGCCTGCCTTCTTGGTTACGGGTGGTGCCTGCAAGAGCAGGTGTCCATCGCCGTTCCTTTGATTCTCCAATTTATCAGTGAGTCTCGCTTTCGACGCGCGCGGCACCGAGAGCTTATACACTTTCAGTCGGTTACGTGTGTACCGCGATTATGAACGACATATCAACGCTTATGCTAGATCTGACTCCCGGGCGAGGGTCCTCTGTTACCGCTTGCGTACGTGTATCCACCCTCAATCATACCTCCTATCACTAACGTTCTCGACAGAACAACCTCGTGCGGTGCTCACTCGGCGCCATCGCTGTCTCCATTATGGACCCGATATTGAAGGCGCTTCGTCCGGGTTGGACGTATGTCTTGCTGGCGGGGATATGCGTCGTGGCATCTCCAGCTCTGTGGGTTGTGCTGCGGTGGGGGCCAATGTGGCGAGCGAAGCGCAGGGCCCAGCTGCAGAGTAACTCCCAGACGCAATGAACGCTGAACACAGCTTGACTTAGACTATCGCACGTGTATCTGTATGTTTTCTCGCAATTCCCCCGGTTTCATGCTCGTTAAAAATGATCGTCCCCTTGAACGTGATAGCTTCGGAACCAAGCGGTGCAAATTCGTCGCAGCTCATTGGCTGGGATTCGACGCCCCAACGTGATCAGCTACTGAAACAGCACATGACTCGTGCACGCCCGACATGAACGCGCGAAGCAAATCCTTCAATCCTTGGTTCAGACCATCTGTGGGAACAAAATCGGCAACGATGCGCTTCTTCGCCTGCCTTCGCTCCCGGTGTTCCCGCATCGCCTGTTATTGACCTTATAAGCCAAAATGTGGTCCTCGCTGTTGGACATATTTCCAGAAAGCCTCTCATGTCTGACAAGCAGGGCAGGATAGACGACGCGAGCGATGGAAACGCTGAGCCGGCGAACATGTCTGAAAAATCAGATCGGGAGCACTCGTCGGACGACGCCCGGACTCACGCCGCTAGTCCTCCGGCCAAAGTGGAAAATGCGCCATATAGCGTATTCACGACCGTGGAAAAATAGGCGATAGTCGCACTCACTTCCTATGCCGCGCTTTTCAGGTGGGTTGACATCCTACGCTTGAAACCCGTCTCCTTCTGACTGTATATGAGCATATAGTCCGCTCACCGCCAACATATACCTTCCTGCGATACCCACGCTCGTGAAAGCCTTTCACACAAGTACAGAGAATATCAACCTGACGGTCACGGTATACATGGTCATGCAAGGAATATGTGAGTAATTGTTGCGCCTTTCCAGTCCATGCGCTCACGTGCTTTGCTCTAGCACCCATGATATGGTATGGTCAATCCTCAGCAAGCGGAGGGATCTGCTAGCTCACATGTCACTTTATTTGAGGGGAACTTCCGCAGACAGAGTGGGCAGGAGGCCTATGTTCTTGGGCTGCATGCTACTGCTATGTGTATCGTGTGTCGGACTAGCTCTGGTTCCCACGAACGCATACTGGCTCCTCATCTTGCTCAGGCTTTTCCAAGCCGGTGGGTCAGCGAGTACTGTCGCACTAGGTATGATTGTAACTCGATCAGTTTACCATGATGACTCACACGGAGATTTTACAGCCGCTGGGGTGGTAAGCGATGTCGCCACACCCGCGGAGAGAGGTACATTTTTCGGTGTATCTGGCATGGGATCTTTGGTGAGTGTCTGTTTCGAGGCACCCTACCGACTCTGATATTTACCCCTCGATAGCTTGGACCGTGTATAGGGCCCGTGATCGGAGGTGCGCTCACCCAGCACTTCGGATGGAGGTGAAAAACTTGCATCGAATCAAGCAATGTGAATCTTAGGCGCTACAGGGCCATATTTTGGTTTCTCTGCATAGGATCTGGTGTATCACTTATATTGTTCATTCTGTGCGTATATTCGACTTGTGTGGAGCCTTGGCTGATGTTGAATGATGACAGCATCCTCCCGGAGACGCTCAGGTCGATGGTCGGCAACGGCAGTATACCTCCCCCTCGCATCTACAGGACGCCTATCAATCTGATAGGCGGCCGCTATGCCCCAGATGCCGTTGAACGTGCTCCGACCAAACGCTTCGCCAACCCCTTCGAATTATTCCTCTATCCTGATCTCGACTTCTTGCTCATTTTCTTCGCCCTCATCTATGCCGTGCTCTACGGAGTCGTCGCGTCCATGTCGTCGCTTTTCGCGGTGGCCTATCCATTTCTGGATGAGACAGACCTCGGTCTTCTCTTCCTCGCCATCGGTGGCGGCATGATCGTCGGGACGGCGACGATGGGCAAGGTTCTCGATTGGGAGTATCGTCGTATACGGGATGGCCTGGTTTGCAAATATCTGGCGGAGAAAGAGAACGGGGACGTCGCCCACATCAGGAAAAATCGGACTATCGAAAGAGTCGCTTATTGGGTACCGAAACCCTCTAAAGCTACTAAATGAGCACGTTTTAGTACGTTTTAGGAGGTTTTTAGCAAAGCCGGTTTTTCCTGATGCAAGCGCAGGCCGAAGTTACCAAGGAGGAGAACATCCCAATCGAGAAAGCGCGTCTTCGGCTAATCATATATGCTGGTTGCGTTCTTGGATACGGTTGGTGTCTGCAGGAAAGGGTGCACATATCCGTGCCTTTGATTTTGCTTTTCATCAGCGAGTCAATCGCGTGTATGATCTCTGCAAGAAGCTCATAGCACATAGTCGGCGCTGTGAATGTTGGGATCATGAACGATATCGGACTTCTCATGATCGATCTCGTGCCCGGAAGAGGATCCTCAGTGACAGCCTGCGTGCGTACTCCGATATCTATGTTTGAATATCGCAACTCATCACCACCTCCTTTCATTTTTATCAGAACAATCTCGTCCGATGTGCTCTTGGTGCTGCCCTTCGCCCGGGCTGGACATACGTACTTCTTGCAGGGATATGTGTCATCGCGTCTCCGCCGCTATGGGTGGGGTCCGGTGTGGCGAGCGAGGCGCAGGGCCCAGCGGCGAGGAAACTGACAATGAACTTGATACCGTCCTGGAGAGAATGCGGAGTACGCACCGTGACGGGTGACAATTACTTATTGCAAACGCTGAGATTAATCGGATTAATACCTCTTTGGCCAGCCGATGCCGCTACATGTACATTCAGTCGCTCATGGCTCGGAGTGCGACGGGCTTGCGCGACACCAGTCGAGTAGTATCGTCGCGACTTCGGTACTTCATGATACAAGTACACCGCTTTCTCCGGCTCTATTTTGGAAGATGAATAACACCCTTAGCAATGCCTTAGCACGTAGGTGCGAAAGTAACATTCAGGGGTAAGGGGCCACGACTCCCAGGCGCTTGATTAGGCGCCAAACCTCTTCGAGTCTTATCTCGGCCACGCGGCCCGGCGGCGAGCACCAGCCTCAACGTCGACCATGGTGCTGCGGTCGTTGGACGTATCGCTCGTATCTTGACCGCGTTCGCGATCATGTCTGCGATTCCCCTGCTGTCTCTGAGCACATCGTCTCCAGCACAATTCCTGGAAGTGTTGAGCTCGACGGGATTTCTGCATCTTTCCCTTGCGGACACTCCGGTCAAGCCTTCGGACGTCGCAGGCGCTTTCGCCATATCATCGTATCTGTACGATGCTCTTCCTCTGTCCGAGCGCCTTAAGTACCCCCGCGACAAAGATCCGGACTTCAACGGCTTAGCCCCCTTGGGCACGACGGCGCTCAACGCTGAAGGTGGCCAGAAGCGGGCAGACTGGAAGGAGGTGTTCGGATACGGTCGCTACTCCCCTCCCAAGACGCGCTCTGATCAAGAGCTGCCCGAGGGCGTGGACAGGGAGGCACTGGAGGGATTCCACGCCAAGTGCTACGAGCTCATGCTGATGCTGCTCGACAAGCTCTCCCTTGCATTCGACCTTCCTCCCGGCTTCTTCCGCGAACGCCATGCGCAGCGGGGACAGAGCGGGCTTACGCTGCTCAACTACCCCATCCCGCCATCTGACGCCGGCTTGGAGGACGACGATATACGGGCCGGGGCGCACAAGGACTGGGGATCGGTCACGCTGCTCTTCCAGGAGCCCGATGGCCAGCCGGGGCTCGAGATATTCCTCCCGGAGTCGCGCCCGAACTCGAACTCGGTCGAAGAGGGGAAGGTGAAGCTCATGTCGGAGGTCGACCTGGACGCGGGGACGTGGCACGCGGCTCCTATCGTTCCAGACACGGTCCTCGTCAATCTCGGGCTCATGATGGAAGCGTGGACGGGCGGGACATGCGTCGCGACGCTCCACCGCGTCGTGTTCCCGCCTGCCCCTACGCAAAAGAAACCGCGCCGGTCGATTGCGTACTTCGGAACCCCTGATCCTGAGGTGTCCCTGACTCCCGTCCAGCGCCGATCGGCGGAGGGAGAGGCCGCCGCCACCGCCCCTACGGTGAAGCAGTTTTTCGAGGAACGATTGAAGTTGGCGACGACCAGATCGCAGTATTGAGATTTCGATGGCGCTGGAGGTGAGATTCAATGTCGTTCGCGTGACACATCGGGCGTCTGATGATAGTAATCAGGCGTTGTCGGAAGGTTTTGTGGGCTGTATTCGTTCCGGCTTCTGACATCACGATCAAATACGTCGCCGTGTGATGAGTACGAACAAACTATCAAGATCTTTCGCCGATTTTGTCGAATTGCATGAAGGATGCCGGTTTTTCTTCGATGCTACTCACGGATCCGGACGATCCACTGGGGCATGTGCTATATGTCGAGGAAACGCTGAGATACACTACGTGTCACGTTCCATGCAGTACCATGTTGCTATGATCGGTACTTGCTCGGTATGTTTCAAATCAGATAATGCGTTGCGAACCATGTGGGCCGAATCTCATCTTGGCCAAAGCGAGCTTCAGTCGGGAAGAGGAGTGAGGTCATCGATCCCAGTCGTTTTGGCGTGATTCATGCCCAAAAGTGGATTTTTCACCGGACGCGCCTCGCGCGCGACCAAGATCGGGTTTTTTTTTTGTGCTTCGTTCATTGTTCGTCCAGGTCGGCCACGACCCGCCTCCTCGTACCTTCTTGTAGTTCAGCAGTCCAGACTCTGCATTCCGATGCGCGGCACCAGATGGTGTACCCCGCATGGTACTGCTTGATGCATCCGCGATAGGTCCACCCATGTCCACCCTTTCTCCACTCCTTCGAATTCCTACTTTTGTTGTGTATACTACGCCCGCGGCCAGTCAACTTCTCCGGCCTGCGTGCAAATTGTTGCGACATCCACCCACAAGAGGAATCCGTCAAGGTTATCGTGGGCGGTCCGGACACATCCATGTGCATTGCGCTCTTCCGACCGTGTGCTCTGTACACGCTTCCTGACAGTGGTACCTTCGGAGAGCCCGGTCTTCCTCGGGACCGGTGTATTACTCCAAATGCACAGGTTGGACGTCCGGCACATATGGTTTTCTTTCTCGGACGTTCTCGTCGACTCGATTGGTCCCGTGACGAGAAGGCAACGGTGCAGGCAAGGTGCGCGCAGTCTTGGGCCCAGGGCTCCGTCCGAGCTCAGTTGCTGTGGCTACACCACCGAGACCATAGAGGCATCCAAAACCGGGCATGTCTCATCGTACTTACGCCTCACCGCTCGATGGGGCTCAACCCCTGTTTCCCCGGAGTAACGTGCTATTCTTAGCTTTCGCTCCCTAACGATCACTTCCGTCGAAGGCGCATGATACGCCGTTATCCGAAGTGGTGCTCATCCAGGTTTCATCCTTGCTCATGGAGAGCCAGATCTAACTTAACTGAATGCTTGGCCCCGAGCAGCATCAAGACTCGAAGGACGTGCTGCTCGCGCGCACGCGGAGACACAACAAAAGTCGTTGCAATGACCTCAGCGCCCGATCTTCTTTGACACCCTGCGCATGAATATGTCTTATCAGAAGTGGTCTGCACTTCGGGATTCTGCAGCACCGCATGGCTAACTATGCGGCCTCCGGTGGAAGGCCCATGGATATCCCGGGACGGGAGGAGCATGTGGCGGCGCCTGCCCACGACGGTGCACTCGATGCGGACTGCCTCGATGCGTTCTTCTCGCTGACGACTTTGAGAACCCATCGCTGAGGCAGCGAGACATATAAATGGAGCGCGACAACCGACCCCTGTTCCTCAGGTTGAAGTCCACCTCCGGTTTCGACAGCCCCCTCGCACCGACTGTACTTGTCCTCTCTCGTACACCTCAACGTCGACATGCTTGCCACCGCTCTCCTCAGCTTCGCGCTCCTCGCAACCTCCGCGTTCGGTATCCCGACCGCCGCCGAGCGCAAGACTGCCCGCCTTGAGCGCCGCCGCCTCGGTGTGCACCAGTCGCGCCCCAAGGTGTCGTCCGAGAACCTCATCACCAACACCTCCCACGTCGAGTACTCCTCGAACTGGGCCGGTGCCGTCTTGAGCTCGTCTTCCGTACGTCGATTCGCACCTCGTCCTGCACGTCGGCGCGCTCAAACGTTATATCTCTTTGCAGGGCACGTACAAGTCGGTGACTGGCACCTTCGTCGTCCCCACCCCGTCCAAGCCCTCGGGCTCTCGCTCTGGCACTTACTCTGCTTCTGCCTGGGTCGGCATCGACGGTGACACCTGCGACACTGCCATCCTTCAGACCGGTCTCGACTTCACCATCTCCGGCAGCAGCGTATCCTACGATGGTAAGCACGCGCTTTCTCATTCCATTCACACTCCACGCTGATCTCGTGTTGAATAGCCTGGTACGAGTGGTACCCTGACTACGCCTACGACTTCTCCGGCATCAGCTTCAAGGCCGGCGACTCCGTCACCGTCACCGTCACCGCCTCCTCGACCAAGTCCGGCACGGCCGTGATCAAGAACAACACCACCGGCAAGTCCGTCTCGAAGACGATCTCCTCCTCCTCGGCGCTCTGCGAGCAGGACGCGGAGTGGATCGTCGAGGACTTCGAGTCGGGCGGCTCGCTCGTGCCCTTCGCCAACTTCGGCACCGTCACCTTCACCGGCGCGTCTGCGGGCCTGTCCTCCGGCACGACCACCCCGTCTGGCGCCACCCTCATCGACATCGAGCAGAGCAGCTCCGTCCTCACCTCCGTCTCCGTCTCCGGCTCCTCCGTCACCGTCAAGTACGTCTAAATGCCTCAATACCTCCTGGTGAAAAGAACGCGCGGGGGGGTCTAGTCACGAGCGAAAGAGAATCACGAGTTGTTTATTGGCATTGTATTTTGGAACCCGGACACGCAATGGAAACGATATGTTGTACAAATGACGCTTGGAGCCTCCCGAGATGCGCTTACCGCCGACATCACTCTGAGACATGCTATACGATCGCGGCTCCGCGGCTCCACCTTTCGACGAGGAGCGATGCGCGACGCAACGTCATCGAGTGCAGACAAGCTTAAGCTTACAGGTGCCTTGTTTCGGAAGGATCTTCCCTTGAGAGATGCGGGCGGGCGCGAGTTCGCGATGGAGTTTGGCGGCCGCACCTAAACCTGTCTGGGATCTTAGGTTTTGGCCTGAGGCTTCTTACACTCCCGCTCATGCCGCGGGCAGTCGCCAAGCCACCACTTTTCGCAGAGTTCACCCGCTGGCATCTCCCGAACATCGTTCCGGAAGTCGATGGAGCGGAGAGAGTGTGTAGCTCCATCCCAAGACGTGGCCCTATCTCGCGACCGGTGACAGGATTTGGGGCTATGTCGCAAGACCCGCTTTAATGCGGCATCGGTCAACTCGGTCGCACTTCTGTATTGGCCCAGGCTATTGAACCCGCTTGCGACCAACGTCTCATCAGACGTTCGATGAAGCTGCGTCGAGCGCATGTTCACAGCTTTGAAGCTGTCGCACACACGCACTGAGGAGGCGTGTATAGCTCGAAACATACATCTGGCACAGGTTGCTTGTTCCTCTCGCGTCCAGCAGGGTCCAATGCATTCGGGATGTTTGTTGTTGTACAGATTCGTGATATGATTGATACCTTGTATCCTCTAGTGCGGCTCCAATCAATAGACGGCCGTGCCGCTCTCGACCTCTACCCAATCCCCGAAGAGCAACGAGATGCTCTCGCCATTATGCGTGCGACGGATGCTCTCGGCGATGGTCGGGCTGATGTCCAGCGTGACGAGTTTCTTAATCGTCGAAGCGTGCTCCTTCTGCGGCACGGAGTTGGTGACCTGCCAAGCCCCATGTTTCAGCGCGGACGCGAACAAGTGGAGAGTGAGGAGAGAGCCACGCACTAGGAGATGATCGATAGGGAGCTCCTCTATAAGCTTCAGATTCACCTCGCTCAGAAGTCCTGGGGAGGGAGAAGGTGAGTCAGGTGAGTCAGAGTGTCCGACGAAGATACGAGAAAGCGGCGGGATTACCGTGCGAAATGAGGGCGTAGACCTGCTTGGCGCCTTTTTTGCGAAGCGAGTACGCGGCGAGGGTCAGGGTCGAGCCCGTGTCGACCATATCGTCTACCAGGATCGCGACCTTGCCTTGCACGTTCCCGACGAGCAGTTCCATCGTCTCCTCGGCGCCTTGCGCGCGAGCTTTGCGTTCGCGGTGGATGAGCGCGAACTCGACGCCTAGCTTGTCCGCGATGGCTGTCACCCTGCGTGGTTTTTTCCGAGTGTCACGTCAACGATCCAACGACGCATCTTAAAACCAGAATTACGCACCGTTTTGCACCACCGGCGTCCGGGCTGACGACCACGGCTTCCTGCCAGTCAGGGATGTTCAGGCGGATCCAGGCGAGCATGCTCGGCTCCGAGTAGAGGTTGTCGACGGGGATGTCGAAGAAGCCTTGGATCTGGCTCGCGTGGAGGTCCATGGTGATGACGTGGTCGCATCCGGCGACGACGAGCATGTTCGCGACGAGCTTGGCGGTGATCGGTGCGCGCGAGCGGTCCTTCTTGTCCATGCGCGCGTAGGGGAAGCAGGGGATGACGGCCGTGATGCGCCGGGCAGAGGCGCCCTTGCAGGCGGAGATGAGGATGAGGAGCTCCATCAGGTGGTCGTTCACGTCCGCGCAGCCGGACTGGATGATGAACACGTCCGAGTCCCGGACGGACTCGGTGATCTTCGCGTTCGTCTCGCCGTTGGAGAACTTTTTGACGATGCAGGGCGTGAGCGGGATGTTCAGCCTGCGGCGGTGCGATCAGGTCGGTGCGACATGCGAGCAGCAGAGATTGGGGTTGGTATGTGGGTCTTTCGCTTGAGGTGCAAGGGGTAGAGCGCGCTCACCGCTCGGCGACTGCCTTAGCGAGCTCGGGGTGACTGTTCCCTGTGGTCGCAGATCAGCACGAGAATTGTGGATACGGCATTGAGCAGGTGACGGACCGGTAAGGAGTCGGATGGAATTGCTGGCCATCTCTAGTGGTAGTCAAAGGTATGTGACGGCGGATATTAATGTTATGTCTGTGGCATGAAGCAGGCAATACCGTTCCGAGGAGGAGATCAGAGTATGAAAATGGTCTGCGATGCGGTGCAATGAAATCATCTACGTTACGTCATCGTGGGAATCTCACGGTTGACTCTCATAAGTATTGGCAAAGCGTGGCACGTTCATCTGCTCGTCTTTCTTCCCTTCTTGCGTGGTATCGCGTGAAGCACTCGGTCGCAACTGTGTTCCTGTAAGTGGACTTAGTATGATAAGTTATTCGTCTCGATCGCTAAGGATCCTCTGCTAGGGGATGTCGCGCCACTGTATATCATGTCGATGCTATCATGTCGATGCGCAATCTTGGGCGGGCTGCGGTCCTGCAGTCGGGTGCGGTAAACACCCGGGTGAGCCACCGTGAGGGGTGGGGGAAGCCTTTCGGCTTGGGCATAGGCCGGGGGCGAGTGCTACGGCTCGCCCCGCTCGACCTACTGGGCGGGCTCACACCGGATATAAACCGATTCCGACTCAGGTCGCGTCGTAAGATGCGCCGTTACCTAGTGAATCGCCTACCTCGAGAGGTCCTCCTGATCATCTTCCTTTACTGCCGCGATGGCTACTTCCATCCGGACTGGATCAGGGTTACCCACGTCTGCTCCCTTTGGTATACCACGGCATTGTCGAGCGCATTGTTATGGATTACGTTGGAACTAGGTTATCCCAAGTTGAACACGGAAATTCTGAAACGTTCACGTGGCGTCGAGCTTCATGTCAAATACACAAAATGGACAAACTTCCTTCCCGATATTCCGTCCCTGGAGATTTCCTCCCCTATCGCTTCGATTGAAGTGCGTATTCACCGGTCCGTTGTCGAAGCTGCACTTCGAGCTCGCCCCGGTCAACTTTCTCGGATAAGAAAGATCCGGGTTAAGTTTGAGCAAATCCCTCTCGCGGCAGGACCCCACCTCCACAATGCCCTGGTGGATCGCTACCCCTACCTTCAAGTCATCCGTCTGGATACATGTTATCTCGATTGGTCCTCCCCGCTCGTGAACACCCCTATGCACTTGCGAGTGCTTGAATGTCGACGACATCCTCAAGCCCTTGACTATGATTTATCCGAAGTATTATTTCGTCACGTCTTGACGGCGCTACAGCGGCATCAAGACTTGGTCCGTCTCCATCTTGAACGAACCCTGCCTCTCCTGGATAGTGCATTCCACACCAATATATCTTCGCAAGTGGTCTCCCTGCCCAACTTGAAATACCTATGCATTGAGGACTGGTCTCCTGAGCTGCAGTTCCTCTTTACCCGGCTTCGTATTCCTGCCTCTTGCCAACTGATCATCGTCCTCAAGAACAGGATACGCCACTTCGGCGAAAAGCCAGCGCGTATCGCTAGTTTGCTCTCTTTCACAAGCTCGTTCTCGCTCAAGCATGCAGCTATCGGCAATGCTCACTCGAGGTATATTGGGGTATGAGTCTGCAGCTTGTCTGCGTGGACCTCGATGGAAACCACTTTTCCCATGATCAGATGCGCCCTAGCATCGATTGCACGCTAGAGTTATTTGGTTCTCGACGATATAGCGAAAACTGCGATCCCCATCCATTCACGTTAGCGCTCGAGCCCGCCATCTCTTCCCTCTCTGTCTCTCAACTTCTCATTCTCGTTGATCATGATCAGTGGTATCCGGCCCTTATGCCCGAGCACTGCCGGCAGGTGTTCGGCGACCTCAACGACGTATGCACCTTACACGTGAACATGGATTTCCAAGGCCTCATTCACGTCTTGCGGGCCCTTGCGAACTTCGATGTGGACACGCCCCGCTTATTTCCCCGCCTGCACACCCTCGAGATCGTCTGCTTCAGCACAATCACGCGTGTCCAAATCGAAGAAGCGGCCACCCTCCTGAGACGGCGGACCGGCGACGGCGTGCTTGAGAGATTGTACATTTGCGAGGATGAGAAGGGGAACACGGAATGGACCGCAGAATTGATGGAAGGTGTGGCACCGAAGGTTAACGTTGTCTGGGGGCCGGGCATCGTACGTTGGAGGTAGTTATAGGACGATGCAAGTCACACGTTCCATGTTATAACGGTGCATACTTCGAGTTGTACTACTTTCTTTTTCGCAGTCAAATGACAGCGATAGGGAGTAAAGAAGTGCAGATGATGGGGATAAAACAGCATATAAAACAGATCATGTGCATCCGATGTGAGTCCATCGAGGATGTATATAGCCGCGTGGACTCTACCTCCTCCCAAGCATAAGATGAAAGACGCACACTGGAGTGTTGCTTGTCTTATGGGATGATGGCACGGTCTGTTATAGGCGGAACACACGAGGATAGCATGGTGATCCAAGCAGAGTGGACTATATAAATGGTGATTGTTCGATCGGAGTTGCTTCGCATATGCTTGACAAAAAAACCCCTCATTTCACCCGTTTCTGACATTCGCCTTGTATACTACTGCTAATCTTGACTTTGGCCGAAATGTTCCCTGCAAGCACACGACGATCGAAGTGGTGAAGGAGAAAGGCACGCACATCGCGATAGGAATTAATCGTGAGAACAAATTGAGTCTCCGCCCAAACCCTGCTCGCTGACGTCGCGGGCGCAGCCTGCCCAGAGTTGATCGTCAACGTTCATCAGGTGCTCCTCCTCATCGTCGACGACGACGGCGAGCCGACGATGGCACAATGGGGCCAGCAAGGCCAGCCGGGGTACCAGTACCCCATGCAGACCGGATTCAACCCACAGCAACAGCAACAACCGCAATTCGGCGGAGGCCTCCAGCCGCAACCGACTGGCTTTCCCGGCCAGCGTCCGGGAGGATTCCAGCAACCCCAGCAGACCGGCTTTCCTAGTAACTCAGGATTTCTACAGCCTCAGCAGACCGGGTTTGTGCCTCCCCAGCAAACCGGCTTTCTAGGTGGTGGAGCAGGTTTCGGCCAACGCCCAGCGCCTCCGCCTCCGCCCGTCCCACCGATTCCGTCCCAGTTTCAAGGCCAGCAAAGCGCGATATCGCCAATGAACCGCCTTGCGCCTCAGCCCACTGGGTTTCCTGGCGTAGGAGGAGGCGGACTCATGTCGCAACCTACAGGCTTCCCCGGCGCTGGCGGACTCGCGCCGCAGCCGACAGGCTTCCCTGGCGCAGGTGGCCTGCGCGGCGGGCCGTCACCGGCGCCCCTCGTTCCCCAGATGACGGGCTTCATCGATCCCCGCATAACGATGATGTCCGGCGCGTTCATGCCTGCCAATCCAACCGCGCCGTACGCCTCCGGCTTCGTCCAGACGCAGATCCAGCAGAACCCGAGCATGTTCAACGGCCTCAGCCTCCAGCAAAGCTTCCAGCAGCACAACCAAGAGGTCCGGGGCAGCGCGGCACCGAAGATCCCGTGGGCGCTGAGCAAGGCTGAGAAGAAGAACTACGACCAGTTGTTCAGGGCCTGGGATACGTCTGGCACAGGATTCATCGATGGCAAGACTGCGTTGGACGTGTTCGGTGCGAGTGGATTGAGCCGGAATGACCTGGCCAAAATCTGGTACGTGATTGCTATACTATCATATGGATTGAAAGCGCTGAGTATATGCACACAGGACGCTTGCTGATGTGGACAATCGCGGCAAGCTCAACATTGCAGAGTTCCACGTAGCAATGGGCTTGATCTACCGAAGTAAGTCATCCCGCCCCCCTCTTCACAGCGTAAACTCATCGTTGGATGATAGAACTCAACGGCAATGATATCCCTGACGAACTCCCTCCGGAACTCGTACCACCATCTCATCGCGACCTCGACACATCCGTCAACTTCCTGAAAGATATTCTCAAGAATGACACCCGCTCTCAATCCCGCTCCCCAGGTCGTTAACCGCGTCTATAGTAGCAGTTCCTCATATTAACATAGCTTCCTACAGGTATCGACAGCCCGATCAGCAAGCTGCGCGATCGCAGCTTGTACGGCAACGGGCCTGCGGGCGCCGGAAGCAGGCAGGATGCGACGGTATACAGGCACTCTGACAATGTGGGCGAGGCTTATCAGCCGCGGAACAGACGTCTCGACAGGAGCGCAGTCCGTGTCGGTAACGAGAGTGCTGGAGACGTGAGACTCCTCCATCGTTGATTATTGGCCTACCCTCAACCTTTTTCTTCCTCTGTGAAACAGGATTTGAACGAAATGAAGCGCCAGCTTTCGAACGCTGCCCGGATGCTCGACGATGAAGCTAACAAGTCGCAAGACGACGAGGCGCTAGACCGGGAGATGGCCGACTTGCGTTACCGCGTGAAGCGTGTGCAAGAGGACCTCGATTACGTCCAGCGCGGCCCGCGCACGACAGCGAAGGACGAGGAGCGCCGACGCCTCGAGCGCGAGCTGATGAAGCTGCTTCACGAGCGCGTACCGGAGGTGGAGCGCAAGATCGAGGAGCGGGAGAAGCGGCGCGAGCGCGAGCGCCGCGACGAGATCAAGGCGAGGGACGAGCGCAATGAGCGGTTCGGGCGGTTCAGCGACAGGGATGAACGGTACGGATACGATAGCAGGGATCGGTACGACGACCGTGACAGGGACCGGGACCGTGATCGCGACTATCGGGACCGGTCGAGGGAGCGGGATAGATACTACGGGGACCGCGATCGCTCCAGGGATCGCTACGACCGCGACCGCGATTATGATAGAAGCTACGACCGCCCGCGCTCTCCTGCAGGCACGGCAGCGCGCACCCCGCCGCCGCCGCCACCACCATCTGCGCCATCTTCCTCCATTTCGAAGCCTCCACCCCCGGCGCCAGCCCCGTCCGCATCACCTGCACCGGGTGCTCCGAACACGAAGAATATGACCCCGGAAGAACGTAGGGCATTCATTCAGGCCGAAGCGCAGCGGCGCATGCAAGAGCGCATGCGCGCGCTCGGTGTCACGACGCCTGCCCCCGGCGCCACTGGCAGCGGACCCGCACTTGATACTAGTGTGGAGGAGCGGCTTGCGAAAGAGAAGGCGGAGGCGGAGGCGAAAGCCAGGCAGGCGGAGAAGGAGGCGGAGGAGCGTGAGCGGCAGAGGAGGGAGCGGCTGCAGGGAGAGAGAGCCCAGGTCGAACCTCCGAAGACAGCTCCTCCTGCGCCTACCCCGCCTGTGTCGTCGCCGGCGGCTACCAAGAAGGCCGCCCCGCCGCCGCCAGTCGCCAGGAGAGCCCCTGCTCCACCGCCGCCGCGCAAGCCCTCCGCTCCGCCGGTACCGTCCCCCTCCGTGTCGAACCCGGCTCCCCCTCCACCTGCACCTCCAGCGGCATCGGCTGCTCAGGTAGATCCCGAAGAAGAAAGGATACGCCAGCGCGAGGAAGAGCTGAGGAAGATACGTCAGGAACGTGAGGCGCGGTTAAGGCAACTCGAGCAAGAAGAGGAGGAGATGAAGAAGGCCGAGGAGGAATATCAGAAGAGACGACAAGCTTTCTTGAATAGGGCGGCGAGTCCTGCCCCGCCCACCCCTGAGGTCAGGTCGCCGCCTACTGCTCCCCCAGCTCCTGCCCCTTCCGCGCCAACTCAGATTTCTCCGCCACCTCCACCACCGCCTGCGCCTGCAGCACCGACGAGCCCGCCGCAAGCGGAGAAGAGTCACAACCCCTTCAGCAAGCTCTTGGGTGGAGGTGCCCCACCGCCAGCTACTTCCGGTGGCACCCCTGGCGGGTCCAACCCGTTCTTCAAGCCCGGTCCTCCCGCTGCGACTCCCGAACCGACTTCAGCCCCTGTTGCCCCCACTCCTCCTCCGCCAGCCAGAAGCCCGATGCCAGCGCCGATCAAGACGTCTTACCACACCGCCCCTGCCGACGACGAGGAAGATTGGGAAGATTTGAAGGAGAAGGACGACGACGACAGCTCCGACGACGACCTTGGCACGTCCCGCGACGCGCGGTCCAACCTTGCCCAGCAGCTATTCGGCAGCATTTTGCCCACGTCGCGACCTCAGAGCGCAGCGCCGATGAGCCCGAAGCCAGCCACGCCAAAGAGCGCGACGCCCGTGCAAAATGGGGCTCCACCTGCTGCCCCGCCCCCACCTCCCGCCCCGGGTGTGCCTGCTGCCCCGCCTCCACCGCCGGCATTTGGGGGTGGACCGCCGCCTCCACCTCCGCCTGGTCCTCCGCCTCCACCAGCTGCTGCAGCGCCCATCGCCGCCCCTGCACCTACCGGAGACCGATCTGCGTTGCTTGGCGCAATCCAATCTGGGGCGAGGCTTAGGAAGGCACAGACAAACGACCGCAGCCAAGCCGGTCTGGCAGGTAAAGTTCTTGGAGACACTGCTCCGCCCCCGCATATCAACGCCGCGCCTCGTCCCGCGTCGCCTCCATCGCCACCTCCGGCGGAAGCCCCCCGTGCGGACGACCAGAAGACGTTGAATAGGCAGTCGGTCGATTGGTTTGCTGGTCTCGCGGCAGATCAAGGGCAAGTGCATCGCCCCGCTGAGGCAATGCCGTCCATGGCCGAGGAGGATGAACATTCCGACGATGAACGTGATGAACCGGAGAAGCTCCCAGGCGAGGGCGTTCCTGCCATCCAGGTCTCGGAGTCAAACGACGAAATGGCGGACATTGACAAGTCAGTCGCCTTGCGCGTGAGATCGCTGTATGCGTATGAAGGGCAACGTCCGGAGGACCTTTGTATGGACTTGTTGCTGGGTCTGTCGCATGAGTACTAACAGTCTGCTTAGCTTTCGGCGAGAACCTTGTCTTGACTGCACACCCATCGAAGTCAGGCGGTGATTGGTGGTATGGCACCCTCGTCCGAGATGGGAAATCCGGTTTCTTCCCCAAAACTTACGTTCAAGAAGTGCAATCAAGTAAGCATTGTTAGATAACTACAACACAACTACTGCTAACCCCGCAATAGCCAAAGCCAGGGCTCTCTATGCATACACTGGCACAAATCCTGACGAATTGCCATTCGCTGAAGGCGACCTGCTATCCATCGTCGATCGCGCGGAGGCGGACTGGTGGAAGGCGGAACAGGGCGGCGTGATCTTCATCGTGCCGGCGGCTTATCTAGAAGTGGTAGAGGGTTAGTTGCACCCACTTCTCCTTGAGTTCTTTCGTTTACATTCTTGCATTGGTCAACAGGCTGAAAATGAATTTTCTGCTTCCTTTTGCATGTAATCGCTCGGATACACACTCTGAATACAATCGGATTTTTACCTGACTCGTATATAGAAGTCGGTGCGTTGCCTGCGCCCGTTAAGCAGCCCGAAGAGCAATCTGCGGTTGCGCACAACATCCCGATCTCACCCACAGTGACCGCCAACGATGAAGATTCCGAAGATGAGTCAGATACGGATTCTGAATATCTATCCTTCGGCGAATCAGACGCAGAAGAAGAACGACCCGCAAACGAGGAAGAGGCCAAGGCGGAGCGGGAGGCTAGAGCGATTGAACGACAACGCGTACTGGAAGCTGCCGGATTAGTGGTGAAGACCGACAAGCAGCCTCCTCCACGTCCAGCCCGCAAGCCCTCAGTAAGGCGGCGACGTCCTCCGCCTGCAGCACCCAACCGGACGTCCATCATCTCGATAACGTCTGAGAAGGATCTGCCTCCAGCCCAAGGGAGCCCGGCAGACTCGACCATACGGCTTGACGATGCGTTTGCGCGCTACGAGGAGTTCAAGAAAACGAAGGGCGTCGAGCAAAATCGCTTATCTGTCTCCTCCTTCGACAACATGCTTGCGTCCTCGCCTATGTCTTCCTCGATCTCTCAAAGCATGTCCCGCGATAGCGCCGCTTCCACAGGGAGTGATCACGGTCGCATGTCACATTTCCTCCATTTCCTGGGACGGACTAAAACGCCCAATGATAGTGAGAAGAAGACGCTTTCCATTTCGGCTCCGATCTCCGGCCCTATAGCAGGACCGCCCTCAAGTAGACCTGCGACGCCAGCGTCTCAGGATGGGAATTTATTCGGCTCGGTGAGCTTAGAACGGCAATCTCCGTCCCCACGGATACTCAGAGTACTGTCAGACATGGGCAAGCTTGGTAGACAAGACTGCCCTGGAAGATGTGCCAACAAAAGAACGGAAGCGTCAAGAAGTGAGTGGTTCCTCTCTAATCGCCCTGAGTGCACTGGATAACCTCCTCTCAGTCAATCTTCGAGTTCATTGCTACGGAAGCTGCATACGTTCGGGATTTGCAGATCATCGTCGAGGTGTTCTACGCAAGCATGCTCCCTATGCTCGACGAGAAAGCCGTCACAGTCATATTCGCAAATGTAGAAGATATCCTTCTCTCGAACACAGTAATGCATCCGAGCCTGACACTCCGCGGCGAGTTAACTAATTTCATTCTCTGCAGACCTTCCTTAGTTCCCTGGAAGAGCGTCAGAAGGAATGCAGACTGTACATCGACCGTATCGGAGACATCCTCAAGGAGCATATGAGCCATATGGAGGTATACATGGAATACTGCGTCAACCAGGGCACCGCAACGAAGGTGCTGCAGTCACTGCGAGAGTCAAAACCCGAACTTGCGGCGCATTTGCAGGTTCGCGATCCATTCGCAGTGTTTTCACGTTATCTCATGATCGTCCAGCGCCTGCGTGAATCCGAACCTGCCGTTCGCAACTTGGATTTGTCGAGTTATCTCCTGGTACCTAGTAAGTTAGCGTCCATCTTGATTACGGCTCCCCGTTTTCTGACAGTGTCCTGCATACATCAGTGCAACGTATGACCCGCTATCCGCTTCTCCTGCGCCAAATTTTGCACTACACGGACTCTGCACAAGACCAGAGCGACATCGAGAGCGCTCTTCAAATGGCCGAAGGCATCTTGACGCACATCAATGAGAGCATACGGGAACAGGAAGGCCAAGAAACGCTGAGGAAGATCTCAGAGCACCTATGGGTTGGGCAAGGGTACGTTCGCTTTGAGATGATCGGGATTGTGGAATCTCATTGGTTGCAATGACCTTGTCCAGGAGACTGGATCTCACAGCTCCAACGCGCTCGATGGGCAAACGGCGGCTACTCAAGGAAGGCATGCTGTCGAAGGCGAAGAGCGGACGGAAGCTACGGGCATACCTTTGCAGCGATATCCTCGTGCTCACGGACGAGACATCCAAGACTCTCTATCGGATGGTATGCTCCGCCTTGTCTGACTAATTGCGCTTACCTGAATTGAACGTCATTGGCAGCCCATTCCTCTTCCCGACATGCAGATCCAAGAGGCGCCTGGGAACAGAGACGATACTGCGTTCCAGATATTCGTGCCGTATCCGCGGGGCGGCGACAAGATAGCGCTACGAGCGACTTCGGTGCGGGACTGTCAAGTGTGGATTCGAACGCTGGAACAGGCCATACAAAATGCGAAGGAGGCAGAGAAAAGGGCAATGAAGAGGGTGCGGACTCGGTAAAATGCATGCTCGACCGCGATTTGTTTTTGTTTTCCATTCTTGAACAGTGCGCGGATTACTCTACACTACGGGATGTCATGCATCACTTCATTCGATGCCTCACTAAAGATCTTGTAGATGCACGCAGGCGTGCGTTCATGTATACATGGTATACTTGATGATTAACATGCTAGGCTGTGGATTAATGATTATCTTCCACTTCCTGGATGCGACCGTCAAGCAAGCTGAGAACTGTATCTAAGCCCTTCAGCACACCCTCGTCAGGCCCACGTCCGGGCGTGATCTTTGTATGCGCGAAGTCGATCAACTTGATGACATACGCCGGGCCATGTTTCTTGGTGCCTTCTTCGACGTCCTCTTCGTCAGAAGATTCATCGTCCTCTCCTTCGTCCTCTGTCCCTGCAGCGAGCTTGTTCATGCGCTCAAAATGTCGCTTCAAGCCCTCTTCCGCCCGCGCCCAATCCGCTTCGTAGATGAAGAGTACGCTCCCGCCCACCATCCGCATCTCCACCTGCGCCAGTGCGTTGCGGATATCCTTCACGTTGTTCTTCATTTCCCTCAGGATTGGTAACAGCAAATTCGCCGGCAAACCCAAATGGGATCCCGATGTCTGGGTACCCGAATCGGGGGAGGAAGAGGAGGCGGAGGTCACCTCCGGAGAGTTATCGGTAGCAGAAGTAAGAGAGGAAGCGACGGGGAAGAACCGCCTTATGCCGTCTGGAAGATCGGCAGGCTTGATGGACTTTCCGTACGACTTGGGTACGACGACTGGTTTGTGGGTATTATTGTCGTAGACCTGTAGCATAGTCAGCAGCTCATTCGTGTCCAGCAAGCAAGACTCTGGCTACCTGAAATCCTGTCAAACGAACGCCGGTCTCGTGCGAGGTTGTGTTCCTCGCCGTCTTCTCCATGCGCTCCTTCTTCTCAGGCGTCGCATCCTCGTCATAGAGGATCGTGCCAAGCTTGATGTCCAATATGTTTGGCTCATGGAACGCGTACGCAAGATTCTCTAGCACAAGAGACTGTGTAAACACCGAGATTAGTACATATGGTGATCCCTCCGCACGCAATGGAACGAAGCGACATATCTTTTCCCTGACCCTCCTCCAGCGGTTCAAGCTGCGTCCCAGCTGCATCGGCAACCTTGCCCTGCAGCTTCAACGTACCGTAAAACTTGCACAAGAATGGCCGCAGCGGCGCAAAGCTCGGCTCGTTCGCGACGTGTTCGTAGAAGCCGATCTCGGCGGCAAGCGCCTCCTTGATGAGCAGCGAGCCGTCCTCGGAGGTGAGCACGCCCGGGTGGCCGCCGACCTGAGCGTCCATGGCCTTAGTGTGGATGTCGTGCAGATCGACATCGGACGGCGGGGTGTCGGTCATCGTGGACGATGATCAGAGTAGTGGGGAAGCCGAAAGCCAGGCACCAGCTGACGTGGGTTGGATTATAACATGAGCAGCCATTGAAAGGGCTTGGCTAAAACCATCATGTCCGCGCTTGACTACGCCGCCAATCAATACATCGCCGTATCTCTGAACCCGGCCGTCGTGCCAGACCCTGGCCAACTAGCAGCTAGAGCTCATCCCGCGCTCAACCACGTCGGGAATGTAGGACAACTGGCGGACGTCCAGCTATATGCCATCCCCAAGGCGGAATGGGGCAGAGTCCAAGATGAGGTCTTAACGTCGCTGAAAGGTCAAGAGGGCGTTTCGAGGGTCGACGTGCAGGAGCCGCCGAGGCAGAGGGTGAAGAGGGGAGGCGATGAGTTCTGATCGCTACCGGTCCGTGCCCATGCCCTCCTTTGACCCAAAATAGCAGTTGTATTCATGATGCCGCGTGCAGGATTAGCGTGTACAGTATGCATGGAGATGTGTCTACGGCTGAGTAGCGGGAGCTTGTATGAATGCAAAATATCCGATAATCATCCTCAAGAAACCACCAACGTGGACGTGTGCTGCTTCCGAAGCCTTCCCGTCTCGAACTTTAACGGCCGTCTTGCCGGGTTTCTGGCACCCTCTTGCCCGCCGTGGTTGTATTGAGACGCGTCGAACGTTGCGGTAGGCGGAGGGCTCGTGATGCGCGGGATGAGAGTAACACCCGGGCTTGTGGTTGGCGTGGGCATGATCGGCGGATCCTGCGCGTTGCGCGAGTTTGCCATAGGGTCCCGGCGCGCGCGATAGATGAGAGGAGTTCTTGAGTGTGGTTGCCAAGGTCGTGGGGCAGCAGGCAAGCTGTAGCCGACCACGACAAAGAGGGATAGCGAGAGAATAGTCGTGACGCGCATGATGCAAATTCCGTAGCTAGTCTCCCGAGAGCTGAAGGGGTGGGTGGGTGATGAGAGCAGTTTACACAGCAGGATTTGTACGACCGAGCCAGGCATTCAGACAAGTTCAACCTGACGGATGTCCAACAGCACATGATCTATCCTTGATTTTCAGCAGACCTTCACAAGAGGTTCTGTCACATCCACGTACCCCTGTATGATCCTCTCTACTCTATCTGCGTCTAGGCCGACGCAGACCGCCGGGCGGCCCTCGCCGCCTTCTTAGACTTCGCATACGCGATTGAAAATCCCTCTTCCTCCAGATCGCTCTTCTGTAGGCTCTTCAGCTTCGTCTTGATCTTCTTTCCCGCCATCGTCTTCAGTGTCCAGTTCATCGCCTTCTCCACCTGCTCCTTCATGCCTTCTGCGTACGCCATATCCGGGAACGCCACCGGGTTCCGGTATCCATACCACACATGCACCGCCAACGTCTTGTGCAGCTGCTCGAGCGCAGCCATGGTCTCGACGCAATACTCGGGGTCCATGCCCGCCAGCGCCTCCGCCTTCTGCCCCATCTCCTCGCGCTCCATCCTATCCAACACCTCGAGCAGCGTTTCCTTCAGCTTGAACTTCTGGATCACGGCCTCGATCCACACCACGAACTTGTTCCGGTACAGCGTGACGACCTCCTCCGCCACGCCCGCCGACAGCGGGCCTCTCAGCTGAAACGGCGCGTTCAGGAGTGTCATCCTCTCCGCCAGCGTCAGGTCGCCCGCGAACCGGTCCACAAACTCGGTCCGGCGCCGGTACTTGGCGTCGAGCACGAACAGATACGGCGGCCGCGTCCGCCCGAGATGATGCAGGGCCTCGAAGGCGGCGGACGTCGTCGTGTTCCGCGGGAGCGCCTGGAAGACGGGGTCAGCCTCGGCGGCGTTGATGTGCAGCCGGGCCTCGCGTTGCTGGTCGAGCGGCGCCTCCATGGCGGCGCGGAGGATGGGCATATCCTCCTCGTGTAGGCAAGTTACGACGCCGCCAGCGTTGCCCTGGCCGTGCAAGCCGTACCGACCGGCACGCCCCGCGATCTGCTTAATCAACGGGGTCGGAAGCACCTGCGTGGTCTCGCCGTCCCATTTGTGCATGGCCTCGAAGACGACGCGATTGATCTTTCTGTGGTCGGACGGAGGTACGTGAGCAGGTAGATTGTAAACATTATCACATGTGTGATAACGTACAGGTTCAATCCGAGTCCGATGGCGTCGCTGCCTACGATAACATCGTAGCCGCTCTTCGGGTCGTTGAACAGCGCCGCCTGCTTGCTCCTCAGCTCCGGAGGTAGTCGCCCATACGCAACAGCACACCGAAGACCCGTCTCTTCCTCAATTTGCTCCTTCACCTGGAAGATGTTGTTCCGCGAGAACGTGACCACGCAGTCGCCCTTCTTTACATTCTTGAAGTTGCTCTCAAGGCTCTTCGGTGCGACGTGGAGCGGGGTGAGACGCTGATACCGGTTGATGATGAGCTCGTCGCCGGTGTCCTTGACGATGTCCTCTATGATCGGCACCGCGGTCTCGTCGCCGCACAGGTGAAGCTCCTTCGCGCACAGGGAGAGCACCGCAGATGTCCACGCGCCGCCGCGGTCGTCGTCCTTGATGAGCTGTATCTCGTCTACGACGCCAACGTCGTACATCTGCAGGGGGCTGAGCATCTCGACCGTGCAGCTTGTGAGCCCCGCGGCCTCGTTCACGATCCGCTGCTCCTCGCCTGTGACGAGGTTGCACTGGCGCGCGTAGGGCGCGCGGGGGTCACGGTGCGCTGCGGGGATGCCGTCGCCGATGTCCGGGCCGATGGCGTCATCGGCGTCCGCGAGTGACTCGGGCGCGCCGAGGGGCACGATCTGGCCCTTGTTGAGACGCTCCCAGATCTCGTGTGCGAGGAGGCGGAGCGGGCCGGCGTAGACGCCCGTGCGTGCGGCGGCGAGCGCGCGGAGCGCGTTGTGCGTCTTGCCGCTGTTCGTGGGCCCGACGTGCATGATTATCTTACGCCGCATGGAGCGCGCGTTGGGGAAGCGCTCGGCGGGGTAGCTGAGGTCGGTCGAGGCGTATAAATTGTGCATCGATTCGGTCGTGTCTGGGGAGACGCGCGAGGAGAGGAGCGCGGCGTTGTCCGGGTTCGTGGCCCACATGTAGAGGAGGCGGGTGAGCGCCTGGTCCACTGGCCCGGGGAGCTGGCCGTTCAGCACGTTCGCGGCGATGCGGGCGAGCTCCGCTTCGTGGAATTGGGAGGGATTGTAGGCGGCGCCGGTGAGGAGCTCGGCGAGGAAGGTGCGGCAGAGCGGGGTGACGTCCTTGGGATCGACGCCCCAGGAAAGCAGGCGATGGCGAAGGGGGGTCTGCCTTGTCCAGTTTGGGGCATGGCGCTGGAGAACTTCGAGGAGTTTGGCTTTCGTGTCGTCGTCGACGGTCAGGGGAATGACGGGTTCGACCCGGAGTGGGTTGCCGGATGACGGTTTCACGATACCAGGAGCGCGTCGAGGTGTAGAGCTACGACCTCTGTCGTGTCTCAGAGGGACGTTGCGTTTCTTCGCTTGGGTCTTCCGCATCATCGCGAGAAGGTCGAAGTCTTTGGCGTCACCTTCCCGCCCCGCGGCTGGACGTGCGTATGGCCGACTTCGAATGAACGACCGCTCCGCGGTTTGCAAAGCACTTAGCGACAGACGACATCTTGCCAAATGTAACATCGGCCTGATGAGACGCTGAGCGTAAAGAGACAACACAAGCCAAAGAGGCCGACCTTCGCGGTACTACGCGGCGGTAGATGCTATGCCAGCAAAATGCAGCAATACGCCAAACTTAGCGCTGTGGCTGCTTGGGCCACAGATAAGCAGATGCAAGGGGCGATAAACACAAAGAGCGACGAGTCTATGGGAGTGAGGGCAGTAGCAAACACGGTCGGAGGACGGAGAGCTCTGCGGAAATTTCGCCGCGAAGGCGGAAGGTAGTGGCTGTGCAACCCTCTTGACGAGGCCCTGTTTTCCTCTGTTTTCTTCGTTCACGCTCAGCTTCACGACGGCGTCGCGACCTTGGATGAGGCTCCGGAAATAATTCAGGAACGAACAGATAAAAGCAGAAATTATAGGATGCTACAGCATGCGACAGATTCAGGAGATGGGCATTGATCATATGCGTCTTTCTGCAATGGTTACAGTCACTTTGCCGGAGTGGTTAACGGGATCGCCTGCTATTCGTAGTAGCTTAGCGGTTGTGCTTTGCACGCGAGTGTTCGAATCGCTCAGGTGACGACTTTTTGTTCGACATCGACCGCGACACCTGCAGCTGTGCAAAGGCCTGCAACACTAAAGTTTACCGCGCGAGCCATCTTCACGTCTCCCTCTATCCATCGCTGTGCCCGTAGCCGCAGGCGCAGGCGCAGTTTCTACGATCTCCGAGTTTGACCTCAGTCTTGGTCTAAAAGTTGCTTTGAACGCCGATCTTTGGCCCACCGTCTCCATCACATCCCGGAACTACACAGGACGTTTGCATACTAGCGCACCTCCGACCATGGCCATCAACGCCAACGAAGACACCGAGTTGTGAGCAACCACTCGTTCCTCCCCCGGATCCCCTGCGTAAACAGCCTCCCGCGATATCCTCCAGCAACGACGCCCTCCGCAAGCACGGCATCCTGCCCCCGCTCGAGCCGACCCCGCCCTCGCCCTCCCCGCCACCTTCGCCGACACTCTCCGACGCGCTCGACGACTTCACGCCCGCGGAGCTGCAGGAGCTCGCGGACGACGCGGCGGACGAGGAGACGGAGCGGATGATCGCCGCGTACCGCCGGCAGCGGCTGGACGAGATGAAAAGGGAGGAGCGCCGGGGCCGCTTTGGGCGCGTGTATCCCATCGGCAGGGAGGACTATACGCGGGAGGTGACGGAGGCGAGTAAGGTGGACGAAGGTGAAGGGGACGGGGAGGAGAAGGGGACGGGAGTGGTGTGTCTGCTATACAAGGACGGGTCGGGATTCTCGATCTCTCGTGCGCTTCGATGGAGCTGAAGGTCGAGTCCAGGCAGCCGAGGAGCATGCGGACGATGGACCACGTCAGGACGCTGGCCGAGCGCCATCCGCGCACAAAATTCGTCTCTATCGTCGGCGACAAGTGCATACCAGACTTGCCCGAGTCGCGGCAGCCGATGCTCATCGTATACCGGAGAGGGGACATCATCCAGCAGGTCGTTGCGTGGGGTGCGGACAAAGACCGAAGGATAGAAGGTAACCCATCCTTTCCTTACCCCTTTTTCGAGAACAACGGCTCATCCGATCGACAGAACTCGAGGCGTTGCTCATTCTCTGCGGTGCGATCGTCCCTCCGGCTAAGAAACCTCCGCGCAGCTCGCGAGCGGACGACAGCGAGGACGAGGACGATCTTTCCGACGATCCTGCGACCCGGCGGCCCTCTGGCGTGGCGTTCGCGAACGGTCGGACACCTAAGAACGTTCGCGGCCCAGCAAAGAAGTCAGGGGACGATTCCGACTCGGATTTCGACCTGTGAATGCGGTATCGATCCGCGGGCTTGCACGTAGGGATGGTTACCGCCACGATTCTTCCAATGTATCCATAGTCCTGGGTTCGTGACCAAGTAATGTACGGAACGAACACTCCTGTCTTGCAGGGCAGCAGCATACGCCCTCCGACGATGACCACAAAAACCACTCTGCGCGTGTGCACAGTGAATATGAATGCATCTAGATAGGATTGAATTGTAAGTAATGGAGTCCACGCGTGACGTCATCTCGCTTCGCGTGCGCGATATCCCTCGCAACCGCAGCTAAACCGCGGCTCAAGCGAGTGGCCACCTTTGTTTCCGACCTCCACCGCGCACCACTAAAAGCGCGCCTTCCACCTACATAAAATCAAGCCGCGACATATAATGCCTCCCCGCAAACGTACCGCCGACGAAGCCAACGCCGACGGGCCCGCGACCTCCACGCGCGCCTCAAAGGCGGCAAAGACGGGCGACAAGCCCGCATCCAAGGGCAAACCCGCGTCGAAAGGAAAGCCCTCACCAAAAGGCAAGAGCGCTGCTAAAGGAGGCGCCAAGAAGGGCCCGAAGGTACGCGTTTTCCACAGATTTGAAAAGACCAGTGGCTTAGCAACCTCCCGGATGTCTGCGTTTAACTTTACGTAGGCACCCGCGCCGGCGTCGTTCAAGGCCTCGGCGCTCCCTCTGCACGTCAACATCACCCACACGCCGCCGAGCATACCCGACGATGACACCACCAACGCGGCCACCGCCGACCCTGGCTCCCTGGGCCACCTCTCGCTCCTGCCTGTACGTCTTTGACGCAGTGGGAAGTTTGTCACACTCACGATACATCGATAGAGCACCTTCAGTACCGGTTCATACGGTTGGAAGGGCACGAAGCGCATACAGATTACGCTCAAGGACCCGAACGACGAGGCGGGCGAAGGCGAGACGGTCCACGTACAGCTGCAGTAAGCATTAACGCATATCCCTTGATATCCCGTCGATCCCTGACGCATCGTCCGTCTAGGATCAACGCTACTGTCCTAGGTTCCAAGGGCAAGAAAGATGGCGCAGACGACGCGGAGGCGGAAGCAGAGCCTGCAGAGGATGGCGAAGAAGACGCCGAGGAAAAGGTTGAAACTGCTGAGGAATGATCAAGCTTCTCCATGTCGTTGCTCTCAAGCTGCACAGGTCCAGTGTGCGATGATGTTGTACTTGTGAGCGTCCTAACGAGGCGCTCGATCGTTGCTTTTGATTATTGCTATCATGTATCCCGATGACGAATTGCTACGACTGACGATTTCTGGAACTTCGCGATAACATGCTATACTAGGACTGTGCTACACGATAATATACAAGATGTCTTTCCATGCGAAAGCCATGTACAAGGACGACTACGACGGCAATGTACCGTCAACGGCGCTCCCGAACCCTGAGCCAAACAGTGCCGATGATCATGACCCCGAAACCAGCGATGAACGCGAACAGTACGAGCACGTCCCTGTAGTACGCATTGTCCTGGAACCCGAACAACTGGATACGGACGATGAGCAAACGAGATCGCCGATGACGTGCAGAGCACGTACCGTCTTCATGATCAAGCTCGCCGAGACGTCCACCGGCACGCCTTGGAGCGAATCCTCGATCATCAGCCCCGCGCCGACCTCGTTCACGCTGAGCGCCTCGAGGGTGTACTTGAGCGGCGCGAGCCACTGCAGCCAGCGGAGGACGGGCGGAATATCGTTCAGATGGACGAAGAAGCCGGCGTACGTCATCTGGTAAAGCGCGGTCAGGGCGCTAAGCAAGATGGCGATCCCACCGTTGTGGAAGAGGCAGCCGAGCAGGAAGTTCTGGGAGGATGCATGATGGATGTCAGGATGAGAGCACGTATCAGGTGGCATTTATCTTACGAAAAGGGTCATGACGAGCGTGTACAGGACCAAGATGAAAAGGAATTTGAAGAAGTGCGCTGCGTCGTCGGCCAAGCCGGCCATCCAGTACGTGCTGTAGGCTGGTCAGCTCTTCGGACACGATCGATATGTGCTGAACGCTTACATCGTCGAAACCAGGATGGTGGGCACAATGCGCAACGGGATAACGTCGAAGACGATGCGAACCAGTAGCCAGGCGACAGGGCTGTAGTAGCCATTTGAGCGCTCGCGCAGAAACAGGGGACGAGTCGCGACGACGTTGTATAGGGCGCTCAAACATGAGAATGCCACGAGCGCGCCCTGGATGGAGCGTCAGCTCTACGGGCCGAGAAAAGTGGAAGCACAAGAGAATGTACCAAGAAGAACAGACATCCGACCCTGGACTGGAATCCTGCGATAGTTATACCGGTGTTGAAGTACAAACCGCCTAACGGGGATTCAATCAGCGAGCCGGTATAGGAGGCAAAATGAATGTCATCATACCCACGAAGACGCCCAGCACAGATGCTACGCAGACGTGCGTCAGGAAGAGAGTTTTGTCCCTACCGAGTCAAGTACATGTCAGATCGACCATGAGAGTCCCATTGTGAGCGCGCTTACCGCTTCAAGATCTTCCACTCTCTCCACGAAAGAGCCTCGAACTGCGTCAAGAACGTCGCCGCATACGTCGCCCTCGACCGTCTGTTCGTTCCCTTGCCGTCTGCCTTCCCGTGCTCTTTGCCGACCAGGCCGGATTCCATTGTAGCCAGTTGCACGTCTCCCTGCCCATTCCTGACCTTCTCACTTCCATCCACGTAGTCATCGGTAGATCGGCTCTTCGTACCGCTCCCGTTTTGGTATACGTCGTTATTGCTCTGGTATAAAGAGACCGGCGCGTCGCTGGCGACTTCCAAGAGATAATCGGCGACGTTATAGCCTTCCTGTAGGGGCGGGATGCCGCGTGCAGCGAAATATTCTGCGGGGGCAAGTGCACCTGGGCCGGAGTAGAGTGCCTGGCCATGTGACAGGACCATAACCTGGTCGAATGTTTGATAGAGCTGTGAACTAGTGCCACCTTTCAGCTTTTGCGTTGCTGTAGGAACAAAGAGATATTTACCTTGGCTGGTGGATCGATGCAATTACAGGGATCGGGTTGGAGGTGTCGTGTGCAACAGACCGCAAGACGTTTGCGACTTTCGACGCGGACACCGAGTCCAACCCTAGAAAAGTGCCAATCATCAGCTTGCCATCTCACATGTATGCATAATTGCCACCAACCCGACGTCGGCTCGTCCAAGATCAAAACATCTGGCCGGGCGACAAGCTCCAGACCGATGCTGACCCTCCTCATCTCGCCGCCACTGATCCCTCGTTTCTCTCCGTCCCCTATCCGTACGTCCCTAACCTTTTCCAGGCCAAGCGTCTGGATGACTCGTTCCACTATCTCTACCTTTTCATGAGGGGGGACAGATTCGGGAAGACGGAGGTTCGCCGCAAAGAATATGGCTTCACGGACTGTCAGGAGCGGAGGAAGAATGTCCTGCTGCGGGACGAAGCCGATGCGGATACGGTCGCGAGAGGATACGACGGAGGCCGAGCCTCTTGGGAAAGCAACGGTACCCGTCATTTGGCCTGACTTGCTCTTGCCTGCTAGAATTTCGACTAGCGTTGTCTTACCAGCACCTACACATCACGATGAGGACACCTTTCGATATAGAAATACGAAAATGCTACTTGCCGCTGGGCCCCAATATTGCCATCATCTGCCCTGCGGCAATCTTTCCGCTGACGCCGTCAAGAATGACTTTGTCGTCATTGGCGTTGCTCCGTCCGAACTTTAGAGCTCCTAGAAGATTGTCACCGCTCGCACCGCGGACTGTGTAACTGACACCGCTCCAATGAACATTGACTTGCTTTCCGGCGTCCAGGCTACTGTCGCCCTTCCGCGCCTTCCTTTGGCTGATGCAGCCGAGTAAAAGGAAGAGCAGCGCAAGCGCAACCAGAGCACCAACGACCGCCAGACCGGCGATCACTCCTCCGCCAAGCGAACTTCCGCCCTTCTTGCCGTTGCTGTCCGACAGCGAATTATTACCCGATAATACGTCGATGACACCCTGGCTAACGCATTCTCCGAACGTGCATCCGGCCAACGGGAGGCCGGACTGGCCGAATATACCGTCAATGAGGCTCTGCTTGAATGCGCAGCTGGCCGTCCCGTTGGAGGCGTCTACGGCTCCGCACTGCACCTCCAGCGCTCCGCTGAGCCCGTCGATGGTGCCCGTGAGATCAAGGCCGCCGTTGCCGCAGTACGTTGTTCCTTTGATGCAGGTGCACGATACGTCGGCGCACTTCCAGTCGGCGGAGCCGTCCGAGGCAACGGTTTGTGTGCAGGACGATGCGGAGCAGTAGAACTGCTCGATGCCGGCGTAAAACAGTTGTGCGTAGAGTGTGCCAGAGCCGGCAGGCCCAAAGGCAGTGACATTTGGGATAGGAGTGAAGGAGGTATTGAGGGAGCGCAGAACGGTGAGAGTAGATCCAAGGGGGAAGGTGGCTTGTATAGTTGGATGCTACGAGTGTCGGGTCAGGAACTTGTAGGGCCGAAACGACTTGTTTGGCACGTACGCGAACATCACAGCTGAGCTCTCCAGCGGCCCATACCCGAGGATCAGTGTTGCAGACCAGCGTATCGTTCTGCCCCGCTGGGTCACCCGAAAGTCCTGAGCTTGAGGTCGCGCTCGCCTTGCCTGCCGCCGAGTTCGCGAACCCGGATTGGCATGCCGAGGATATCCGACAGACGTTGCAACCCGTACCCGACCAGCCGTTCTCGCACGCGCATCCACTGGCAGTGAGATTCGCAAAAGTTGAGCTGGTCGGGTTTGAGATCAACTTGCGGTTCGAGCCATCGAAGATTGTGCCTCCACAAGCTCTGCGACGAACTTATCAGCACAACATAGATATTTCGTACGCAGGAAAACGCACAGGTCGGCACAAGTTGTCCCTCCGAAACCAGGTGGACAGGCACAGCTAGAGCCGTTCACGAACCCGCCATTCTCGCAGCTAGTGCTCTGCGCGTTCGCCCGTACTGCCAGAAGAGCTTGGACGACCACAACCGACGCTATCGAGTACCAGAGCATCTGAAGACCAAGAGAAAGAATGCGGGAGCGGGAACGAGGGGCTTAGCTTCTAGGCCCATACCCCCTGTTATTTGTGGAGGAGGCGGAAAGTAGCGTCTAACGCGGCTCGGTTCTCGACTCTCAAAGCAACATCTCTTGGCTCACTTCTCCGTCTTACGCCCGCACCGAACACGACTTCGTACTCTTCTCGCCTCTACTTAGCGCCCAACTTCCCCTTGTTTATTCCCAAGAGTTCATTTCAGCACCCCTTCGAACTCACCCTGACCGCGTGTCCGCGTTGTCCACGTCCGACATACTGGCAGCCAGAGAGAACAAGGGCCAGAGAGATGGTCCTGACGCAGACATGCAGCAGAGCGAGCGGCTGATTCCTCGGGTATTTTTCTGCGGATACTAAGATAGGGCTCATCCAAAACCGGGGAGGCTTGAAGTCACGTGTCGCCACTGCGGCGAGCAGGAATTCCGCGTTCCAGCCCCCCCAGTGGCGGTGCTCAGGAGTGTCTTGAACGCTAAATTACTGCTTGCAGCTACGTTTTTTGTCAGAACTGAAAACATCACGGGCCACGTTGTGCAATCATACAGCTCTTGACGAAGCAATTTTTACTGAAGATGCATACTCATCGTATAATTTCAACATCATTCCGATTCACTCGAGAAGATGTCACGTGACCTCCCCGGTTTTGGATGAGCCCTATCTTACTTGGATCGTTTCCTCCCTGCACCTTGGGATGACCAGAATGGTCTCTGAAACCCCATCTACTGCTGTACTATGGACTCCACTCTTCAGAAAATGCGACCGCAATGCATATAACTTCATCTAAACCTGAGGCCCTAAAATTAGCAACGGTCACTACTCATGTGTCTAGGGATCTACGCTCTGGAAAATCGATCCTCAAAATCCATATCACCGATTTCAAGTATGTTGGCGAATCACGGAGACCCTTGATTTGACTATTAGCCTTGCAGACGGGATCGGCATATCCGGCTAACACACCTGAACTCGGCGTTATGTGATGTTTCGGCCACTGCTCGCTCATAGCTCGGCGGCGGACCACCAGGCAGGTCCTCGAACTCTAGCTCTCTGTTGACACGCAACCATTCATCTACCCGCGGGCGAGCTTCTCGTGTGTGTCCTCGCCTGCCGGCGCTATGCTCTCCGCGGCGTGGAGATCGTGACACTTCCCGCTGGTCCTCATGCTCTCCCCTGTCCCCATACCTACGATCCTCAGCCAAAGCAGGGGATATCGACGACACGCGGCGATCCTGCCCCTGCCGCCGCGGCATCGTCGTTATCGGTGTGAGCGGGTGTTTGTGTGTACGCGACGATGGGCTAGCGGTCTCAAGCGCCGTATTTTCTGCGTTTCTCGTCTCACGTTGGCGCGCGCGACGCGCACGGCCCGTTCTGGACCTCGGCACAGAGTCATTGCTGCCCGGTACGCCCGTATGGGGAGCCGGATGGGATGTTTTTGTTGCAGCTGTTGCCGAGTCTTTGTTATTTGCGCAACGTTGCTGAGGACCGCGCGGGACGCACCTTGCCTGGCTCTTCGGCGCCGCCTTATGACGAAAAAACCGACCAAGAGGCCGCAAAAGGCGACCAGACTGACAGCGATGCCAGTTAGGGTTGGTATGATTTTCGGTTTGTGGGTGTCATCGCCGGGGTCGCTCGGAGTCGAGAGTTTGGTGCTATACACCGTGGTAGACACCGAGTTGGACATTGGTTGTGTGGATGTAATGCTCGTCCGCTGAGCTGCACCGGTTCCGGGAGATGAAGGAGATCCTGCAGTGGATTGTGAACGGGGCCCGGCTGCGGGTGTGATTGTCCCGGGGGATGAGGTGTCGTTTAAGTGTGTATTATCTACGAACCTGGTAATGTCTATCAATCGATCGGTGCGGTATGAGTTGGATGTTACGCTCACGTATAGATGGCATAGTCGAATGCCACGTATGATCCATTTTGAACATCTATTTCGAGATTATGCGCTCCGGGGGCTAAACCCTCACTACTGTGTACATTCACATTGTAGAGATATTCGTTGCTAGGTCCCGGGTTATGCACGTAGTTGCCCACTTCTGTTTCGTCAAGGATAAAGGTTAGGTTGGCCAAAGTCGTGATGGTCCAACCGGGCACCGTAGATACTATGGTGTTGGGCACTATACAGAACACGTAAATAGCCTGCAAATTGGTATGATGAAATCACTTTATGTTGAAGCATTATTCGGCGCTCGACGAAGAACTCACGGAACCGACGAAGTTGATCTTTACAGATGTGGGTTGAGAACTCGGGTTGTTGGCTGGATCGTTTGTTGCGTCATGCCAGGTCCCGTCAAAAGCTTGTTTAGGGTCCGGTTGAACCCCACAGCCAGGACAATTCTGTCCCTCATTCCATCCATTCTGTATTTATGTCGTGTGAGCACAGTTGTGGGTGACGGAAACACAAATTCTTGAGGTGAAGGCGTACCGAATACAAAGGTAGCGCCCCAGTTCTTGGATCTCCACCTAGATCGTCGATTGTGTAGTTCACCGCTGAAGCACGCGCAAACCACATTAGGTGAGAATAAACATAAAAACGCCAGAAGTAATGTGCTTGGATCATAGGCTGCGGGGTGTTGCGGCAGTAATGAGAGGGAGGAGCAGCAAGAAGAGAGTAATTTCGTGGGACACTCGATGAACTCGATTACCGGCAGGCTATGAGCCTGCGGGTACTGCGGGTACTTGATATTCGCTCTCCTCAGCGTTCTGAAGCGATCTAATGGTGGAATCACCACGAACGATTCAAGCACAGCCGACGAATGATTTCCTGTTACTATAGCATGCAGAATCAGTTTGCGAAACTGAGGCAGCGTCGTGGTCGTGAGCGCAACACATACTTTTGAGAGGTAGCACCGCAGTCATCGAGCAATCTGTTCCGTCCTGTCAAAGCTATACTCCGGCTCTGACGTTATGAACTGGCAATTCATTCTTATATGACCTGGACCAGTGTGCCTAGGTATACGAAGCAAACACAACACCAGTTACCGGAATAGGTGCCGGCTGCTCAGCTTCAGAGTAGCTGTTTGTGGTTATGTACGCTGTATAGTCGACACAGTGCGTTGTTGATCATGGAAGAACGCGAGGCTGTTCGAGCCCTAGGCTGGTTCTGTTTGGTCGTGTTTGGGAGTACGACTGACTCGGAAGGAGCAGACCTCAGGTCAGTAGTACTAAGTCAGGGGCATATGCACGAGTTGCAAGCTTTGGCTTAAATCCAGACATTGTGTACAACCGTCCAATCCGATGTAACCGTACATCAACAATAGGAACTTCCGAGCGGAAGCTAGTGTTCTGAGACTGTACTATATGTCAACCCGAGAAAGTCTATCGCCCGCCGGGCTTGCATGAATCTGCGCAAGCCGCTCAAGTAAAGCGTCTATATATGGTTCACCCTTCGCACGCAGCCGTGCCACTCGGGAGTGTCGGTTCTCGGTGTATCGTGGAAGTTCTTGAGCAGTTGCCAGGCCCTGGTCGTGTTCTTGACGTTCCGCAGCGTCAGTCGGCGAAGGTCCTTGACCCTTCGAGGCTCTCTCCCCTTCCGGATAAGCCAATCTTCTATATAACCAAGGTACTCGATGTCCTTGCCGCGACGCTGCTATGGAAATCTTTGTAATAGATCGACGCGACTTCGGCTGTGGCCTGGCGACAGCAGTTGTATAAGGGGAAGGACCGGTGAAACGCATCGTACTTTGCATGCGGCTGTTCATGTTATCTAGATTTTCGGGCGTAGTCGGACAGACGAAAGGATCGATCTTGGCTAGAGTATAGATTATTACTGTCTGGCTCGCAATGATGACAATGATATGACAGGCGTACCTATGTTTCTCGCAGCCCGCCGCCGAAGGAACCATATGCTATAAAGTATGCCACTCAAGACGACTATACCTGCGGCAATACCGACTATGATCGGGGCGAGTAGTGAGTGTGCTTTATGCAAGGAGGCTACTCCAGAGCTAGGGCGTGTGGTATCCACAGTCGTCGAACTCGCCGTTTGGACGGCGTCTGACGAGGATTGGGTACTGTGGACGGGGGTTGTCACGTCACTGCTCACTGAGGGAGGGATTGAGTTACTCGTTTGATCGGCGAGATTGGTGGTCGAAGACGAGGACGACGTGAGGCCGGGCGCCACAGTATCCACAGGTGAAGATGAGATAGAAGTAGGTAACTTGGTGACAGAGGAAGAGGTGGAGGACAAAGTGGATGTCCTGGTCACTGTCGTGGGTATAGTCACCGTTGAGGTTGTCTTATTTGATTGGGGTTCGCCCACAAAGCTGAACGACATGAGTGTTGATCAACGGTAGCTCGGGAACAAAACAACTCACGTATAGATGGCGTAGTCGAAAGCCATATAAGATTCATACTGTGCTTCAATTAGAAGAGTGTGTGGTCCGTCCACCAGTTCCTCGCGCTTGAATACGTTGACGTTGAACAGATAGTCGATGCTCGCAGAAGGCTCATGAACATAATTCCCTACCACGGCCTGATCGAGGGTGAATGTCATATTGGCCGTGGTGGTGACTAGAGGAGCGACCGTGTCAGGTATTACGCAGAACACGTAGATAGCCTACAAAAGACATAAATAAATGTCCGGTGTGACGTAATGATTATCTCAGACGTAACATACCGTGCCAGTGAAACTCAACGTGACGGAAGGGCTTTGCGGCTGGGGTCTGAAATGATCGTCGGTGGTGTCGTGCCAGCTTCCGTTGAAGACAAGAGACGGTGATGGTTGCACCTCGCAGCCAGGACACATAGGGCCGTAGTTCCATTGACCCTAGACCGCCTGCCATGAGAGTTCCGCTGCCTAGACAAGTGAAGCCTACGTACCCCATACTCTGGTAAGCCTGCGGTTCTGGAGTCCCCGTAGTAATCGTCTATTGTATAGTTACGGATCCCCGCAAGCACCAGGAGTGGCGTGTAAATGATCAAGAGAAATAGAAATTGGAGCATCTCCCAGTCCGGGGGCGTAGAGTACAGCGGGGCCCGACTGGTAGGAGAACCGTGTTGGGTGCTAAGCCGATGGGGTGGGTCTGGACACCGAGTCGTAAAAGACCGACTGTCTATGATGCATCGCCGCATCCTGAAAGAGAACATGCTACATAACTGTTGTATGAGCCATGCGGCGAGATCCGTTGACCAGTTATAGTCGTTGCGAACTAGACAAATGAGGTTCAGCGTAGAGGTCAAGAAGAGCGATCGGACTTACCATCAGACCATCATGGTACAGCTGCGGTATAGTTGGAATGAGATTGTTTCATGTGATTGCGGTTCCATCTCCTTCACTCTATACAAGAAGAATGGTCCTGGTAGATTGTGTCTAGTGTAGCCGTTGGCATGTACGGTACGGAGGGCCATGGTCTGCGGAATTCCGGGCGTGAATGCACCTGTAAGGGACGTCATCTTCGTTGACAACGCGCTATGAGGTAAAGCGGACGGCGCCACCCATCATTACTATTGTATGTATTTGCATCGAATTTAGGCGCATCGTCACCATATCCAGAGAGTGGCGCTGGTTGCCCTTCTGTCCAGAGCACTTCGCGTCCATACTGAGGTTACGGGAGCTGGGCTGTGGAATGTTCGGATACATCGAGGGCAGTTGGATGAGCGCTACGAGGCGATGTATTTGGGTTGCACCAGCCCGAGTCTCATCAGACATTCTTCAGACTGGAGCGATTTAGAACTCCATGTGGGCATAGCCAATGCGTCTGTATATCGCAGATGACGCGGCCACGGGTTCGATATCAGACGAGGTTCAGTCATACGTGCGGAATCCGGCAATTGCGTCATGGCGAATGGATGCTAAGGCAGGGAGGTAGAGATCGGTGATGCGCCTCTGGAGCCGAGAGCATTTGAGGACGACTATGAAACACATGTGTGATGACTGCTTCAGTTAATGTACTCGAACACCCCGGAGCGTCCTTGTACTTCACCTTCTATATACCATGGGCTTCATGGGTTCACCTCCGGTGGAACGAAGCACTGGTATGAAAACGCTAGAGTAGATGACAGGTTGCCGTCCGGCCCGAGACCTGCTCTCTGACTCATGAGCGGGTGCAGGGACATTGAACACAGCGCAGGGACATCCGAGATCAACGCAAGGCCTCGTTCTGAGAAAGACTCAAAGGTCCTCTTTAGCAGGCGCTCGTCATAATAAGATCAAGCCCTCTGGATTTCTGACGAAATAGATGAGGTGGTCAAGCATGAAAACGAACTAAACCGTCGCCGTGGGCAGCGACTCCACGTGGTACTACATAGCCGGAGACGACCGCGCAGTTGCGTCGATGCCTTTCTTCCTGACGGCCATCGTCTATCCCGCCTACCACTCTCGACGATGCTCGCGATACAACCACATTGCTTGAGCTGCAACATGCAGTAGTTGAGCTGCTAAAAATCGTCATTATCACCTGCCTATATAGCGACCACGATCGACGGACGATCCCCGGAATCCTGCGCGCATCGTCAACCGCGATCGTTCACCACGACCTGCTCGCGTCCTCCATGGTCTGTGAAAGCACATCGTACGCCTCAAACGTCCCCGGATGACTCGCGAGGATATCATCGATGCCTTCATCGTTGGCAAGGATCGCGTCTTTGCCGGAGGAGAGGGTGCACGACCTCGAAACGTCGAAGGCATCCCACCTCCATCTCGTGTCGCAGTCGATGCTGACTTTTATGAGTCGGTTGACTCGGTCTCGGAGGTTTTGTCGGTGTTCGACATAGCTAGCGTCGTACGAGCTGGCGTCAAGGTGGATTTGACCTACAACGTGGAGTAATGGGTGAGTTGCATCATCCGTATTGTTCTCATGTGGGCTGACAGACTTACAGGTGTTGTAGTTGACCCCTGTGTTAAGATTGATTGGCATCGCCGCCATCGGAGACTCGCCGATACCACCCCAAAGCCCGGAAGAGTGTATCTTATCATCTTGACCGTAGTCGTCTGATATGACGTCGCCCCGTCCCTCATCGGGCAGGATGACGATCTCCGGTGACCTGTCAAAACCAGGAAGAGTCAAATCTGTCGAAGACAGCGGCGTCACCGCATCAGGCTCAGGGTGAGCATACTGTTGTCTGCCCGGCATTGCCGGACTGACAAATAGTACTGTTCTCAGATGCTTAAGAACGACGTGCATGTTTCATAAGCGTAGGCTGATGTACTTACCGCCGTTGCAAGCGAGGTTTATGCCGTTTCCCAATGGTGTCGCCGTTATCGGATACGCATAGACCATACCACGATATTCGCAAGGGTTTATCCTGTCGCCGCTTGCGTAGCCGTCTGATATGACCGGACTCCATCGCTCTTTGATCTCCGGCGACATGTCGAACCCAGGCAGGGTCAAACCTGCCACCGATAATGGTGTGGCGCCGTCGAGGATAGGTTGCGCTTCCACACCCGCAAAGAGCGCAGATTTATGGTCGCCTCTACTTGGCGAGCAAGAGGCAGGAAGCTCCCATGTCGAACACGAGTTTGCCCAGGCCGGGTGGCGAAACGAGGCGTTGTTATTCTGGTTCTGCGCAAAGCTACCAATGTAGTCGAAGCGCGCGAAAGATGATTGATCGATGACCAGGCTGGTCGTTGGGATGCTTGGGATACCTGCACCGATGTCGATCCTTGATCTCGGCGCCACAGTCGAGTTAAGTGCAGTCAGGCGTGTTACTCGATGGAAAACCCCGTGTTGGTCCGTAATGCACTCTTCAGGAAAGAAAGGGGGGATCTGGTATGTCGTGTTCGTGTCTTCAGTTGCGAAAATCAGACCGTTGATGGAACATACGAAGCCCACGGTACCCCCGCCTGCCGAAGGCGTCTTCATCAGGCTGGTGTTCTCCTCGCACCTTTTCGCACTGGGATCTTGTTGGACATCCTGCTTGCTTCCCATGTTCGTCGAACTCCAGGATTTCTACGTTTAGCAATGGACAGTGGTTGAAGTTTGCGCCTTCCTGTCCTGGTCCTCGCAGATGGCGGCAGTCTGCCAGCTCAGAAGGCGAGCCTGGGACGGCCACGAATGCCGCGGCGTCCTGGGGCGATCTCCGGTGAGAGGATGTGTCGAGGGAGGACGCCAGCGATGCTGCTGTTGCTGGTTGGTTGGGTTCGACAAGTTAGTACTCAGTAAATCGCACGCGTCAGCTGATCGCACCGTCCATTGTGCAAATGCCACATTATGGACTTATCCAACATTGAGGAACGGCGACTACTCGAGGTTGGTCTACGTTGGAAGAACTCCGTCAGGGAGCTCTCACTAACCATCTCAGGGACAACGTCAAATATCACCGGAGTACGCCTCCTCCCATGAAGACCTGAAGTTCACCACAGCATCTATCATCGGACCCTACCATTTCAGCTAGTAACGTACTCAATTGTTTTGTCAAAGGCATGAGGCGCGCTGCGGCCCCTGCTCAGCTACCCGCTCCAACAACATGCGAATGAGTATCGTCCCGAAGATCGTTCCTTTTGAGCGGGCAGCCCCGTACTGAGACGAATATCAACGTTCGAGAAATATACTTTGAACCTCTGGATGGATACGCTGAGGATTTAAAACCAATCAGCCGGTGAGTATTGTTGGACGATGAAGTCTGAGGGTAATCAGACTACTTATGTAACAACAGCACACCGGCAATGGGGTTGCCATTACGATTGTAGCGGACAACAAGTCAACTCGACACCGGCTACTTACAACATGCAACGCCATGCCATATGAATTTTGGCGGTATTGCTTTCCTTGTCGTTCAAGACGAGTCGGCGCGATCTAGATAGCGGAAAAATCAGTTGCCACACCGCACCCCAGGACCTGCAGCTTGCAACACATAAGTGCATGGATGGTTCGTGAGCTCCTATACAGGCCAACACAACATTTTAGCACTGGCGTAAATGGTAGGTATATGTATGTGTTACTACGTGCAATCCATTAGCTAGCGACCGCCCTCTCCAGCCGTCGAGGGTCAAGACAAGGAGTTCTGCAAGCGCATCAGACACCTCAGTGCAGAAGATCAAGTGGTCTAGACCATGGGACAGATTTAAAAGTTGCTGCACATACGAGCAGCAAGTTGACCTTCTCTTTATGACTCCCAATCAGCGCGGACGGAAGTCGTGTCGGATGCTGTGACCTACCTTACGAGACATTCTTCTCAACCAGAAAACATGAGCGCCTATTGCTGCGCCTCGTGGAAGCTGAGAAGGTGCGAGCATGAGACTTGAAGCCCATTCGACGCGGTTGTGCCGGTAATCTGGCTGGCTCCGGGGGCTAGCTATATATGAGAAGAACTGTGTGAGGTGTCTAGGTTCGATCGAAGGCTTCGCCCCGCAGCTGTAACCTACGAGAAGTGAGTGACCTTTTGAGGATTACATAGGACAGTCCCAGTGTTCGCACCCAGCCTTTGTTTCATCTGTTTTCTGTAGGACTGAGATAGACATATAACCAGCAAGGTGGCCATGATCATTCCGAGCCATATTGCCAGGATCTTGCTCCCGGCCTACCACCCAGACAGAGTCACACTCGACTTGACAACTGGTGTTGGACGTCGAAGGTATCTTTTGCGCGGCAAGGAGTCGTAACTGACTGAGTCCTCCATATCAGCAGGTGTTTGTATGGCATCCGACGATCTACCTCAGAGCACGAGCACTAGTCTCCCGATGGAAGCTCTACGTCCCGATCAACTCATATTATGGCGCGGAAGCATCGATGATTGAAGACTCGACAACGGGTACAACCCATGACGAGGGAGGCAGCGGGGCTGGTTGATTTGACAACTCGAGTATTTTGTTGGGCAACACCGCATGCAACCTCTATGTATACTGTTCTCTCTTTCCTTCGGTCAAAAATCACGCTAGTACGTTGCTTGCGATCAATTACCAGCGCCTGGCAGAAACACGTCGAAATGTGTCGTCTCAACCCATGATACTTCCAACATGCAAGTATAGATACCACAGGTATGTCATATGAATTATGCTTTATACATCGCCGCATCAAGGGGGCATAGGCGGTACTGTAATTTTACGACCTTAGGTTTGGTCCGCCCCCGGGGGGACAGGGGACAGCTGCAAGTTCGGGCCCGTGGGAAGTTTGCAAACTGACTGTAGTCAGTGTGCAATATTCTCACAGTAGGAAATACAATTCCCACGGTCAGTTCAAGGCCTGGATATTGGTGGCGGGACAGGGGACAACACGGGAAATTAGGTTCAGTTCAGGTTGCCAGGGGACAGGGGACGAACCTAAGGTCGTAAAATTACAGTACGTCTTTCCACTTCCACACAACTGGGTAGGACGTTCGAAAGGAACCTCGGGGATCATCCGGTCACCTGTGGCGAGTCTAGCATCGAATGTATGCGTGCGTGCTCGCAATTCGATGACATCAGGAAAAATCGGACTATCGAAAGAGTCGCTTATTGGGTACCGAAACCCTCTAAAGCTACTCAATGAGCACGTTTTAGTACGTTTTAGGAGGTTTTTAGCAAATCCGGTTTTTCCTGATGGAGACATGGCCTCATGAATGCTCATACACACGCAACAACAAGAAAAATCATGCCGTTACCGGAACAGCCCTTGAGACGAAACACCGAGCATGAGCTATGGGCCTGCTTCCAAAATGTGGCTAAGACCATATCTCGCAAGTTGATCGAGGTTCTCATACACGGCCTTGAGTTCATAACGAGGCCTAGGCTCAGCACTATCGTGAGCCGTGGTCAGTTCGACAGGCTTCACTGATTTGAGTGCAACTGACTCTGTCGCCGAGTTATCGCGCCGAACAACTACAGTAGCCACCTGTCCCGTCTCCTTTGCGCGAATGTGTGCGCGGGCTGTACGGGAGGAGGGCAGAGAGAAGCCTTCGCGCTCGAGCAGCAACTTCTTCAGCTCGACGCCCCAGCGATAGCCGGTCATCTGCCCGTTCGAGCCCACGACGCGGTGGCACGGAATGAGGACCGCGAGCGGGTTCGCACCGACAGCAGCGCCGACCGCACGCGCCGCGCCTGGCCTCCCAATCTTCTGTGCAAGTTCGGCGTAGGTCACGGTGGTTCCCGCCGGTACGCCCTTGAGCGCATTCCATACTTGAGCGCGGAAGGGTGAGCTGGTCAACGAGAGGTCGAAGGCCACGTGGGACGGATACGCCGTCGCGGGATCTTCAAGACAATCCAACACGTCCTGGACAGACAGGAGCTGCGCAGCATGGAGCTCGGTGCTGAAGTTTGCCGAGGGGAACCGTCTCTTCAGGGTGACGTGAGGTTCGTCAGCGAGCTCGATGGCACACACGCCGTTCGACGTGAACGCAATGACCACATTGCATTGCAGAGCCTTGCTGGTCGCGCAGTGGTAGAATATGGTGGTGGACATTGTTGGTCGCAGCTGTGGCCAAGCAGGATGGGTCGGATGGGTCTTATATCTCACGCGGGGTGGGTTCAGGTTCATGAGTCGCGTCGCGTCGCGGGGCCGCGCGCTCACGTGGCTGCGCGCAACCGCGGCTTCTCGGCAGCACCGACCTCAATCCACTCCTCCTTGCGTTCTTTCCTGGATCACCTGTGCTTGGATGGGTTGGAGGTCGTTTGGAGGCCTGGTATATATGCCTGAGGAACTGTACAAGATGATCCTCAGACTTAGAGCAATCAACTCGCCATCATGGCCACGAACACGTCCCCAAAGAGTGCGCTCAATATCGTCATGGTGAGTTGTCGAGAGTCACCGCCCGTCATTCTTCCCCGTAACTCACGGATAATCAGGGATGCATGACGTTTGGAGATCCAGGCACAGAAGCCGTTCGCGTCTCTGACCTGAAAGGTTCGCATTACTCCCCTTCATTGCAACCCGAGCTGACCGACGACAGAAATCGAGGCGATCATCGACGCGTTCGCGGCTCACGGACACGTGGAGGTAACCCTTTTTAATAGAACCACCACCTTACAACCAACAACCAGACTTACCTTGTTGCACCCTAGTTGGACACCGCTCGTAGCTATGGAGGCGGTAGTGCCGAGTCCTACCTCGCCAAGATCGACTACGCCAAGAAAGGTTTGAAAGTCCAGACGAAGTTGAATCCCACTGCGCACATCCCAGTGGAGCGAAGGGTTGGCAGTAAGTGGCGTTACCAATTCTTCCTGGGTACGTTTAACTGGTGATAGTGGTCGGGAAAGAAACCATCTCGCATGGGCCGGAGGATCTCCGCAAGTGGCTCGATGTTTCCCTGAAGCAATTGAACACAGAGTTAGATTCTCATGATATTCGATTGCCACGTTACTGATCGCACGTCTTCAGCTGTGTCGATTTGTGGTATCTGCACTCCCCCGACCGCACGACTCCTTACGAGGTTACAATGAAAGCCGTGAATGAACTTTACAAGGAGGGCAAGTTCAAGCGCTTCGGCCTCAGCAGCTACATGTCGTACGTACTAGCTCCTCGCTTTCTCAGCATCGGACTGTAACATGTGCCGGACCACGCAGATGGGAGGTCGCGCAAATCTGCGAGATTTGCAAGGCAAACGGATACGTTCAGCCGACTGTGTATCAAGGGTTTTACAACGCTCTGCAGCGGTACGTCTATCTCACATTTATGAATCTACCGTCGATTCATCTCTTCTCTACAGTGCCGTGGAACCGGAGCTCTTTCCCTGCTTGCGCAAGTACGGCATTAGCTTCTACGCCTTCAACTGCCGTATGTCGCACGATCGACATCCGCAAGCTCTCCTATGCTAACGATCTTCGCCGATATAGTGGCCGGCGGCTTCTTCACCGGCAAGTATCTCTCCAAGGAAGATCAAGCCGAGCCGGGCTCGCGCTTTGACGATAGCCGTATGCTGGGCAAGGTACACGGTTTTGTCCTAAAACGTCGAATTTCCTCGATCATCTCCCCACTAGTTCGTCCGTAGCCTCTACTGGAATGATCCCTACTTCAATGCCGTCCCATCCATCAAGAAAGCCGCGGACAAGCACGGCCTCTCCATGGTCGAAGTCGGTCAGCTCTTTACCCGTTCCGACTCGCTGATATCTGCACTACAGTGCTCCGTTGGACCTCGCACCACAGCGCCATGAAACGCGAATTCGGCGACGCGATCATCATCGGCGCCTCCAGCTTGAAGTACATTGAGCAGGTGGGACCCCGTCGCCTTCCGTTTCATCCATGAGTACCGGTGCTGATTTTCCTCGCCCCTAGAACCTGAATGATTTAGAGAAAGGCCCACTACGTAAGCGCTCCGGTCATAGGAATTTCGCTTCCATACTAACGTCATGATCACCACCAGCCGAAGACGTCGTTAACGCGGTGGACGAGGCCTGGAACAGTGTCAGAGGCTTGGCCCCGCCCTACTACCGCTGAGCACGGTGCTCATAGTTCTCGATAACCTCGAGGCCAGACTGTAGCTTGATACAGTGCCCAGATCTACTACGTCTTGTGCTCCTTGGCCTCGGCCGTTTGGCCGTCGCCACCGCGTGCATCTACCGTCACGATCTCCATAAACCGAGACCCAATGAGGGAGCCCTTTACTCTTCCAACAGCTCGTTGCATCGACTGCGATGTATGTCACCACCGGGAAAAGGGGAGACCCTTCGAGGCATGTTTGTGCTCTGAAAGTAAGACAATCACGACGCGCGAGACGTGGAAGATGGCGAACGACATTTTGCAGTAGGACGGTCCGCCCAACCCGCGTGTGGATAGCGTTACTTCTGTGAGTGATGGAATGCTCGCCGACGACCACAATAGTTCATCGAACACACCAGAAATCATAACGCAGATGACACGCACAGGGACAGCAACATTCGCGTCGTCTATCAGTCCATGATCTCTAACTGATGCGCACACGCAGTTCATTGGGGACGTTGATATACCCCCATGAATGAGACGCAGAATGTGATCTTCATGGCATTGCATGACACATGCAGCTGAAATCCTTTCTCGTGAATACAACAGATGCAAGCTTCAGGGTCCTCTTCACCAGCCATCCTAAACGTGAATATGTGTGATGTTCGTCGGGTCATCTAATGGAGGCACGTTAGTCTTTGAGTTCGCACAACAGTCGAGGGAGTTGACGTGCCATGCAGGGAGGCCGCACGCAGTACCGGGCACCTGCGTCGCATTCACTTGTACTATGCCTAGCTGCACCGCTTGCCCGTTCGTCAAGTCGTCCATCGCCACCTGGCCGACGTTGAACCCGGAATCCGCGTGGTCGATCGCGAGCACCGTGATAGTCTTCCCCGTCTGCGCGAACGTGAGGTTGAAGCAGCTGCCGCAGGCCGCGGAGTTGAACCCCTCGACGGCTTGCGCGCCGCCGATGTTGGGGAACGACGGGAGGTCGCCGAACGTTTTGAAGCCGAAGCGGGTGATGAGGCCGTTGGAGCCGGTGGAGCACTCGACGGTGTCCATGGACCCGTTCTTGTTGTCGTAGACGGGGTCGAAGGAGAGTTGAACGGCCAGTGCGCCGGACAACAGGGAGCTGAGGACGGCGGCGTACTTCATGATGTGGCTCGGAGCGACGGTGCAAGGGTTGCTGAGAGTCGACAGGTACCACCTCATACCACCTTTATACACCGTTCGGAAATGTATATTCACAGCGCGGCGAGAACATCTATAGGCGAAGAAGGCTGTCAGAAATGATCCGTCGATGTTCAACGCCATGCTTGTCTCACATATAGAGCCTCGATCAGTGAGAACAGAACGCGACTTCGGCGGTCTCAGGCGCACTCATGACCTACGCCCAGTCTACTTCCGCGCTGCAGGGTTTCGGCAGAAGGCAAGGGAATCGGAAGATAGACGTGGAGAACCTGAGCAGAGCAGGTGATACCCCATCAAGAATACTCGAAGTGCGGTTTCCATGCCCAAGAACGCTTGTCCGCCGCGTCATTGGCACAAACCGCATCTGGTCCTCTCTGTTCGCGGCGCGACGGGTTACAGATGCAGATTCGATGCAGAAATGTCCGAATTGAAGACCAAATATCCGTAACCATCTGACCTGCTATTCCCATACAGACCTTCCCGCGTGACGTATCAGTGCAGGAACTGCACGCACCAACCCCGTCCGATAGTCACCGTGCTTCTTCCACCAGCGCCGCCATAATTCATGGATGCAGCGGGCGCACAACGCCGTGTTCCTCTCTCTGGCGAGCGGAATGCAAACTTGGGGAGGCTCCACTCCCCTCGTGCTCCACTTTTACATCCTCCACCGAGCTTGCATTCTCAACAACCGTCCACGATAGCTTCGCCCGAAGGTAGAGCGCAACCCAAGTGAGCGCGAGGAGCACCGGGACTTCCACGAGCGGACCGATCGTCGCCGCCAACGCCTGCTGCGAGTCTACGCCGTAGACAGCTATCGCGACGGCGATCGCAAGTTCCTGTACGAATAGGTCACTATGCCGTTCCATAGTTTCAGAAGACGATAGCTCACGAAGTTGTTGGAACCGCTAGTAAACGCCTGCACCACGGCCATCTCGTAGCTGAAGCTGCCGTTGGAACCGTATCGACCGTTGAGACGGTAAAGCCACCAGAACGCTATGTTCCACATGATGACGAAATAGAGCACGAGCGGAACCATGGTCCGGAATACGGGACCAAGGTGATGCAGGATCTGATGTCCCTGATACGCTACTTTGAGGATCAGACGAGCGCGAACGTGATGACGAAGGTCGGATGTACACACCAAACATGACGATGATCGTGTAGAGGAGACCGATGAGCGAGAGATGGCCAAAATATGGCAAGAACTTCTTCTCCAGGAAGTGCTTGCTCGTCATAAGCCAAACGCTGTAGCGAGTAACGCATCCTGCGGCAAGGGGTATCCCTAGATACTGCAGGGGCCTGCGATCACGGAAACCCCGCTGGCTGACAATATCTCACTCACGATCAGGACGGCGATCGCAACTTCCCCGTATGAGATACGTATTGCGGCGTGCTTGTCGGCGTGACCGATTATATTGATGAACAGAACCGCGAGAGGAGAATAAAGAATTATCTGCAGCACCGAGTTGATGATGACCAGCACCGCGCAGTAATTGGCGTCTCCGCGAGCGAGCTGGTTCCATATCATGACCATGGCGATACATCTTGCCAGACCGACCATGATGACCCCCGTGCGATACAGGGGAAGGTCGGGCAGGGTAGCCCACGCCAGGCCCAGCATGACGAACGGGCCGATGATCCAGTTCAAGAAGAGAGAGATAAAGGTCTGCGTCCATAGATGCCACGTCGAAAACAGCGCCGGCAGTGCTTCATACTGCACTTTCGTCAACACTGGCCACATCATGACGATGAGACCGATGGCGATGGCTAATTCGAGGGCGAGTGTCAGTTTTCCACGTCTCTCGAAGACGGAAGGGGGGTTTCGGAACGTGCTTACGCAGTGACACCCCTCGGAACGTGGTGGTGTCAAAAGCGTCGCGGACGTCGTTTCCGGCAAGCTCCCCAATGATCACGCCCACGATCATGCTGAGGAGGATCGCCGGGGTAAGGAGACGATCCGTCCAGCTCAATTCGCGGAGGACGTCTGAACGGCATGTAAGCGAGGACATCGCACGTATATAAGAGACGAAGGAGACTCGCGCACCGGCTAGCACGACCATGTTTCTTGAGCCTCCCGATAGCTAATGAGCTTTTTTCTGTGCAGTTGGGAGGTAGGTAGGTAGGTAGGTATATTGCCGACGAGGTCCCAATAGCGGAACAGCCGGTTGCTGCGCTGCACGTACGCCACTCGTGCAGTCGACAGGAGGAACGGGACGTTCGCGGGAATCCATCGTTGTTGGCTGGAAGGTGAAGAGCGTCGCCGCGAATTTGATTTTTGACAAAATCGGGCTCAAAGTGCGCCACGTGCGGCGTGGACAAAATAGGGGTTTCTCGCGCCCTCCTCTCTTACTTGACTTTCCGAATACTATCGCCGCTGACTGCTGAATCTCCAGACTCGATCGAACACGCAGGCATGGCCAGAGGACGGAAACGCGATCTCACAATCCAAGCCTCTCGCTCGCTCGTCCTCCAGCGCGCCTACAGGGACCGAAAGGCAAAGTACGTCGCCGAGCTGGAAGAGCGGTGCTCGAAGGCGGAGGCGGAGAACGAGCAATTGAAGCAGGAGCTCGTGCTGCTACGCGCGAGCAGCGGCGACGGCGGTGGTGATGCTGGTGGACGGCACGCGGTCGTCGATCCTCACCTTATGGTCGGTTGACTCGGTTCGCCTCGCCGATCGAGATGGAAAACCGTGTACTCAGCTGTTTTTTTTTTCTATCATTATGTTGCCAGCTAGACACCTGCTCGGAGATGATATCAGGCCTGGACAAGACGAAGGAACTCGTCTCTCGCCTACAGCAAGCCGCGCAGCGGTCGAACGCGGCACCACAACGGCGCCCACCCCTAGCACCGCCAGCTACGCACTCGGACGCGGGCGAAACGTCGAGGTACGTTAACGGTTCGCCAAACCTCAACTCCGTTTTGACTCAAGCGAAAAAATAAAATAAAATCGCGTGGGCAGGACGACACCGGCGAGCGAGGCGGCGGAGCTCGCCATCGCGACGCTCCTCGCGCGGTTCTCCGAGCAGGGGGCACCGATCGCCGTCTCTGATATGCAGGCGGAGACAGCTTCGACGACGACGACGACGAGCGCGATCGACGAAGAGGAGTGTTGCGGGGGGATACTCGACTGCAGGGGTCTGGTTGAAGAAGAAGAGGACGAGACGATGGCGGCACCGAACGAACCAGGACCTCCCTGACGCGCTCTCCTTTCGCACCACCACATTACTTATGCCAGAACCAAGAATTCAGAAGAAAAAAATGGTATATTCAGAAAAGCAAGGCGATAAAGATACATTGACGTGAGTGGGGTATGCGGTGACGAATGTCCGTGAGGGGATGCAGGGTAGGTGGGGGAGGATCGGCCGACGGAGTTACGATGATGGATCAAAAAAAACTCTTTAAGCCAGCTCCGCAAAACCGACGCGGCTGTTGTCGACGTCGAACACGGTGTAGACGTTGCGCATGAACACGTCGCCGACGATCCAAAAGTCGAGCCCGGTGTCCTCGCCGACGATGCCGCCGACGCACTTGGACGAGCCCGAGGACTCCTGGCCGAGGTTGAAGGTGTCGGAGGAGATCTTGAACTCCTTGCCGCCGAAGGTGAGGCTGACGTCGGGGATGGAGTCGCAGGGGACGGCTGCGGAACGGGAAAAGACGTTCGGTTTAACGAAATCAAAAGGGAGGAGGAAAGAGCGAACGCACTGTAGTAGCCGTCGCCGATGTCGGTCGCTTCCTCGGCGCCGTCGATGGCGTCGTAGAACTTCTTGGCGTCCGAGGTGGTGGCGACGACGAGGGTCGTGCCCGAGTCGATGATGGCGCTCGTCGAGCCGAGCACCTTGTCGCTCTCGACGTTGACGGCGTCCACGTCGACCTGCCAGTAGCCCTCCTGGGTGACGTCGACGTAGGTGATCTTGCCCGAGTAGAGGTCGTCGTTCAGGCCGCCGAGGGTGAGCTCCGCGCCCGAGTCGGAGAGCTTGAACGCGAACACGCCGTCGGTCGTCTCGCCGTCCTTGACGAGCGTCTGGAAGACGGGGTCGGCGTTGTACTCGGAGATGGACTTGAAGCCCATGCCCATCAGGCCGTCCGCGGGGAAGTTGGACGACTCGAAGCCGCTCGAGTACTGCGAGGCGGAGCCGAGGGTTTGTTTCTTGGCGGTGAGGCCGGCGATCTTGACGGTGTCGGTGTACTGCTTGCCCTTGACGGTCGAGCCGTCGCCGTAGGCGAGGCTGAAGGACTTGCCGAGCGCCTTGGAGGTGCTGCTGGCGGTGTGCTTGTACTTGGTGTGGCCGGACTGTTCAGAGCGGCGGCGGAGGTCATACGGTTAACTATCTATCGGAAGGGAGAGGGAGGGGGAGGAAACGTACGCAGGTGCTGCCGCAGTTGGCGCCGGGCAGGAAGAGGTCGCTGCTACCGGTGTCGAAGTCGACTGCAGGGAGGAGGAGGCAAGAGAGGCGAGAGTGTGAGCCCGGGTGTCCTTGACGTGGACTCGGGGAACGGGACGATTACTGACCGGTGTAGGTGACCGCGGGGGTGCCGACGGAGATCTTGCCGTACCAGAGCTCCTCCGAGTCGTCGGTGAGCTTGTCCGAGGCGACGTCACGCTTGGCCGGGGTGGACGCCGAGGCGGCGGGGTGGCGAGCGCCGGTGTTGCGCTCGAAAGCGGCGGCGCCACGCTGGATTTTGCTGTGCGATCCAAAAAGACGGGGGTCAGCTGTCGTCCGGGAGAAATGGAAGGCTTTTGGGAGGGGGAAGCGTACCCGACGGTGCTCTTGAGGTGAGCACGGAGGTTGTCCGCGTTCACGACGCCGTCCTCGCCGCGGAGGTTCGAGCGCTTGCCGAGGGAGATGGAGCGCGACTGGCCGTGCTGCTCCGGGACGATGGTCGCGGAGACGAGGTAGGGCAGGGCGGCAACAACGGTGGCGAGGGTGAAGCGCATCTTGGGATCGAACCGGTTGGAGGGGAGCGGGAGGGGCTTGCTCGGTGAGGACCTGGGATCGGTGAGACATCCCGGTGGCAGCCAGGCAGACTTTATAGCGGGTGGTGCAGCTGCAGCGTCGGCTCCGGCAGTAAACGTGCACGCGTCAAGGGTGCGCGCTACAATCACGGCGAGACGTGCGGTTGCGCACTCGAGCACATGCGACCGTCGTATGCGTTGCGGTCGAAGGGGCGCGAGAGGAGACCGGATCGCATGAAGATGATTGACGGCCAGCAACGGACGATCAGCGAACCAAGCTGGCCAGCGGGGTGTGCTAAAAATAGACCACAGGTTGCATCCCGTCGCGTGGATGCGTCGCGCGACGAGGCGCGAATGCTATGCAAGCCAGGCAGCGCGTGAACGCCCGCACATGGTATTCGCAACGAGGGCGCCGGTGTGGTAGCAATAGCGAGGGAGCCCCGGACGTGCACCTCGCGCGGTGGTGGTGCTGGACAGAGACGCGACCGTCATGACGTAAGCGTAGAAGCGCCCCCCTTTTCATCGAGCGTGGTCGCGGGCAATGGAAGCGACGGGACGTTATCGGAGGCCTTTGCACACGCGTTGTCAAGCGCGCACCATTCGTAACAGGGGAGAGCGGTCCCGGGAGGCAGCACATGAGCACATGCATGGCTCGTCTCAGAGAACGGAACGCGCACATGATACAAGGGTGAGTGATAGTTTACGATACAGTGACGAACAACCTTCGAAAAACAGACAGCAGCGGTCGACGATACAGGCGGTGCGGCGGGTCAGTAGTGTCCATGCCCAGGGTGTTTTGATCGACAGAGCAGGGAGAGGGGGAGGAAGGAGGGCAGATCAGAAAGTGTTCATGGACACGGAGCAGAGGCGTCGGTTTAATTTCAAAGAACGTAGACGTCTTCCCATTTTGAAGGCAGGAACGAGATCGTGAGCGACGACGTCAGCGGCTTCTCGTCGTCGACGAGCTCAACATCTAGCGAACCGGGGCCCGTCAACGACTCCACTCCAAGGGCGTGAACGAAAAAAATCGAGCGCGGCAAACGCACCGTCCGGGTCCATCTCCTCGAGCGGTATGCTCCACTCCCGACACAAGCACGCCAAATCCGGCGGCGCCCCGCCCACCACCTTCGCCGCCAACCTCGCGCCCTTCCTCCTCCCCGCCGCCAACTCCGCCCCGTTCCCCAAATACCGCCCCATCTCCCCCGCGCTCCGAAAGAAATACTCGACCTTCCTCGCCGTGCCCCGCGCGCACCCCACCATCGAATGCGCCACCAGCACCCTCAGCGACGCCGGCACCCGCACCACCTCGAACGGGCTCTGGTCCGGCTCGAGCGGGCCGATCACGAGCCGCCTCAGCGCCTCGAACGCCTGCAGGTCGAGCGTGCGCGCGATGCAGAGCTCGTCCGAGCCGATCAGGCTCAGCTCCTTCAGCGTGCCCGCGTACGACTGTATGCACTGCGTCAGCGCGTAGTCGTACCAGCAGTTCCCCTGCAGCTCGATCTTCTCCAGCGTCCGCAGCGCCTCGAACGGCGGGACCACGAACACGGGCTCGAAGATGTCCGTGATCGTGCCCGACACGCGCAGCGTCCGCAGCGCGGGCAGCGTCGGGAAGCGGAAGTAATGCGGGAGGTAAAAGTCGGAGAGCGAGAGCTCCTCGAGGCCCCGCAGAGCCGCGTCGGAGGCGGCGGCGGCGGCGGCGGGGTGGTCGCCCGCTCCTCCCGCTCCTCCCGCCACCGCGGCGCCGAGCGCGAGCGTGTCCGAGAGCGAGCGCCACTGCCAGCCGCAGAGCGTGAGGCGGCGGAGGCGGGCGATGCCCGTCGCCGAGGCGTCGATGAGCGGGAGGAGCGAGTGCGTGTTCCGGCGCGAGCGCAGGCACACCGCGTCCACCTTCGCGCACGCGGCGACGACGGCGTAGAAGCGGCCTTCGGCGCGCTCGGCCTGCCGCCGGTGCGTGCGCTCCCGCCGGCCGCGGCTGAGGAGCAGCACGCGGACCCAGCTGAACCTGAACGGGGGCTCGACGAGCACGAGCGTGCGCACGAGCGCGGCGAGGTCCGCGCGGGCGGTGACCGTGCGCGCGAAGAGCTTGAGCGCGCGCGGGGAGGGCAGGAAGGGCTCGGCGTAGAGCGCGGCGACGCCCGCGAGGTACCAGCCGCGGCAGACGCGGAGGAGGGCGAGGAAGTCGGTCTGGCTGAGCGCGGCGGGCGTCGCGTGCGCGGGGGAGTCGGCGAGCCAGTGGTTGAAGTAGCGCGAGGTCGGCGCGGCGTCGGAGGGCTGCCAGCGCGTGAGGTCGTAGACTTGCGAGAGGATGACGACGACGACTTCGGGCGGCAGCCGGCTGCAGAGCGAGTCGGACGGCGCGGGTCGCTGACGTCGTCTTAGTCTGGGCCGGAGCGGGAGCGGGAGCGAGGGCAGCTTCGGACGCATGGTGCGGCTGGGCGATATGAAGAAATCGTGTCAGCCGGTTAAGTATAGTAGAGTCTGGTGCTAAGTGGACGATCGCACGGGCGCTCACGTTCGAATGAACAGACTGGGGCTCTGTAGAGCTCCGACCAGTCCTATGGTCGGGATCAGGCTATCGCTGGCAGCAGGAGCAGAGGGTGACGGTGCAAGGCCGATAAGCGGCTGTTATGAGGGCGTCAACGAGCGTGTGCCGCAGGTGTGTTGGTTAACGATGCGAGCGCCGGCGCTATAACTGGGTTCGCCTTCAATTTATGTTTCTTCTCAGTTGCCCCGGAGTGACAGCAGAGTTCAGATGAGCAGAGAAACGGAGGAGCCACGAGCAGATTGCTCTGAGTTTGCAGCTGCTATATCCATGGCATTGGCAGAGGCGCGCGCCTGCAGCACGGGATCCATTGAAAATGGTCGGCACGTTCGGCCGCCCAGCGCTCAGCGCTCAGCATCGGCGCGTTCGTTCCATCGACGTCTTGCACTCATCCTCTCGGATCTCGTTCACCTGGACTTTCGCAATACAGACCTACTACAGACGTATTGACAACAGAGTATGCGCTCGAGTTCAAAAATTAATCAAGCTTTTTGCTGTTCTCCATAGGGCCGCCAGCACAGAACCGCCGCCACCAAATAGAGCACCAGCTCCGGCACCACGGGTTTCGCGTCTTGACCGACCCAAAAGCATGGCATATCCTCCCCATTGAACGGGTGATAGAGGGCGATGTTGACAGCCTCGAGCCCCCTCATACGCCTTAGCTATCAACGATGACGGCGATTACACCGACGATGTCAGCCAATTCTGTTCTCGGGACGAACGGCCTCGAACGCACCACCAGACACGGCGTACCCCGCGAACTTTTGGACTCTTCCCAGCGATACTTGACATCGGAAATCTTGTTCGGAAAACCTAGCGTGCTAACGAACAGAAAAATCGGGTTGTGAGAAGACCGCGCTATAAATCGGGATCGCAGCCGACGATAGATAACAAAGTGCTCACAACTCCTCGCCGAACGATCCGAACTCGACCTCACCACGCTCGTCGCCGGACGGTTGGATGCGCACTCCGCCCGACACGTCCTTGACGACCTGTCCGACCGAAGCCGTGTACCGCCCGTCCTCCAACGCGCACTTTATCGTGTACAGCGACCCGTCCGACGTGTCCTTGCGCGGGATCTCGAAGCAGGTGAACTTGATGCCCTTCGTGTGCGTCAACACCTGCAGCTCCGTCGAACCGGCGGCAGCGCCCGGGGCGAACCATAGGGTTCGGCATCCGGTGATGAGACGCTCCAAAGCGGGGCGCGATGGCGTCGCTGGAGCGGCCATGTCGCGTGGATGAATAATAGGTTCAGTAGGGTTCAGCGGGTTGGATGGAGGAGGGGCCCAGATTGGAGGTTTTTTTTTGCCGCGGGCGATTCCGTGGAATTTATACGAGGGCTTTGTGGACGGCGACGGCGTGGCGTGCCAAGTGGCCCGTACTGTGGCCTGCGGTGGTGATGGCCGGGCACAGGGTTGAAAATTTGTTTCGTGTCCGGTCTTTGACCCTCGCGCAATCATCTACAAGGTAAGACACAACATGAATCGGCTGTATCATGGGCGAACGTGTAGCAAGTGGTATTCATCACGGGTCTGTAGCACGGTCCGAATGTTCGATCATTACAATACGCCAGATAATCCGCTGCCAGTCCCCTTGGACCAAGAAAGGACCGCCGCCACCCAAGAGAGCACCAACTCGCCAGCGATGAGCCTCGCGTCCTCGCTGATCGTCAGCATAGGCCGCGCATAGTGTTTCGCAGGAAAATAAATCGCCGCGTTGGAAGGGGTTCCTCCGATGTTCTTTAACTGCCCAGTCGATCCATCGATCAGCCGCGATCCAAAGACACGAAAATGAAAGGTACTGATCCTCACCATCAGTCCCTCTAATCCGTCCGAGTCTACCCGTTCTTTCCACTCATATGTTCCCGTCTTCGACAGGTCGCTAAGCGCAACAAAACAGTCCTCGTGAGAGGGCGATCCCATCAGACGGCAGTGACTAATGACTCACAACTTTCCGCGAAGATTTTTCAGTTGATAGGAACTTCTGTCGTTATGGGTGTAAAAGCACACCACCCGAGTCTCTGGATCCCGGACGACCTTCCCGAAACACATTCCGGCATTAGGGAGCGACACGGTGAACGTGCCTGGCGTTTCTCCCTTGTGGATCTCGAAGTGAGTTTTCTTCAGGTCCTCAGCGATCTGCTCCACGACCAGGGCTTTTCGCCCGCCGGCGCATGATTCGAATTGCAGGGTAAGAGGACCGTGACCTTGAGTGTAACGGCGTGGCGCGGCTGAAGACTGCATAGCGGGATGATGTGGACGAAGGATAGGCAAGAGGGACGTTGGAGTGATACTGCTTTCTTGACGCCATTTATAGCATTGAGGAGGTGGACGGGCCAGCGTTCTGTCAAATACTTGAACCGCGTGGCAATGGCCGTTCGCCGTGGCTTTGCCAGCCCATGGCCCGTAGCAGACGCGTAATTGAGAGGACCGCGATCAACGTGGCAACGAAATGTCTGTCGTAGCTGCGGTCCTGCGGCCACAAACAGAGCCGTGACCGATTCTGGCTCGGCTTTGAAGTTGCATCATTCATCAGCTTGGGGAAAGACAAAGGCTTAGGTTGAACTCGCAAGAAAGCAGACTCGGAGAGCCTTGTATATGGCATCACCACCCATTGTCCGCAATGCGTTCCGACGGGCCAGGATAGCAGCGAACTGAGTATTTCTCGGAGATGCGACACCCTCGACAGCCCACGAGAGCCAATCAAAGTAGTTCCGGAAATGAGTTGGCCCAAGTTCCAAGATGGAGACACGAGTTGCCAATGTCCGGGCTTCGTGCATGTCAACGAGATTGGGGCAACGGTCCGCCCACAGTTCACAGTTGAAGATCTTCCTAGAGTACATCGTTGACTCCGACCGGAACTTGGTATTTGATCTGCTGTCGAGAGCAAGGGCCGGGTCTGCCGATGAAGGTGGAGGGTAACGAAAGGAGCACTGATCGGGCAACGATTCGTTTGAATTCGTGCGAGAGCGTTTTCACATTGGGACCGCGCCGGAAATATACCTACCTACCTACCTACCTGATGGGGTCTTGTCTTCGCCCTCCTCACACGAAGAATGCCGAAACTCCGCGAAGATAACCGGTCACGACATCTGCCTATAAAGCTGGAGGCGCGACCCTCCGCGTGCAGTAGCGTCCGTACTTCCTCCTCTTCATCAGAAGGGCGATCCTCATCTTTACCGGTGCTGAAAACATCGCGGAACGATGCACTTGCTTCATCTCAATGACGACGTTCTATTGGAGATCGTCCATGTCCTGCCTCGAATGGACCTTTACAACTTCGTCCTCACCTGTCGCAGGGCTTACAACTTCGGCATCCCAATGCTCTTATCGTCCGTCTCGATCTTCATGTCCGAATACGAACTCGTCGGCTCCTTCTGCAACTTCGTCTTGCAAAAGCCGGCCGTACGTGCCCACTGGATCCGCGAACTTCGTCTTCTAGTGAGGCGGCGACCGTTGGACGTTCACGAGAAAACCTCCAGATGGCGTCGGCTAGCCGACGTGCTCCGGCACGCCCGCAATCTCAAAAGTCTTCATATCCAGGCCGCTCACATCCTTCTCGAGAGCCCAGACTTCATGAACGCGATGATGTCCTTACCGCAGCTAACCAGGCTGAGCCTCGGATCGCCAACCCAACTACTCAAAGATTTACTGCGGGGAGGCAACCCTCGCTTCACATTGAAAGAGCTCGTCTTTATGCCAGAGTTGGCCGGGTTAGAGGCGCTTCGAGGCCTCGAAAGCTCGCTGGAGGTTCTGGACTTCGATTGTGCATACATCTTCGATCCGTCGCATTTCTCCCCCTCTTCAATCGCCTTCGAGAAGGTACACACCCTCACCATCCGCCAGTTCCAACGTAACGGGAAACCGGCTCTTATCCGAGCGTTCCCAAAGGTTCGCCATCTTTCTCTTGTCGTAGGATCTGCCGGACCGCCTGGTCGCGTGCCGTTCCCCAAAGGGTCGACGACTGCCAGCGACGCCAACTGGTCGTCGGTGGATGCACTCGAAGCCCACCTCTTAGACCTCTGGCTTTTCGACCTTCTTCAACTGCGCCCTCGGAAGCTCACGCTTTACACCCCTCTCAAAGTCAGCTCCAACCCGAGCGTTCCGGCGTTCCAGCGCAACGAGGTCCTCTTGCAGTACCTCGCTATCGCTTCGCCTGTCATCCTATCCTTCGATTTGAATCCGACCATGACGGAAGGATTCTTTGCCAACATCGCGAAGTCTCTTACCAGAGCGAAGTCGCTGTTCCTTTATCTGGACGAAGACCACTCAGATGATGACAAGGCCAGAGCCCTGGTACGGACACTGCATCGTCTATATCTGTCAGTAAACGGGACTCATGTAATACGTATCCTAGGAAATGATACATCAGGCATGGCAAGTGGTGCCCGTCCAATACCTATCGATCACCTTCCGAGGACCTCTGCGGACGCATTCGAAAGCGGGCACGATCCGATGGTTTATGGACCCTCCAAAACACGCTCTGCCGCCCGTCGAGGTGTGGACAGGAAAAGTGGTAGCGCTCGCGAAAGCCTTGCTTGCCCTGCGCTATATCGATTTTCGATGGGAGGCCGGGTGCATCGATAGGTCTTGGTGGCAGATCACCGGGGACAGACGGACAGAGAAGATGGACACTGGAGTGGGAAGGACGTTGCGAAACCACTGGCGTGAGGCCCTGTAAGAGCTTGATGGTATCTTCCTATGACAACCCCAAAAATATATCATACATCGAGTCCCTATCCCAATCCAGCGCTTCAGAGGCCGTTCCATTCGAAGCTCTTATCGAGCGTGAGCTTGTCTTCGAGAAGCAGCGCGTCGCTGCTCGGGCCCACTCTGATCAGATAATCGCCCTTCTCGACGACCCATCGCCCGATGCGCTCCTCCCAATACGAGACCGTGTATTTGTCCAGCGAGAGCTCGACCGCGCGAGTCTCCCCCGGCCCTAGATCGCGCACTTTGGAGAACGCCCTGAGTTGCAAGGGCGGGTGCGTGAGGCCGCCGTCTGAACCAGAAGGAAGTGTCACATAAAGCTGGACAACCTCGGAGCCGGAGACGGAGCCGGTGTTCGTTACAGATACGCTCGCAGTGACGGTAACGTCGTTGTCCGCGAACGATGGCTTCGATAGCTTGAGGTTGGTATACGAGAAGGTGGTGTAGGATAGGCCGTGACTGTAAATATTGTCAGTGGGAAGACTACTGAAGCAGCGTAGAGGGCCGACCCAAAGGCAAATAGAGGAGCAATCTTCCTGTGATGGTGGTGTTTATAGCCCTGCATGGGAAGTCAGACGTACATACATGGGCGTAGACGGAGAACATCGAACTGACCACATAGAGATCCTCGCCGTAACGAATCTACGAATGTTGGATGGGTCTCGTGTGAGACGACGTAAAAGTAAGAGTAACATACCTTTCCGTGTTCGGACGTGAAGTGCCCATAGGTGGCCAGATCCTCGATGCGCTTGGGGAACGACATCGAGAGCCTGCCAGAGGGGTTCACCTTGCCGAACAACACATCCGCGATAGCGTCCCCGGTCGCGTTGCCGAGGTACCACGAGTGAACAATGGCTTTGGCGGTATCTGCCCACGGCATCGTGATCGCGGATCCCTACATACCAGTGAGTTCAAACAGTCACGAATGTTGGTTCGGCAATATAGACTCACCGACTCGGTCACGACCACAGCGTTGGGGTTCGCCTTGAGGACCTTCTCCACCAGCTCGTCCGTCCTCTGTGGCAATGCCAGCGTCGTCCGGTCGTACCCTTCCGTCTCCCAATCCGAGTTCAAACCGACGACGCACACGCAGACGTCGGCTTCTCCAGCAAGTTTGACGGCCTCTGCCATCATCTCGTCCTCGTCCTTCACCACGACGCCGCCCAGACGAAGTCCAGGGTTGCTGTCCATCAGCGCCTCATCCTCGTCCCCATCCGCCGGTGCGCGCACGTTGCAATATTCAACGAAAATCTCTGGCGAGTGCTTGGCGGCGATGCGCGTCCGCCCGCGTTCCTCTGTAGAGCCGCTCCCGAAGAAGCTCTCTCCGCGCGTCTGGCGCGTCCAGTTGTCGACGACGAGCTTGCCGTCCACGAAAAGCTGTGCACGCAGCGAAGAATCAGCATCCATCTTGGTTTTTCCAGTGGCCTGACAATGTCTTCACCTTAGCACGACCGGCCGAGCACAAACCAAACTCGAATTCGCGATCCTCGTCGGCCGGCTTCAGCTGACCCTTCAGGCGCAGAGTGTACCTCTTGGTGAGCCCCTTCGGCGAGTCGACGCTGATGAAGCAACGTGTTTCGTCCACGAGCTGCTCCTTGAACGGCTGGGAGATGGGTTCCATGGAATCGTCCGAGGTATGAGAGTACCACGAGCCGATCCAGCCAGGTTTGCCGTCGGGGGTGACGAGGTCATACTCCAGAGTGGGCAATTGCATATAGGCTGGAATTGTCGTGAGTTGTGTGGAACGTGACTGAAGAGAAAACATGAAGTACCCCTTGCGCCCTCGGCGTAGAGCACCTCAGTACCCTCGGGTAGGGCATTCACAATGCCGTCGTAGGGGCTGATGAAGTAGCTGGGCTTCAAGCTGGCGCTTCCTCCACCGCTAAGGACTACAGCCTTGGCATTCCCGCCTACGATGGCAACCTTGGTCTTTTTGCCTGGCATCCTCTGTCAGCGTATCACCTCGTATAAGGCGGAAGGAACTTACCAGAGTCAACCTTAAGAGGCAGAATGTTGTCCTCGTTCTTGAGTAAAACGATGGACGCAGCCGCAACGGACCGCATGAGCGCTTTGTCTTCGTCCGATTCGCGCGTCTTCTCAGAGCCGTCGCCATCGAGGACTTGCGGAGCGCCCTGCGCGCACTTTTGGGTCAACTCGAGCACCTTGCGCGCGCGCTCTTTGATCTACCACGCAGGACGGCATTCAATATTAGCCCACCTAGTCGACTAAAAATGCTCTTACAGTCCGGACTGTGATCTTGCGACTGCCGACGCTCCTGTTCATCAGGTCAAGCGTCCGCCATTTGTTCGTTCCGGGCATCTCGAGATCTAGCCCGGCGTTAAGCGCATGGTCGATGGAGTAAACTCCGAACCTGCACGACGTGCACCTTAGTTGCGTCACAGAGGATATCTCATCGCCGAGAACTTACCAGTCACTCATGACAAGCCCCTCGAAGCCCCATTCCTTACGGAGGATAGATTGTAGGAGATAGGTGTTTTCCGAGCAGTGGGTCCCGTTGATGCGGTTGTATCTGGAGAGACGACATGTCAGGGATCATAATAGCAATATTCGGGTCCCGATACTGACGCAGTCATGAATGCCCAAGGTTTGGCATGCTTCTGCGCAAGCATGAACGGCAAGAGGTAGATCTCCCTGAGCGCGCGATCTGACAAAATCGAGTCCGAGCCCATGCGATCATTCTCCTTGTCGTTGCAAGTGAAGTGCTTGATGCAGGCGCCAATTCCACCCCTTTGTAGTCCATTCACATAGGCAGATGCAATAATACCATTAAGGTAAGGATCTTCCGAAAATGACTCAAAGCTCTGTGTATAGATCATGATCAGCTATTCACCATATAATCTTAGCAGGGACATACACGTCCACCGAGAGGGTTCTGGCCAATAGTGTGAGCAACATGGAGAATGCATCATCATTCTGAGACGAACCCGTTGTATGTTGCATGTAGGTGCTAGCGCCACACTGGCGGACCGCAGCTTCGCCTCGGGGGCGAGAAGATGCTCGCCAACCTTTTCCAGCAATTCAGGATCGAAGGTAGCGCCGAGCGCGGTCGCAGACTGTGATATGTCACTACAAAGATCTGAAGAAGAGACGTGACATTACTCACAGGAAGGCACTTCGCCGGAGTGCCCATGAAGAAGAAGTTTCCTCGGATGCCGTTTGGGCCGTCGCTAACCTGTACCGCATATATGCGTCAAAACGAAATCATGGATTTCGCAGAACACGCGTACCTTTATGGGAGGCACGCCCAACCGAGGAACACCGTGTGTGTGCCAGAATCCGACGCCGGCTGTGAGCAGAATAGCTTCGTCGGTGGTGAGCTGGTCGACGACCGCATCGATGTTCGCCTGCGCAAAGTCGGACGGCTTGGGCATCTTTGAATTCTGTCTCTCGTGATTGAAACTATCGTCGGGCTTGGGTCCAAGTGGGGGTAATAAAGTCAAAGGACGATCCGGTTCGATTGTGCCCTTGTCATGGTTTTAAACCCCCCATCCCGGCGAGCGGCTATTCCTTTCGTTGTCACCGAGCGTGGATAATAGACCGAGGTTTATGCGTAAAGATAGCAGACGGCTGACGACGGTCGGACGCCATGGCCGCGCCTGGCAGAGAGCAGAGGAGCGGAAAAGTATCGGGGAAACCTCTCGAGCCAAACGCGGCATTGCAAGCACGGTCAGGTGACGTTACGGACCTCGGTCCGAATGGGGCGCCTCCGCATCCTTCCCCGCTTTCCCCACCGGACCTTACGGCGCACGCGCAATGCCGGGATCATCCCCAGGCAGTCCCCAGGGCGTGCTCGAGCATCTAGTCAGGCAGTGCATAACACGAATATAATAACCACAACAGTGTCAAAGCGATTCGCACACAGGATGCCACCTAGTCGAAGCAGTTTAATGCAATTCAAGTACTATATTCAGTATGTACCCTCGCCGGGATTGCTGTCATTGTTCGCTGTGATCACAATCCATTCTGATGATGAACTATCATCTTCCGACCAGGTAAGACTTCGTCTCCCACCCACGATTGAGAGAAGATACAAGCATTTCGGGAACACTTCTGCTTCTGGGTGACGTCGCGATCTGCCCGGCATCTTTCCTTATCTATCCCTTACCGTTTACCGTGTTGCCGTCCTCAGGGAAACACCAACATCCCTGTACATTCTGTCGATGAATTGTTCATCACTCTACTTCGCCAGTGCAGGCCCCTATCGTAATTGAGCCGAAGATCCAACGTTACACGCGATTACCATTTGTAAAGCTTCGAAGGGTAACTATGGCGGATCCCACTGGACATGGCGGTAAGCCCATATGATGCGCTCATGTCTCTTACCTGACATATCCAGCAAACCTTGCATATCAGATGCCGAGAAAGATAGGACATCGCAGTCACCTCCGCAGATGCTACCCGCTTCCTTGGTCGACAACTCCAGAACAAGTAACGTTTCCCTTCCCGCCACTGCAATTCTCAGCGTTTGCTGATGGAGAGCACGGAACAACCAACATCAGGCACCTCGCGGGATTCCTCGATCCCATCGGAAAAGGCGATACGAGATCTCTCACTGCTCATCGACCGCCGAGCAGAACAGCTTCTCCGGGCGTGGCGGAGAGAGAGCCGCGAACAGCACAGGCCGACGACGACCGCCGGCATGCAACGGCTTAGCCTGGGTCAGAAGTCGAGCACACTCGGTCTCATCGTGCGTTGATATCGGAATGTCTGATGAACCCCGTTTTGATCATGCCCAGTAGACGATATCCGTGGCATCCATCGCCATAGCTCTGACATGTATCACACACGACTCCTTGGGGGATCTATCGATGGAGGAGCCCGAAGACTGGACGGCAAGTTTGCTCTTCGAGGCATTCCTGGGTTCCCTTGTAGCGTCCATCGGGTTTGCCGGAATCGCGGCCAGCGAGAGCGCGTCCGAAGAAGAGAGCGACGATCGCCTCCTCTCGTCGCTTTTTGTCCTCTTCTGTGCAATGGCCGTCGTTTCTTTCTTCGTCTTCAGCGCCGGGTTGAGACAATTCGCGTGGCACGCGGGATATGCTAGCGTACACCAGACGGCTCTCTTCTGCGTCGGGATTTGTTTTGCGTTCGTTGTGCCTCTGCGCTTTGTTTTGCGTACGGCAAGGTCTGTATGAGCTAAGGGGCATGCGCGGAGTGTGTCGAATTGCCGGGGAACCTGAAAGATTGGTATTGCGACGATGAATTATCATGTATTTACTATAAATCTGAGAACGACAAGTACTTGATTTCATCGGTATGCTGTTAGTTTACCCTTGCAGGGACGTCACAAATGTTGAGGCACAGTTATGATCAGAGATATTTCATGCCGGAGACGGTTACTAGCGCCTTCTCTGACAGCCATTGCCAAAAGCCTTGTTCCTTGCACCATTCCGGGGCCCAAGTGGGAAGGATGAGCTTGAGCTTAGGTTTGCCGGCGTTTCGTTTCTTCGTCAGCTCGTCCCGGACGCAGCGGATGCAGGCATTCTCTCGCAAGTCAAGCACGCGACAGCGTGGCCACCCCCCAATTAGTGCCCCTTGTACTCGGTTCATGACCGATTTCGTGTCGCCGTAGCTAGGGGTAATAAGCAGCTCGTAGAGAGCTGGGAAGTACGGAGACAAATCGGTACTGGTATGATCCCAGTCGATCCGCAAGCTCTTGACGTGAGGGAATGTGCGTTCGGATTCCAATATAGCGTCCCTAAACGGCCAATTACAGCCATTGGGGGTATGAAAATGGAGAACCCGCAGGGAAGGGCAGGCTATGAGATCGAACAACTCAGCGCCGACTTGACTGGAGGCAGAGCGGCCCGTGCAGTGGACGACCAGCTTCTGGAGCCGAGAGAAGGTGACTTCTGCGTAGTCGTGATCAATCGGGGACCACTCCCAGCGAATGTGTAGACACAACTGCTTGAGGTTTTGGCAGAGAGACAGCTTGCGCCATTCTTCGGCGCCGTGGTATTGAGTGGACCAGTCGAGCTCGAGTACGGTCAAATTGACCAGCGGAGAACACGGCCAGCCAGACCAGAGCAGGTGACAAACGTATAAATTACCAAGGCGCGGTGCCAACGTCGAGAACGCGTCCAATGCGACGACCCCATCCTTTGGTTCTGTTCCTGATCTCCGAGTGATCCGCTCGATGTGGAGCGATTTCAAGTCCGAAAATGCGTTTGATCCAAGCAAGCCCACGACCTTTTTGATTCTACTTGCATCGTCGTCGATGGATACGCGCAAACGCAGGTTACGCACACGGACTTTATCCGCGAAGAGTCCTGCCGGGAGCGCATCCATCTTGGCCACATCTTCCTCAGTCCCATCCCATAACGAACGCATCCACACCGTGATCGTCAAGTCCATAGGAACCGGATACGCCCGCTTCATAAGCTCGAATAGGACTGGCTGGACGTGGCGTGGAAGGGTGAAAGCGAATCGACGCCACAAGCATTTTGCGGAAAGCAACGTCGTCCTCCATAAGCGGCAAATCGAGGACAGGAGTATCAATGGCCGTACACGATTACTTGGATCGAGTAGGGGAACTTGTTCTATGCATTCGACGAGTACTTCTGTCGGTAGGGCCAAGATGTGGGCTGGAGGCGGAGGCGGAGGCGGAGGCGGAGGCGAAGGAGGTGAACGGCGGAGGCGTCTGTGGGACCGCGTGGTAGACATGTTCCAGCTATAACCACTGTATCGGCATGAAAGGTTCTGTATCTCAGTAGAAAGGCTGTTCACATATGTACAGCAGACGAGCAATCCTGTTCACGAAGGCGACGCGAAACGACGAACCCCACGATTGTGAAGTTTCGTTCAAAACGCGTCTCGGCAAAACCCGACCCATAGCGGCGAATGGGCCACCGCGTGGCCATTGTGATATCAAGCTGCGGCTTTTAGTTTCAAACGTACTTAACTATCCCACAACAGTGATCGGCCATGTGGCAGGCGATTCATGCTTTACCACGTATTACTAGGACACACAGCATGTGGATTCGTATGCTCAAGAAGCTGACTAGATATAATGCTCGTCAGCCACGACGTTGACAAGGAACAGGTGTATCAATGGTATTTCAAGTCCGAGCTAGTGACTCGCGTCTTCTGCACCAGTTGCTCCCACAAGCCATGTTCCATGCACCGCTTAGGGCCCCAAGGAGGAAGAATGAGCGTGATCTTCGGCCGTCCGACGTTGCGCTTCTTCGTCAGCTCGTTGTAGACGCACCGATAGCTGGACGGATACCAACACGCGATCTCTCGCAGGTCAAGAACGCGACAACGTGGCCACGAACCAAGCGCCCCTTGGACTCGGTTGTTTAGTATGCTGTCGCAGCCGGTTGGCCGACTGCGGATATCCTCGGCCTTGCGACCAGGTGCAATGATCAGCTTATCGAGGGCCGGGAAGTGTGTCATCAGATCCGTACACGGAAAGTCCCAGTCTATCCGCAGGCTCTCCACGGTCGCATAAGTCCGCTTGGATTTCGTTATGGCCAGCATGAAGGGCCGGTAATACCCTTTGGTGGAGTAGAAGTGAAGGGTCCGTAGGGAGGGGCAGTTGATACGCTCGAACAAGTTGGCGCCGACCATGCTGTTGGCAGCGTTCTCGGTGCTGTGTATGACCAGCTTGCGAAGCAGAGGGAACTTGACGTCCGCGTATACATGCTGAATCTGGTCCCGCTCCTCTTGGAAATGTAAACACATTTCTTGGAGATTTTGACAATGTGATAGGTTGCGCCATTCGTCCGCGCCTTGGACCCGTGTAAACCAGTCGACCTCAAGCACCGCCAATTTTTCAAACGGAGACGATGGCCAGCGACACCAGAGACAACAGACCGTTAGTTTTTCAAGGCGCGGTGACAGCGTAGAGAACATGTCCAGTGCAACGGCACCGTCGCCCGACTCTGATCTGGATGACAGAAACCCGTCAATTTCGACCGACTTCAGGTCTGATAGCGCGTCTCCTCCGAGCAAGCCTATGACCTGATTGAACCAACGCGCATCCTCCTCCATTGGAACGTGCAAGCTAAGGCTACGGACACGGACGATGCCTACAAAGAGGCCTTCTTGGAGCGCGTCCATCTTGGATGTATCTTCGTCTCCCCAAAGCGACGAGTCCATCCAAACGGTGATGGACAGATCCATAGGGGCCGGATAAGCCCGCTTCATAAGCTCAAAAAGAGTGGGCTCGGCATCGCGGGGAAGGGTGAACGAGAGTTGCCGCCACAGGGACCTTGCGGACAGCAGCGTCGACCTCCACAGGCGGCATACCGAGGACAGTAGTATCAGGGGTCGCAGACGGTCCCTCGGATCAAGTAGAAGAACTCGTTCTATACATTCCACAAGAAGTTCGGTTGGTAGGGTCAGGATGTAGGATATAGGAGGCGAAGGCGGGGGAGTAAGGGTATGAAGAGGCGAGCTGGAAGGTGACCGGTGGCGGCGTTTGCGGGAGCGTGTGGAAGGCATATATATTCAGGGTGCAGTTATGACCATGAACCTATCAACGTTAACATGAATGACTCTGTAGCTTGAGACTGGTGCAGAACGGTGAACCCACCGAACAGTTCAGGAGCTAACGAACAGGTTAAGACGCCAAAAAGACGTGTCGACATTTTAGTCGACGCCCACTCGGCAACATCCGGGTCCGGCAGATCCCGTTCGGCAAATTGGTAAATCCAATTCCATCTCCCTTCGCCGTCGCGGTCGTCGACTCGGACCGGTTACGCAGCGGCCCGTCACTGCAGTATGCTACGCCTGCGTAAGGTCCCCTTCCCAGATATTCGGACGGTTTGTCTGCACAGTATCCGAAGTTCCGTCTTGCCCTAGAACGCATGGCTTCGGCGATCCCTGCAAGGATGATTAGATCAATTGCCGCAAGGCTCGGAGCTGTACTAGCGTTATGGGCCCGACTCCTTCGTCTAGGGAGACACGCGGCATGTTGCAGGCCGGGACGACCGTCCAGAAACTCACATCAATGTACTCGATCTAGCTATATTGGGTCTTGTAGAGGTAATATCCCACGTTATATGAGACCCGGAAGCTGCGGACGGCGTCCAGTCTCAGACGGCGTGGCTCACGACCGGCGGTGAAGTGTTATCATATACCGCCATACACGACGATTCCTTGCGCTCATCTCCCTCGCCGGAATCTTATCCACTTGCCTCGCTCTCGTCCAGAGCAGCCCGCTGTGCTCCCGTCACGCAACATGCAGCATGCATGCTTGAGCGATGATCATCCCGGCCGCGCGTACCACGCACTGGCGGTGATTGCTGGCTTGAAAGCCTTCCTACCTGCGGCGACCCCATCCAACGTCGCTTCAGATACGAACAGCCATGTCAGGATGTGAGTATCGTTCCCTAGGCCCAAACTTGCGTGAGCGTTGACCTCTCGTCCAGCCATCAAGTCTCAGAACTCACAGGGCTCCAACAACCAGTCGTATTCGGGGAAAGTGACAGATACGCCGCTCCCCGTAACGTTTCCGGTCAAGCCTGACCCACCGTCTACTCCACCGTCATCAGTCCTGGACGATGCAAGCCTGGAGCGGCTACAAGCTCGGCTCAATACGGATCTCTCATTTCTGGCGTCCTCCATCGCCGACCGCGATGGACGAGTTGGATCCCTCGAGAAGGAGCTGGCTGCATGCCGTGGAGAGATCAGATCGCTACGGATAGCGCTTAGCGAAGCTTCTACAAGCACGTCGACGGCCAATCAGCGAGCGGAAGCGGCCGAGAGGCGTGCCGCTGCAGCTGAGGCTCTGGCGGAAGAAGAACGACGAAGGTGCAAAGCATGCGTGGAGGAGGCAGAGGAGCGTGCGGCGACTGCGGCGTCACGAGAGCAGTCCTATCGCGAAAAGGCGGAAGAAGCGGATAGGAAGGCGGACGAGGCGCTCCAGCAAGCAGCGGAGGCCGACGAGAGGGCGGATGTTGCGCAAAAGAGAGCCAGCGAGTCTCACCAACAGGAGCTGATGGTACGAGCTAGCCTGGAAGCTGCATACGTCCGTCTACACGCAGTTGAGGATCAGGCCCTTCGGTTGGAAGGGGAGTTGAAGGACGCAAGGGAGGCGTTGACGCAAGAGACGGCTAGGGCTGGCGAGCTAGTCTCGAAGTTGGATGAGTCTGGACAGCGTGCGTCTGAGGCGGAAGTGGAAGCAAGAGCGGCCGAAGAAGAGTTGAAGCGAGTGCTGGCCAGAGCGGAGGCGGCGGAGCGAAGGGTAGCGAGCACAGAAGAAGAGGTCGCCGCTGCCAGGCAAGGGTGGTCAGATGCCGAATCAAGAGCCTCCGATGCGGAAGATAGGACGCGAACCACTCTGCATGAAGTAGAGGAGGTGAAGTCAGCGGTACGCTACTGCGAAGCTGAACTGCAAGAGGCCACTACCACCCTGGTCAGAACGGAGCACTTACTGCATGACGCCGAGGCCAGGGTGGTTGAATTGCAAACGAAGGCCGATACAGCCCATGCTACCTGGATGGAGGCTAGCGAGAGAGCGGATGCGGCGGAAAGGAGAGTCGCGGACCTCGTAGAACAACTCAGGATCCGCGCTTTTGAGGCAGACCAGGCCCTCCAAGACGCCGAGCGCCATCTCCAGCAGGCCGAAGAGCGAGCTCGTCAGGCCGAGTTGATGGCACAGGAGACTGTCGAGTCTTCGCAGATTAACGTCGCTACCGCCATGCAGTCTACGATGGACGCTGATGTTCGTGCGGACGCGGCCGAGAACAGGGCGCGAGAAGCAATGACGAGGGCCCGGAAAGCGGAGGAGTCCAAGACTGAGGAGAAGTGTCTGAAGGAAGCGGAGGAGGCCCGGGCCCTAAAGGCAGAGACGCTCTTGCAAGAGTTGTTGAAGGAACTCACTCCACGCACAGAAGCCAGCTCCGGCTGCGTTATCCAGTAGACTGTACCACGGCCATGCGTCTGCCACTTTTCAATTTATGCATTCCTCTGTACGATGGTCTGGACTGTCAAATACATGCCTTCTGCGATATTTCTTACGCCATCCGAGTCTAGCGCACATGAGTCAGCGACCATTCGGTTTAGGTAGACGTCAGTTGAATGTAGTCACCTGTGTGCCATTCACAGCCGGGGGACTGGTAGATGTATGGAGCTTTCACCGTTTAGGTCGTCTACGAAATCGTTTCCTGACAAGCTCGCCACGATCGGCGCCAACGACCTCGGGTTTATGGCCGCATCGCGCTCGCGGGTAACAAGATCGATCCCGAAGCGATTTCTAAGCTTTTGCTGCGGTCACGGACAACGTTCCCGCAGTAATCCGGACCGTCCGTCAGTTCTCCGCTGTGACTGATGGGTAGTAGACTCATGTGCCAGGTACCCTCGAAATTCATGCATATGCTGAGAATCTTGCCAACTCCCAAGACCCGGAGCTCCTTGGATAGCATGTGGATATATCCATTCCGCGGCGCGGATTGACGCTGTTAAAACATGGCCAGAGACGCGAATATGGCAACTTGGCGGTCAACGGTGAGGAATTCGATTGAAGCAGTAGCGTGCATAAACAAGCCTGGACGAAAAAATACACGCAAAGATGTTTCCTGATCGCAATCTCAGCTCTGGTCCAGGGAGATCGCTGAGACGTACGATGGATGCTTCGTGAGGTCCCCTGCCCATAAGATCTCCCCAGCGTCTCCAGCCGGGACCGGTAGTTAAAATCGCGGTGCCAATGCGACGAAGAGCATCGTACAAGAGGCGGACGCATTGAGACAAGGCCAGTAGAGACGCCCGGGCCCAGGGAATGTCACATGTACGAAAGACTGGATTATGAGGCTGCGGACCGTGAGTAGCCCGTAGGACCACACACGGATGCGGCAGCGTTGTCTCATGGGTAGGCCAGGACGGATGTCGTGCCACTGACGCGGGCGTAGGAAAAGAATGTAGTCAAACCTATAGAAGACGAACGGAATGAAATAAGCGGCCTTATCTGCGTTCCGACTCCCAGCGAGCAGGAGCGGTGATGCGGAATCCGCTCCAGGTGCGCTGGAAGGACGTGATGGGGAATGCGTTACTCACTGGGTGATCCATGTCACATGCATGCAACCTAGATCTTGTTGTCGTTCGTCCGAGCCACGATGACCGGCCCGCCAAGACTCGCAATTTGATATACCACAATGCGGCCAAGGATGAAAATTTGAAGGGAGCCGCCGAGCGGCGTTGTAGATGGCACCGTGGCCCGAACCTGGAGCACGTGCAATGCTACCACGCCCCTGTTAGCCAGAGAAAATGAAGGCTGGAGGGTCGGAACCACCAGCGGCCCGAGTTCTTCATGGGTTCAGCATACTTGTTCTCGCGAGCACGGAGATCGAGTAGCCGTTGCCCGTCCACCATATCGGTGTTCGCTAGGGATCCACTGAGCTCGTGGAGCAGCAACCCAGCGAGGCCTTGATGTGATGACGGCATTATTAATCTGAATCAATTCTGTTTTTCTTTGCTAAACAATGGCCGTCCTAGTTAGTGAGGTTCATAATGAGCAAGTAAACTCACGAATTGCGTTTGATCGGAAAAAGGCACGCATTAGTCTACTCTTGGCTTGCTCTTGAATACTGCAGGACGGTGCCCGTGCATTGCGCGCGCGGATGACCTGGTTCCAACTTCGGAAGAAGATGGCCAGTGAACAGCTCTATTTCCGAGCCATTGATAGGAGCGATATCAGCTCGCCACATCCGCCGAGGTGAGAAAAGCCATCGGCTGCCCAAGCCCCTTAAAGAGGAAACGTTCGTCCCTAGCGTAGATGGCAAGGATTCTTCTTCCTATCGCGTACGTAAGGTGCGGCTGAGCCAGCCAATGATAATATCCCAATTTGCCTAGGTGGTTTGGCTTTGAGTCCGGCCCTCGATAGTCCAAGGACGACCTTACTTCAATATATTTTGCAACGAATTCAATGCAACCATGGCCGCGACCTATCCCAAGCATCCGCGTGACTGAGTGCGCTGCCGGGTATTCCATCCTACCAGAATACGCCAATACCGGAACAACTCAGGGTCGCTGGTTGGTCTGAAAGCGGGGTATTTTGTCCTGAAGAGCGGTCACGTCCGGAGAATGGCGAGGGAACTGTGACAACCTGGAGGTCTGCGTTTGGCGTTCAGAATAAAAGTAGATAGTGTTTAGGAGCACCACGCACCAAATGCGGCCCCTTCACGACCTCGCGGACCTCGGCATGTTGGTCCGCCGGGGAGTGAGATTGGTCAGCACGGAATCAGTCAACGCGGCATGGAAATGGCCTGTTGAATACCGACCAAAGCGTTGGTACGGACATCAGCTGAGTTACAAAGAATAGATTGATTGCGGACACCAACGAGAATACATACTCACCAGAAACTGCACCGCATTATCTTCGACCAGTCGTAGGAGGTAACTTGCTTGTACCATACCTGGATGTCAATCTGATCAGTTCTTGCTCCTCGGTGTGGGCCCACAAGTCCAGAAACAGGGGCGAGAATCTCACTTTACGTCCTGCGCTCACTGCAACCCCCTCCGACATCTTCCCGGAGAACACGAGCTCGAATCGCATCTCTCCATGCGCGGACGTGCGACGCGTTCCCGAAGAGCAAGTACATGGCGTTAGGTTCATGGGGATCTTCAGCATGGTAAAGGGTCATGACTCCGTCATCGGCGGAAGACGCCCGCAAGCCCTTAGACAACTGATCCCGAGCGAACACAAGCGGGATGTGTGTCGGGTCTGAAGCAGGCGTATCGGTCCTGTGCTCCGATCATGCAGTCGAGTTAGCGAGGCGGAGTTCCCTCCTCCAGCCACTGTTCAGGACTGCGAACAACTTCAACCGGAAATATATCCAGTATCATGTCCATGAACTCACGATCGAAGCAGCGACTACCGATTAAATGAAACTGCAGGCATCTGGCATGGTCGCCATGGTGCTAGTGGCGAGTCGTAAGGGCAAGGTGATATTCGACATTTTTCACCTCGTCACCAACTCTCGACAAGTTGAGGGAGCGGAGAGCCACGTATTGGAGAGACGTCAGTGTGGGGTGAGAGTAGGTTTGGCTGAAATTTTTATCTCTTGCGAATCCGGCTGGCGATTGTAATTCCGGGGAAAAGGCTGCGCGCGCCACCGAGGAATGGCCGAATGGCCTGAGAGGAGGTCGACGGAATGCGCAATGTCAGGCATTGCAACTGGTGTTGGAAAGGGATTGACACGACCAAGACAGGCAGTCGGGCGGGGTTTCTCCGCGGGATCGCCGCCGCCGGGTCGCAGAAGGTTAGAAACCCACGATGGATGTGCCAACGGGATGAGCATGAGATACTGCAATTCATACGGTGGATCCCATCGCGACTCGGATGTTGATGATCTCGTGCGCCACTTTCCCTTTTGCCAAAGTGGACGTAGGCCCATGGCCGTGAGCCAAATGGAAGCCGTGGTCCGTCCTCGGTCCTCCGGGCGTCCCAAATGTCGCGTCGAGATACGTGATACACAGCTGCGACGACAGCATACCAAGTGATCTTCCGTTCAGCGCACACGCTGCGGTTCCGTCCTCGAGCAAAAGCTACAGGGCAGTTACGCCACAGCTTGGGTTTCCTAATTGCCAAGCACAGGTTGTGCGCCGGTCAAATGAGATTGCTGCCGTCAGGAGTATGGGAAGAACGAGTCTAGGCGCCAGCGGCAGGCCGTTGCCGGCGCGGGCGTTGAGAATTGCCACATCGTTCGCTCGGGGAACAAGGGCAACAACGCGTGAGGCTATCCCCTTGCAAAGAGCGCTGGTGGGTCATCGCCTTCTTTCATTGATGGGGCAGGGTAGAATCGATCTTCGCGGGCGGGCGCACAGGCATAGCAGACGATGAATGTGATCTCGTTCAGTATGGGAGCAGCGTTTGATCGTTCGTTGAGCCCGCGTCCAAATATAGACAAGGCGATACCCACGCTCGTGCTGCAGTGCGTGGAAGGCCAGAATCGGGCAATCCAAAGGCGCACGGCAGGGCTGCAGTGCGGACGGAGCACGACGAGGCGACTGTACAAGCCCGAGAGAGAAAGAGGACGAGCGAGGATGGAATAGGGTAGATTGCTTGCATTAGAGCCAATAACCTCCGTGGTAAAGCCGTCACGCGGAGAGCGGCAGAATGCTGGTTCGCGGTGAGAGCGCTTGGATTCAAATGAGTTTCGGTGGCCAGACCGGCGAAGAACCAAGGGGGCAGCGCCGTGACGAATCAGTGGGAACATCTTTCCGCACAGGCCTGCGTCTGCTTCTACCTGTTGCACCACGCCAGAAAGGTGACTGAAAGTTCGATTGGACGAGCTCGGGGGTGATAACACGAGAAGTTCGAGCGGGAGCGTGAGTGGCGTGTCAGTGGGCGCTGCGGAGAAGTGTGAAGAGCCTTGGGCAGATCGGGTGCAGACAGATGCCCGGGATCAGCCACATCGGAGGTCCTTTGGCAAGTCTTCAAGACCGCTCGAGCAACGGAGATTTCGCGAGCCTCCTTCCCCCCGCGCCCCCTCTCCCCTGAGTTCGCGCCAGACGCTATATTCTCCATGGGCCGACGCAAGATCGAAATTGCCCCTATCACGGTGAGATCACGTCCACTGGCATGTGTCCGACGTTGACCAATCCATGCTCGGTGTCTTCCACAGCACGAGAGGAACCGAAGTGTAAGTATAACCAGCCCCAGGTAAATTTGCGACCTTAGACTAACCTTGTGAAATCGTGTGAAGGTGACGCTGCAAAAGGTAAATCAGGCCCTCCGGTTATCATGATAGCACACGGGCGTCTCCATTGCTTCACGCTCGTCTGCTCGTCTTTCTCTCTTCCATGTGCTTGTGCTAGACGATAAGCATGACACGGAGAGAGCTGACGCGCTGAGCCGGCGGTTCACTGTTGTTCCCACGCTGCACTGCTTTCGTTCAGTAGCCCAGCGCTCATTCCTTTGTGCTTGACCGTTACAACAGCGATGCCGTGGATTAATGAAAAAAGCGTAAGTGAACGGGCTCCTTGATCGTTGCATAGTTATCTAACGTATACTTCTGAAGGTACGAGCTCGGTGTTCTATGCTCGGTGGACATAGCTGTTATCGTCTTCGGTATGTCGTAATCATCCCAGAGCGCGACGAAGGCAACTGAACTCGTAGCTCGTGCAGAGGACCGCCAGGGTCATAAGCCGAAGCTCTACGAGTACTGCTCCACCGAGATACGACACATTGTCCAACGTCACATGCGGGTTAGTTCGATCTTATCCTTCCAGTCGCCGTATCTTGACCACACACAACTTCAGTTCGATGGAGAACGGGACACGAAAGGTCCAATGGACTTTGGCGGTTCCAAAGCTGAAGACGGTGGGGACGACGACGACGGCGATGACGACGATACGTTCTCTAGTGGAAGTCCGAACATGATGCGCACCGGCCAAGGTGCTGGGATGGCCTCTGGCGGTATGGCTCCACACGTAAGCACCCCTTTCCCCGCTCTTTTCCTCCACTACTGAGCTCATTTTTCAGTTAATGGCGCTCACGCCAACGCAGATGCAGCACCTTCAACCGTCGTTCGGCATGCAAACTCACCCATCCGCCTTTCCCTCGTCTCTCGAGCGTTCACGGTCTAACACCATCCCCTCTTACCCGGGTCAAAAGAGGCCGCGCCTCGACCATCCAGTCCGGACGCCTTATGGCTTCGGTCTTGACATGACCGCGCACTCTCAGGGCCATACCTCCAACGTCGGATCCCATACTGCGGCTCATCATTACTCGCCGTCGACAGCGCAATATCCCAACCATTCTAGTACGGCGCCCTCGAACTCGTTTCCCATGTCATCGAACTCTGCATCATTGCTCCGTGGCTCCGGCAACTTCACTCCCCGCACTGGTCAACTGCACGCTGCCTCGTTCGAGATGGATAACGGGTTCGATTGGCCTGTCCACCACACCGGCTCCACGAACACGAACTCGGCGGTACCGACGAACCAACCTCGTTCCTGTGCGTTCTGACCTTCGATTGTCACCTGAGCCGGTGCACTGATCGCCGTATCTATAGCCGCGTCATCCACCCCGCACCAGGCCCAAACCGCGAACTCCGATCCGTCTGCCTGGTTAGACGGGTTCCTGGGCAGTTCGTCGTCGGCTTCCCCGTCCACTCACGCCGGCGTACACGGCAACTCTGAAAGCCAAGCGCAGGGGCTCGCGCTCCCCATGCCCAACATCAGCGGAACTCGTCGCCCAAGCATGAGCATGGGAGCGACATGGGACCGATCTCACGACGGTGCGAGCACCCCACGCATGGGGCAAGGCAGCCATGACACCACGCCACGACTCGGACATGGGCATGACGTCCTTGGCAAACGCGACCGGGAGAGCTCTGGCGACGGTAGCAGCAATGGCCACGGTCGGAGCGGCGGGAGTCCCAGGATCAAAAGAGAAAACATGGACGATGGCGCCGTGGCTATCGTAGGAGGTCAAGCATAGCTCCTACGGATCGTCATTCGCGTCTCGTGTCGGTATATGTATTGCATTCAGCGACTTCCTCGACTATGCTCACTCTTTCTTTCGTATGAGCCAAGGACAAGGTTCATATGACGGTGTCTTTTCCATCCCTGTATCTACAGTGCTCTTTGAGACGTTGCATGTATCATGGCCACGGTTTCTTATCCAGCCCAACAGCATGCTGTACGGAACTTGCCAACTTGGTCCGCGGAGAAGGACTACGTTCATGCGTTCTCGAAAGCCGCAGGTAATGTGCCCGCATGCAGGTGTCAGAGAAGGTTTGACCTGTCGGGTCCTGGGGGTGCACGGACTGCCGTGCAGTTTAGATTCCCGTCGTGAAGTCTGATTTCTCCAGTGCATCTTGATCAGAATGACTAAGGTATGAATGGAGGGTTCCACGCGCTTGCGCCATTGACGGCATGCAGCATCTCTCCGAGATCTCAACGGCATCCGCTTCCGCATATAATACCGAATGATAGAGTTATGGAGCTATTGTTGGACGTCCGAGTACTATTCGCGCTCTTGCTCACCGGGTCGCGGGGCTCTGTTGATCTATGTCGGGATCCAACTCGACCCATCAACTTTCTCATGTCACGAATCCGTAGATTCTGTTGACCAAGACCAAGATCGCGCTGTGCCTTCAATCGGCATATGCCATCCAAGGGGCATGGAGAGCTGCGATCTGGCTGCAGCTCGTGTCCACGAAAGGACACATTACCCCTTGCGTTGGCGCTCCCATGCTCCCGTGTATCAACTTCTCCCAGCCACGCGTCCACGCCTCGTGAACGCAGGGGCACCTGAGACTTCAACTGCGTGTTGACGTGTGCTCTGAACCCCCCATCCCGACATCGCCAATTCCTTGAGCCTATCTGACCTGGCTCCGATTCAATTGGAGCAGGAAGGCCCGTTCTGTTCGCAGTGTTTCCACGCGAGGGTTCCTGCCGCCCTCGGCGGGAGTCTCTTTCAGTCGGCATCTTGCATCTTTCCAGAGCAGCGCTTGTCAGCATAATTAGATTTATTTGCAGAAAACACGGATCTCAGATGATAGACTTCCAACCAAGGCACGAAGAATCAGCATCCCCGGTATTATTTCCAGATCTGGATTGCCCGTATCATATCTCGGTAATTCAGCCGATCTTCTTCCGGGCTGCTGAACGCATGTTTGGCTTCCATCTATGCAACGTACTTCGAAGGCTCGCCGCTCCCTGCATGTTGAGTGGTATGTTGATTGCGTCTCCATAGAGCATCGCCATATTCTGACGTTCGTTATATTCAACATTGATTCACTTGAGTCGATCCAAAACGTCGGAACGCCTCTTCAATTTAGCGTATTTCGGCTTTGATCCGATATCTTAATCTAGGAAATCCTCGTAGAAAAAGTTCTATCAAGGTCATGTAGTACGTTCTCGCCGGGAGTGACCCAACGCAGCAGGCTTTTGCTCTACAAATCATGATAAAAAACGAGCTTAGAACCAAGCCATAATCGTGCAGCTCCGGAATGTGAAACAATTGACGAATTATAGGACTGAGCTGTATATTTTCCGGACTGGTTCACATGAATTCATTTCATATGACTACAATTACCTGAGCAAGCTCAGGTATCTCGGATGCCGGTAATTAGTAAGCATCAGCAACCGTGGCGGTGCTAAGTTCGTGGCGTTGCGCTTTTACCGTGTCAAACTCTTTTTTTAAGAATATTAATGCGATCTACTCGTGCAATGGCAATGCAAGCGAAGGTGAAGGCGGGGGGCACCCGCCTTTTTTCCAGTGTAATACACGAAGCTTAATAGGCTGCTCATACTTGCACGTTGTTGTCTGTTCAGAATATTCCAAATACCAATTCTCGTATATAGTGTTAACAATAATAACAAGTAGTCATTGATTGCAGGGCGATCACACTTTTTGTTCGGCATAGTAGATATACTTATATTTATGCCGAGCAGGATGTAAATCTGTATATCGGTATATAGATTACGGACAATGTCCCGATCAGTAGCAACCCTAAACTGTGTGGAGATTCGTTGCTTCCATGGGGCCAAGGACTGACATATCATTGTACCCTGACCACAATACAATGGATAACTATCGCATGCCAAGGTATCAGTGCTCGCAATCCCGCAATCGCACAATTCCTGAAGCCGTTGACATTCCCGTGGTTACATTCGCACACGCGTCACCCGTCCATTTCTTTTCTCCTCTACACGTCTCCAATATCTTGCTAGTGAATGCTGCCTGAAACTGTGCATCTTATTCTCAATGCGACCTGCTGAACGGCAATCTTGCCATAGCGGTGACGTAAAGTTGAGTCCACAATCAGAGTGCAAGGTCAGAATATCAATGTCATCAAGGAGGCGTAGGATGAGAGCATGCACAAGTCGCGTTTCACTGTAAGAAAGAAAAAGAATCACATATATCTCGTGTCGGCGGAAAGCTCAGTAATGAAGCTGAACCAGATATGGTGCAAACTCGTGCTGTAGTCCCGCAACCGCTGGTGCCTGGGGAAGTATTAGAGCTAGGCTAGACACTGGGTGTGAGAGTTGGCGAACGCGACCGAAGACCACGCAGGCGTACCCGTGGCGTTTGGACGTGTCCCAATCTATCCCTTTAGTCGTCGCCGCAACACGCGCTTGGTGTTGAGGATGGAAATTACAAGAAGCTCTCCAATTCGGTGTTAAGTCAAACGTTGGAAGTTTCAAGTTGCGGTTCTTCCGGCCGCGCGGCATCCACAAACTGTGAACACCCTCAATGGCGCCGCTAGTGTCAGGAAGCGCACACAATTGACACTTCGTCGACGAGTCCCTCAGGGCTGCTGTCGGGGTTTACCTTGGCGAACTTAAACGCATCGTGCCTCCTGTTGAGATAGTGTTTTGGAGCCATCCTCGTTGCCGCCTGCGCCGGGAGTCGAAGTCATAGTGCGCGCATCTCAGGCGCAGTGCTCACACGAATGGCCCTCAGCTCCTTGTCGCAAGCGGGGGATGCCGGACAACCATGATCTGCGTTCTGCCCGCGGTGGTAATTCTGGTGCCTACGATGAGGCTGACTCCTTACTCGCCACGCACTCTGCTGATGTTCACGGTGTTTCGTTTAAGTGCAGGTACCGCTTGATTTTGGGATCGCGCATACATCCTCACCTGGGCTCGCATCGTGCATCTCCGTTACCGCATACACCTGAACACACATGCCGTTGTTCTTCATTTCCTTTCTCGGGCCGAATTGACGAAGTCCTCGGCGGTGTATTATTCCCTGGAGCTAGCTCCGCGCTGTCGCTCGGTCAGCTCAAGCCCCCTATTGCATACCGACCTCCGCTATCCACCCATCGGTTAATAACATCACAGCTTCCAAATTCTGAGGTCTCCGAGAAGGCCGAGGACACTGCAACGGTGGATTACACGCTTGACCTTGCTTTCTCATGCATCAAGGTGCGTAGTCACATAGTGGGTTGCAATGTGTATGGTAGGACGTTTTTGAGTTCCATTCCGGATGCCAATAATTACGTTGATAAGGCCATGCACTCCTGGGAGGGAACCCCGTTGCTCCACGCGAGGAACCACGGATCAATCTGTTGACTCGCGGTCGTTTCAATATTGCGATGCCGTTACTACCTCGCCAGTCGCCATCTACCACGGTATTATGCCAGTACCACACGCTCGATTTTAGCATTACGGGCGTCGTCGCTCCAGCCTTCGGAAAGACACGACCATTCATTGATCGAGCGGCGGAGCATCGTCGATACTATAACTGGCATAGGGTGCAAGATGTACATAGGATACAAGGCGCGGGATTGGATTACCGCCTGTTGTTGTTGTTGCTGGCACTCGCCATCCACCAACTCGCGATCCTCCCCACCGTGTTCGACATCCCATCGGCGAACTGCTCCGTAACCTCCCTCCTCCTCGCCTCGGAGTCCATACGCCTCACCGGAGGGCGACTCTGGATGTTGGGGTCCGTGTCAGACCGTCTCGGCATGCGAACGTCAGAGGAGGCGAGTCTCTGCTTCATCGCCCTCGCCTGCGACTCCCGCTCTCGCTCGTACAGCGCCTGCACTTCTCGGTCCTGCGCCTCCTTCTCCTGTCGCATCCTATCTAACTCCTCCTTCGTGGCTAGGGACTCCCGCTCCTGGTTAGCTAGCTTCTCCTGCAGCTTGGATATCGCATCGGCCTGACGCCTGTTCAGCACAGCGCGCTCGGCCATGGCAAGAATGAGGCCGGAGATCTCGTCAGCCTGGCTCCTTCGTTTCTCCTCGCTGTCGCGAAGGCCTTGCTGCACCTGCGCGATCGTTGCGTCCTTCTCCCCTAGCGCGGTGGTAAGGCTCGAGTTCTCGAGCGACAGCGTGGAGACCTTCGCCTCAAGCTCTGACACGCGTTCGGCACGGGATTGTGATAGCGCCCGTTCGGAAGAAAAGCTGAGAGCGAAGACGGTCAAGTCCTGATGCATGCGCTGAAGGCATTCGGCGACGAGCTGGGACTCCGACGGAATTATCTTCGTGATGGATATATACTCCGATGGACGGTCCTCAGACGAGTGCGCGATGGAGTCTGAGCTCTCGTCGCGGTGCTGAAGGGCCGGGGCGAAGTCGATAGGATAATGATGGTCCTCCATCTCGGAGCCGTAGTATTCTGTATTGCATAACACGACGGTCAGCGTCATTTTATACCGAGGGGACAATGACCTACCGTAGTCAGCCGACATATTTGTGGTAAGAACTGCGAGCAAGGAATCCGAGCCGGTCGGAATGAAGAAAGAGGTGTTGGTGATCGTCGGTATGAGGCCGTTGAAGAAAGCGGGAGCAGCGGCGATGAGTTATAAGGATGGATCCAGGACCACGCAGGTTCCGTGCCATATCCTGCATGCCGCAGGAGGATGCGGGTAGAGCCCATGAGGCCCCATGAGGCCGAATTCATGGAGTACCGGCCACGTGACTGTGAGGCGCTGCAGCAATTTCCGGGAAAATACTCGTGCAACAGGCGCGGCGTGCACGAGATGAGTGTTCGAACCCTTGATACACGAGCATGTTGATGGACTGAAGGAGGCAAAGGGGATGGCAGGAAAGGGTGCATTGGAAGGTCCTCAGATAAGCGTCGACACTGTGTGATCCCTTGAGAAAAAGAGCACAGACTGCAAGACCGTGACGTTGCTGGCTCACCTTTCAACCCATTCGTAGACGTCTTGCTTGAAGTTTACGACAATAGTGGGCCTCCCATGTGGATACGAAGGAGTTTAGAAGCTTCAGTGCACGAGGTGTATCGCCCCGACGAAGCGTGATGGTGCGCAACTCCGGCCACGCAGATATTGCCCATTGTTGATCGCAGGCCATGCTATCCTCCGAGTCTGATGGCGGATGATCTACGCAGGAGTAGGCTATGCATTGCAGATTCGGAAATGCGTTTGCGAATATAGGACATAGCGCGCAATAATCGATCTGCAGTTCCGTCACCGAAGTATAGATGGGCCGTCTGTTCTCGAGGTAAGAGTTGAAAGGAGCCCATGCTCTGGACTCGAGGCTATAGAGAAACAAGCGACGCAGAGAAGGCGCATTGAGAGAGATGAGGAATGTCGAGGCATTGGTGTCGTCAGCCTGATCGCTAACTAAACCCAGAGTCTCCAGACGTGGGCACGAGCGGGGCATTGGTTCAGGCTCGAGCGAACGAAGCGTCGGCCATGGGATAGCGCGATCGATGACGAGCTTTTCGAGCATCGGAGAGTTCACAAGAAGGTGCGTGAGCTCGTCGGATGACCATCTTCGAGGGCCTGTGGTCATGAGATGGAGGTAACGGATCGATGTTACGGTGCTCTCCGGCCAAAAGACATTTTCCAGGTATACTTGGGTGAGCTTCGGTAGGTTGCCGGAGAAGATGTTGGAGGGTTCGATCGTAAACGTCCTCCCAGGGGACGATTCGTCGGCGTTCTGGATTTCGAGGATTTCAAGGCTTTCCGACGAGAACGATTGGAACTGACGGAGTAATGCGGATGCAGTGACGCTGTTTCCACAGAGTTTGACGTTCATGGCTTGTATGTGGTCTCGATGTTCTCGGAGCATGGCGCCGACTGTACGAATCGCTTCAACGGAACGGGTATACGGGCCATGTAGTCGAGTGTCACGCAAGACGATCCTGAGTGGATAATCCTTCGCTCTTTCCAGAAACACAGGAAGGAGTAGAGAGTCGAACAAATAGTCGGACGTAGCGAAAGCGATGACGCTCCAGATTTTCTTTGCTGATAGTGCGACGCGTCGCCATCTGCCGCAGACTAATGATACTCTGAGAGCGTACATCATAGATTCATGTGCTGAAAGCAGAGAGCCAGTCTTGAAGACTTCGTAAAGTATCTCGTCCGGTAGGCTAAGGATGGACATGTCGGGAACTTCACCAGGCGAAACCGAGGTAGGGGACAAAGGCAGCAGCCCCGCAGCGCGAACGGCTGAAGCTTACGTACACGGGTATGTCAACCCCGGTGACGCCGTATTCTCGCCTGCATCAGATTCTATCGTTGTCAAGCAGAGCCTGGATGGTCTTGGGGCGCTGGTAAACAGAGCCTGAGCTGAGCTCAACATATACCGTCTGTAAGTTCAGAAGTTTCAACCCACAGCGTTCATATTCAACTTTATTGATCATTGATGGTGTTGTATCAGATATACGACACCAAGGGCTTGATCGCGATTGTTAGAACTTGCCCCTCCAGTAACCCTTGCGGCGTAGACGTTTTCATTGCTCGCGGCCCCCAGCCCTAAAGCGCGTTCACCGGCCTGAACTCTTCCAACGAATGAGACAGCCCGTACCGGTACTACGGGCAAGTCATGGCGAAGGCTCGTATGATGCAACGCTGTAAGGTCTGTGATTATTTAATGTGGCGTTGCTAAATTGGATGTTCTACCCGTCCGTCAAAATCTGTAAAGGTACCGTGATCAAGAGCTAATATTAATCTTACGAATCGTTTCATCTGCGAGCACTTATGAAGGTCGGGATCTATATCATGGAGGTGATTCTTCGAGTGCATATTGCGGAATGCACATCATGGTTGAAACAACATAGTATCCTTCGGCGATGAAAAACCTCAACTCATCACCAACGTGATTCCGACGTTTCTGGACCGAACTCTCCGAAACGCAGGGCAACGAACGCATACCACGTTCTCGTCTCACGCCAATCAATCTACGCGAATGCATCCATAACTTGCTCTTCGGCTTTCGTATACGCAGTCCCTGTCAGCGCTGACATATTGACCCAGCCGATTGTGCCAAGGATCCCTGTGAACCGGAGGCGCACTGTGGCGACCGCAAGAAAGGCGCCTCCCGATCGGCTTCGCCGGTGATCAGCTTGACGCTCGAATGTTGAAGCAATGTATGATTGTACTACGTCCGGATGAATTGCTCCGCTTCTATGAAGACGAACTTTGGTAACCAGGATCGCTGTATGGTAAGTTCTCCTACGTGTGCATTTCCCATGACCTGCGAACGAGCACGCGCCCATCGTGCAACCCTCACCCCGCCGATCTTGTTCGCCTATAGTACTCCAGCCCTCGCAATCCTCTGTCGCCAAGGCATACTCATTAGATCTCATGACATCTCCACAGAACTAACGAATCGCACTAGGCCCTGTGATTGAGATTTCGAATCTTCGCCTGCTTCTTCTTGTTGGCGCCGCATCTTCACACGTCATTGAGTTGCGGTCGAGGAACACTATCCTGAGTCCGAGGTAACATATCTCCTACGTTATCATTTAGCCGCATATTTCACGGACCTACAGACTGGCGCCCTCGGTGATATGCAGCTTTGTCGACCTCAATCTCATTGGGGACCCATCATGTGTATGAATTAAACAATTTCTCTTGCGTTCTCTTACAGCTTAACCCCCGTATTGGACCAGGATCTTTCCTCAACACTCTCGACCTTAATATTGCGACGATGACTCGGGCTTGAGCTTGGCTGTACAGGGCCCAGAGAACTTCATTTCCGCTGCCCTCATGAAACTGAACGAGGCTTTTCGGGGTAAACTTCCTTGACCTCATCGCTCTATCATCTCCAAATGCTGCAAGAACAGATTTGGCTATCGTGCCCAATAATCACCCAATTTCCGCGCTGATCTCGACACCTGTCGTCATGAATGGACGTTCGAACCGCGAGTATGACGCTCCAATACCATGTTGCATTCTTCGTCAGGAAAGGACAAGATTGCTCCGAAGGATACGATTGGTATAAGAGGTCTCCCTCGCCCGCTACCACGAGTCAGTGAGTCAGCATTACCCACCATTCAACAAGATGTCCTCGTTGACGCAAGTTCTGCTTCCCGATCTCGTGAAGCCGTTCGACACGCGTCGTTCGGTGAATTCTTTCCATTCCACCGTCGGGCTAGAAGCATCAGCATGGGTCAACTCCTTCAACATCTTCAGTGGAAGTAGGCCAACGTTATTCACGGAAGCGAAAACGGAACTCCTCGCAGGATATGTATGCCCGTCCGTCGGCCGCGAGGAATATCGCATGTGCTGCGACTTGCTCAACCTCCTTGTAAGTTTCATAGCCCGCTCATTGAAGCTTCACGCTGATAAGCACAAGCTCGTTATTGAGGAACTGTCTGCTCGGCAAGGTGGACTAGATGCTCGGATTACGGGAGAAGTGTTTTTCAGATCTCTTAACTCCCCCGGATGGCATGACGGATCAGCTTTGGCTCATGTCACGAAGCAGTATGCGACAGTTCGATATGTCCTCTCTTACGTACTAACATGATAGATCAGATTCAGAGGCCGTTTCATGCGTTTTGCCCGCCCTTCTTGCCGCCATCGTTTCATGAAACACTGCGAGGACTACGCTCAGGTTCGCTTCATACTACCTCTTGAAATTGTTGTGGATGTCTGCTCAAATCTGGCGTAGGCCGTGGTTCGCGAGGCTGAGTATCGGGCCCGTCGCGATATCCTGGACGTGACAAGCTACACTGTACTAAAGCGCGAAAATACTGGCGTTCGTGTATGTTTTGCGATGCTTGAAGCAGCGCTGGGTCTTGACCTGCCGGACATCGTCTTCGCGAACCCGGTGTTCATATCGTTGTACTTTTGCGCGGTAGACATGGTATGCTGGTCGAAGGTAAGTTCTCCATTCCAACTAGATCAAAACGCTGATGGATAGCATCGTCTTAGGACATATACTCTTACAAGCTAGATCAAGCGAATGGACGTAGCAGCCACAATATCATTACAGTCCTCATGACACACCAGCACACGTCTCTTCAAGATACATTTCGCTTCGCGGGCGAATACTTCCTTCGGTTGCTACAAAGGTTTCATACCATAAAATCAACGCTGCCCTCATGGGGCGGTGGGACTGATGCGGCCGTCGCGCATTACGTCCAGGGCTTGGAAAGATGGGTCGCTGGCAACGTCCAATGGAGTTTTGAGACAGAGAGATACTTCGGACGGGAGCGAGAGCAGGTAAAGCGAACCCGAATCGTCACTCTTTCCCGTGGTTGAAAGTACGCGGCGCACCGAAGGTTATTTCGAGTTTTGCATGTATGTCGCAGTTATACCTCGGTTATTTCTCTTGAGAGAGCACCATCCACCTATACGACGAAGCGTCCGACGGATTATACAGACCTTAAACGTCGTGGGTTTCATCGTAGCGTGGAACAGGATCAGTTTGTACCCACTATATCGATTCGGCCGTTCGCTCACGTCCCGCGCGCCAGTGTCTCTTGCGCCGTATAGTGTACGACTATTGAACACGATGGTCGGCTTTCGGGACGACTCAGAACGCGCAGAGAATGTGACATAGCCATACCTACAAAGGATAACAGCTTAGATGATGTCGTTCTGTCCATTAATCAAAGATCCAGCCCTGATAGAAGGGCGTGTACTCACATCCGAATCTCAGCGACTCGTGGTTCATCTCACGGCATACATGCTCTGAGCTGTTAATTTCGTATATGGTCGAGCACATGTGCCGATGCCTGACATGCCTTAATCTCCGTCATGGTTCAGGATGGCTGTGAACGTTGACCGGGCCGCGTACGTGCGGAGATCGTCCTCCGAGCGGATCTCGTGTATGTGCGCGCTGGAGGACGCCACTCAAAACCCAACTGCACTTAGTATAGATACTTTGATATCAGATTTGGCAAGGATTGAGAGTGTAGCGAGAACACCTGAGTATGCGTCGTTCATCGCGAGTTTTCATCGTAAGGATTCATATTGTAGCTCGCCTTCACATTCCTGCTTTGCTAGCGTACGCTACAACGTACCTAGTCGTGCAGGGACACCGTTGATGGCCGGGGAGGAGCGGGTTGCCTTGGCCCGGGTTGTTCAGGCATTCAGACAATGCGCGGGCCGAAGGATCTTCTATGCGATATGATCATTCCGTGGAGTACACGCAAACAGATTGCGTCTGGACTTGGCGGAAGCTTACAAGGTTCAATTCCGAACTTCTCGTGGGTACAGGCTCGGAGGACAATGCCGAATTCAGAACAAGGCACGGCGAGCCTGGGTCCTGTAAAAAGTGGCGATGATGAGAAGCACGCCCGAAAGAGATCTTTCAAGGTGTCCCGCTTACCGGATGCGTGGCGTAAAACCCAGTTCCACAGCATACCTATGATGAAATGTGCCGACTTTGCCAAGGCATATTCCGGGGGATGCAGTCCGTGATGAAGTCTAAGAGGCATCGCGCGTTTCGAGTTGATAGATGCAATCGCTGTCACATGGTTGGTCAGACGGTGGCAGACTCGCTGTACTAAGTACACGAGGTGTTTTTTGCAACATACAGACACTGTGGGGGATGTTATCTTCGCCCTGCCAAGTTCAGTTGTTTCGGTTCAGCGGGGTAACAGGTCACGATCTCAAAATCGTAAACAACGTGTAGCGCTTAGCGTTGATGCAGAGTTGTGGTCACGGACCGAAGGACAATTCTGCGACAATCAACTCGCATGTCAAAATGCTACGTCTTGAAAGGTAAGCTGATCGTTGATCGAAACGCACTCGCTATCCATCGACGCCTGCCGCGGTATCCTTCAGCTAACCGTGGCCCCGAGGATAGTAGCCTGTGGGACATAGCCTGACGTCAATACTTCATTACCGGTCCAACAGACGCCTTCGCTTCGGGCAAAAGCTCACCTGCCTCTTGCCGTTCACTCCAGACCAAGTTGAATGAGATCGTCATCACGATACCGCGATACGTTTCTTCCTCGTCTGACACCGTGCGGGAAACGAGTGTCGGTCTCCAATCGCTGGTGACGATGCTCCGTGATCTACGGCGATATACTAGTTAACCGCGAGGCCATCGTGAATAAGATTAGGTTTTGCACAACGGACCGCTATCTGACCATCGCCCTGAAAACCGAGGAGATCAGGGCGCGTCTAGGGCGAGCAAACTCTCTCGACAGTAGAATATGGAGGTCATTACGGTGAGCACGGTGCGTAGGTCGCCATATCCGGGTACCCTCGCATGCCCTCGGCATAGCCCAAGCTTCGAGCGTCTCGTATCCAGGCTTCTCGATAACCCATACGTTCGTCTCGGGCCGTTTCATCCGAGGCGGGGCAAGAACCCTGGGGTAAAAACCCAGATATTGCCTTCAAGCCGTGTGCATGGCCGCGTCGTTTCATGCACAGGGTTCGCATCCCGTACGGGTGTGTGTGTACTGCATCTATCCGTGCGGACGTTTCCCAGGTGTAGCCTCGTGTTCCGCGAAGTTTCGAGGGGCCAGTGCGTGAACCTGCTGAACGGCGAGGGCAACCAGGCTTCACAGCAAAGCTCCAGCGGATCGCGCGATGGAAGGGATCTGTCCGGGTCGAGCTTGTATGCGCTCCAAGATGCTCAGGGCCGTAGGGCAAACAAACTCCACACGCTCGACGAACCCCCCCGGGCGCGCCGTCCTCGCGGACGGTTAACACTGAATGTGTGGCGCCACGGGCGCCGACCATAACGCTGTTTCCATGTGTCTGTAACGGTATGTCGAACGCCCCGGCCGCGGCCCCGTGTTGCGGCATGCCATGCGATCCCGATCGTGGTGGTGAGTGGTGGCCGTTGATACATATACTTTTGAATGCAGCTTCGTGGCGTTTCCGTTGTCCTTGTCGTCGGTTTTCGTCGAACGCGTCTTCGATAAGCGGGAGTGGTCCCGCAGCGCCGCCGCCACCGCTCGCGTCCTCTCTTGCCCCCGCTCTCGCTCCCGCCTGCCCCGTGCAGTCCCGTCGTCCGCAACGCCCAGGACCGAAGGGGGCTGAAGAAGTTGGCTCCGCATCTTGCCCCCGTTCTCCGGATGTGTATGCACATACGAACACGTGAAACGTGAAAGTTTACATACTCGGTCGAATGTGGTGGTATGTATGTAGGACTAGGTCGCCGCGAATCTATGGGGTTCTGGCTGGCCTCTCTAGGGCTCGACGGGGCGGTGCATGTACACCGAACCGGCCCTTTATCCCGGTGTCGACGGAGAGCATCGCGTTCACACTTGGCAGACGGAGACGGCCAGAAACGGGGAGGGGGTACGCGCGGTCGGAGCGCGCGCCGCGGGCGGGCGGGAGCGCCGACGGGTGGGAAAGCTGTCACGACTCACGAGGCTCGCGAGGCGCTGCACTGCCGACTGCCTCGAGGTTTCCGATCAGCTCAGAGCTGTGCCCGGAAGGCGGCGAGGAGTGCAAAGCCAACAGTAACGCCATTCGCATCGAACGGGTAAAACCGCAGGTTTTTATCCTCGAACGCGGGAGGAGGCTTCAGCGAAAGGAGCGAGCTGAACGACCTCAGGGGGGGGGGGTCATATTCAGGAATCAGCACAGCTTTACACGCAAAAGCCTCTCATGCATGCCATATACGAACGCACGATGCGTAGACACGACTATCGCGAGTACACATGGTCAGAGGTATGTGTGTATCAAGACAAAGATTCCAAGGGGGCGCCGCGCGTAGCCCGACTCGGAATTAAGCCGACGTGTTCGTGCCGGCAGGGTGGAATCGTGCGCGTGATACAGGGCGCGCGATGGGTATTACTCGAGGGAGTGGCAAGCCGACGTCCAGAAAGGTGTTCATTCGAGGTACATGCAGGGCTGTTGTACATAATGAGCGTGCCTGGCGAGGGCGTCTCGTATAGGTGAGGCGCCTCGAGGCCATGAGGCACAGACACGGGGCAAGAAAAAAAATACGTGTCATGTAGGCGGTGAAAGTCAAAGACGCGGTCGCGCGGTGCAGGGCAAACCTTGCTAGGCTTTTCGAAGCCGCCGCGATATCTCGGAGGGTTTTGCTTTTGTCCAGCGAACCGGACCTTGTCCAGGTGGACGTGTGGTGCGCGTAACGTCGGCATCGGCAGTGGTGGATGTACGAGATCCGCGAAAAGGAATGCCAAGGCGCCTTTGTTCTTCATAATCGTGCAGACGAGACACAAGTCTTAGCGTGGATGGGTGGAAATGGTTCTCCCAAGCCTGTCCGGCGAGCGGGCGCGCAGGGGAAGCGACCACCCGTCGGGCTGGGCTCTGCGGTGGTGTGTGATCGAGATACGTGAACACGCGAGCGTGGATTTCGGCCGCAGATGGCGACGGGTTTGAGGATCGCGATCGTACTAACAGAGATACCTTACGCCAACTTTTTACGTGCCGGCCGCTATCACGGACGCGGACGTTGGGCTGCGCCGGGTGGGTCACCTTGAGATCGACGTGTTGCATAGCATTTAGCTTTCGCGTCTCTCTCCCGAGGACGAGTAAGTATAGTGCTCGGTCTGGGCTCTCCATGTTGTCGTGCTTAATTGCGTTGCCGTGGAGCGGGGGTGGACGTGCTGCTGCTGTTGTTGTTTCGGGACGGAGGGGCATGGATGGGATGGGATGGACCCGCGGTCTAGGCTCCGGCGCCGTTATCTCCGGGGCTCCCCTTCCGTCTTTGGCCAGAGTGGATTGCAAACACTATCGTTCTGCGTTTAGGTACTCTGCTAGAGCGGGGGCCATCGTCCGTCTGTCTGATGGAGGATGGAGGAGTGAGTAGGGGCGCGCAAACGCGGCTTCTCTCGGAACGGTATGAAAGAGTGTAAAAAATAAAATAAAAAGTACATAGAGCCTGCGAAAAAGGCGCCAGGTTGATGTTTGAGATGTTGGGGCCCTGCCCACGTGGATATCGTGGCTGGTGATCCGTATTACGCTCGCAATCAGAAGAAAGATGGGCTGATCGACCCGCTTTGGCCGGAGGGCTCGGTCTGACTGCACCCGCCCCAGTGGACCGAATTCGGCGCAAATGCGATGGCGATTCGGGTGGCGTGGGTTGAGCCGGCTCCGAAACCGCGCGCGACGCGTGCACCCCCCCCCCCAAGCTGACAGGGCGGGCCCGGCGTCGGGGGGTCTTGGATCAAGTGGTTTTCTCGGCGTGTGGTATGCTGGGCTGGGCTGGGAGGAGCGGCGTGAGGGGGGGAAGGCCCGATGAGCCCGAGGGAGATGGGGTGGGGAAGGACGGGCTGGAAGAGGAACAAAGCACGGATCGACGCGAGCGGCTTCGCGGGTCGAAAGCGCACCGCCACTCAGGGACTGTCGCTTTGGACGCTTCTGTGCGCAGGGCTCGTGGCGGGTTGGCGCGCGTACATACATACGCAGAGCGCGTCTGCTTTTCGCAGGTTCGACGGTGACTTGCAGCAGAAGAGCCGTCTGCCCGCCGTCGATGACGGCGAGGGCGCGCGGCAGAGATATCCATAGTAATATATGACATTTCGGGGCACACACGAGGCGAGACGCGCATCAGTTTCAGTTTCAGTTGGACGGTTTATCTGCTGGACGCGGGCGGCAAGTGGGACGTTGGGCCTGCCTCTGGCTGCCACCTCTCGCTGCTCCCCACGGCCGTCGGTGTCGAGGCGATCCATGGATGTGGCGGAGCGGAGCGCAAAAAAAGGGAAGAGCGAGCTGGGCCGGCCACGGCTTAGGTAAGCAGTCAGGGACGCGCCGTTACTTAACGGGCTCTAGATCAACTTTCCTCAGGCACCGGTCCCTTTTCCCCCCTGGGCCAACAAACATGGACCAGCCAGCGGATCCCTCGTCCGCCACCATGCCCGCCGACGACCACACCCCGTCCCCGACGTCCGACACGCCCCCGCCCACCACCGCGCCCCCTGGCCCCGCCGGCAAGCGCTACCGCCCCGCCCCCGCCAAGACCTTCCAGTGCAGGGGCTACGGCGAGTGTCGCATGGTCTTTTCGCGCTCCGAGCACCTCGCAAGGCACATCAGGTACGTCGCCCGACCCGACCTTGCCCCCCAGCTCACCGCCGCCCCAGGAAACACACCGGCGAGCGCCCGTTCAGCTGCCACTGCGGCAAGCAGTTCTCCCGCCTCGACAACCTCCGCCAGCATGCCCAGACCGTCCACTCCGACAAGCAGGACCAGAACGAGCTCATGATGAAGGAGCTCACCACCCTCCACGCCACCATGTCCGCCGCCTCCAAGGGCTCCTCCACCCGCAAGCGCCCCATCCCCTCGATCAACACCGCCGCCGCCCAGGCCGCCGCCGACCACCAGCTCTCCGCCGGCGTCAAGCAGGAAGACGCCGGACACGTCCCGCTCCACCAGCGCCCGGGCACCAGCACCGGCTACGAGGGCTCGGACCATCCCGGGCTCATGTACCACGCCGGCTCCTGGCACCTCCACCAACACCACCACGGCGCGTCGCCGACCAGCCATTCCTTTCGTGACCCCGGCCAGTCCTTTCGTGTCCCCCCAGCCGCCTCATCCACCGCACCATCTGCCGTCGCTCTCGCCGCCGCTCCCCCTGGACCTCCGTCGTCCCATATCCATGTCCACCATCACACTTACGTCCACGGGCCAAGCCCCGGCGGCCATTCCTTTCTGCCCTACTCCTCCCCATCATTCAACTTCGGCCTCCCCGACGGCCACGGGCTCGCACCCGCCCCCTCCTCAGGCTGGCGCGATACACGGCCAGGATCCAGCAGCAGCCGGCCACCCACTTCAGGCGGCGCAGGGACTGCTGATCGAACCCTCCCGCCCCTCGCTGCGGTCGTCTCCTCGTCCGTCACCCCTTCACCACCCCAGTCATATGTCCTCCCGCCCCCATCCGGGACAGGCGCCCTCTCCACTCAGCACGTACTTCCCTTACCCGGCCGACGACCCGGCACCGCCACTCGGCCCGGCACCGCGCCCGCCGCCTACGCATCCGCACCAGGCGCAGCTTACGACGGAGGACCTGGCCTGGTCGCAGCTCGCGGCGAGCTACCCCATCTACCCTCGTTCGGCGGCCTTGGACGACCCTCGCCTACCGAGCTGGCCTTTGCAGGAGCAGCAGCCGCAGCCGGGCGACCCGGGTCCTCTTCTTCCCCGTTCGCCTTTGGATACGGCGGATACCTCGGAGTCGGAGCAGGCAGCGGCGTCGGTGGGGGCGGGCCGTCACCCGCAGCGGCCGGCGTCCATGTCGGCGTCGACGGAGACGACGGCAATCCGTTCTCTTTCCAGCCGCCGCCGCTCACCAACGACCCTCCACCGCTCTCTCCCGCCCTCGGCGCCGGGTTCGCTCACACCTTCGGCAACAATCCACGAAAACGGCCTCACGGCGGAGACGATGAGCCTCGGTTCGTCGACCGGCCTCGGACGGGGACCGCCGGCGCCGGGTCCGGGCTCGAGTACGAGTACGGGACCGAGTCGCGACCCCAATCTCGGCGGCTCTCTGTCATGGAGCTCTGCAACGACGAGGACACAGCAGCAAATGCTGGAGCTGGAGCATTTCTACCAATACCAGCAGCAGCAGCAGCAGCAGTTTCTCCTACAGCAGCAGCAGCAGCAGCAACAGCAGCAGGAAGCGGCGGATTCTATGGAGATGGATCTCCGCGCCCGAGCACGTCCGCGGCCCTTGCCGCTTCGGCGTCCACGCTCGCGATCGCCGACGACCGCGACGAGCGTTCGCCCCGGTCCAGCGTCAGCCCCCGCGAGAGCCCTGGGCCCGGACCAGGCGCTGGCCTATTCGGCCGAGCTCGCGCGCCAGCAGCAGGAGCAGATGCGTGGGCTTATGCGCGAGGAACAGCAGCAGCAGCAGCACATGGCGATGCATCGTCCACGCCCCGATATGGATATGGACACGCTGGATCGTATGGATATGGATATGGGCATGGATATGGCGGCGGATCTCCGGCCTCGTCCTACTCATCGTCAGCAGCCGCATCCCCAGCTCTCCTCGCCAGCAGCGTACGAGACGACAGCGCGTCACCACTATCCGTTCGAGCTCCGGCTCCAGCCCGCGCCGGCGACGCAGAACGGGCGGCCTCTGCCACACCCTCTGTCGGATCAGCAGGCGCAGGCGCAGGCGGCGCAGCGGGCTCGCCTCGATCACCCGTATCGGCAGCCAGCTCCGCATCGACCGGATCACGTAGTCCCATCCCCGCTTCCCTCGCCGGGATACGCTCCCCACCCTTCGCTTTCACTGCATGAACGGCAGCAGATGCAGATGCAGCACGAGCATCAGCAGCGCATTCAGCAGCAGATGGAGCAGCAGCGCCAGCAGCAGCAGCAGTACCAGGGTTATCAGGACGCGCAAGCGCTCGACATCGACTTTTTCGACGCGGACGGCACCGGGGGAGGCGCGGGGAGCCCGCACGGGTCGGCGAGCGGGAACAGCTACGGATCGTCGTCCGAGCATGACTATCAGCATCTGATGATGCACGGCGGAGGGGGCGGTGGGATGCCGCACCACGGGATGGCGTACGAGTCGCCGGAGGCGATGAAGCTCAATGGGTACGGGAGCCCGGAGCAGCTCCTGCTTCACGCGTACCAGCAGGGCACCCCGCCGCCGATGTCGTGGGTGGTTTGAAGGATCGGTTTGGTCGGTGTGTGCTGTTTGGAATTTTGGAGCGGAACTCTTTCGTGTGATTTCCTTTTTTCTTCTTCTACTACTTTTTTTCTTTGTCTTCTGGGCGGACAACGGGTTTTTTTAGACTCGCTTTTCGTTTCCCTTTTTTTCGTCTCGTTTTCTATCGCCATACTTTTCTCGCCAAAGCTTAGGGTAATCGTCGCATTCACGGTCCGGCCGAGTCCCTCACGTCGCAAGTACATATAACATATCCTTCAGTCTTATTTTTTTCCCCGCCTCCTCCTTTCGTGCTCGTACGCACTTTCCCCTGTTACATCACTCGCCTAATCACCTCCCATTCCCATCTTGGCCTCTCTCCCAACATTCCTTGTGTTTCCCAAAGAAAAAATGCGTCTCCGTAATGTATCATCTGTTCAATCGAGTACATAATGTTCCCAATCGCAATCCGTCTTTGTCCACACACATCATCAAAAAAAAACCGCGCTAGTTCTTACATCCGTCCGGAACGTTTGACTCAATGAGAGCGCGGGGCATCGATGATGATGATGATCATTTTCTGTCAGCCAAGCTCTTCGAGCAGGACGATAACAGAGACCGGCGAATGACCTCGCCCGCGAGCTGATCGGCACTGCGGTGAGGATCAGAAGTGATAGATGGGACGGACGGGACAGCAATATGATCCATGAAGCCGCGGGAGGGAAGGAAGGGGAGGGAGGTCTCATGATCGCGAGATCGTGGTCTACTTTGCTCTATGCTCGCATCAAGCGTTTCACTTTCATCAAGTCCGCGTTTACCCCGACGGGTAAACTCGTCTAGCTCGGGACAAAGTCTTGCTCAAGCAGGAAAGCTAGAGCAGCACAACGGTGAAGGAAGGAAGGAAGGAAGGTGAAGGAAGAACTTGCCCCTGGCCTGGCCTACGAGAGTGTATTGTACGACTTCGCTCACACGCGGCGTAGTGCGCGACCCCCACTTTGGCGCCGCCGCGGGCGATGTTTCGTGTCAAGGGAACGTTTCCCTCGTTCATTATCTCGCTTTCAGGCTACGTGTCGTCTTCATCTTGGTTTGAAGGATCTTGCGCGTAGATAGACGCGGCCATTCAGGAACAAGGCCTGCTGCCGCTGCGAGATCAGGAGTTGTGCGCACGCCGAGGACGTAGTATGTGTGCCTTACCGTCTTTCTTCTTCGCCTCCGCCGACTAATTTTGAGGATCAGACTCGTTCTTATTCGGTGGTCAGTCTTAACTTTGGCGTGTTCAAGATGCATATACGGTAGGTCACCGGGTTTCGCAAAACCGCGATCGCCGCTCTAACCAAGCTGCCACGTAGGCATCAACGCTCGCCTATTGCAGCACTGCCAGCCGAGTTGCTCCTCCACGTTATCGAAGACGTCGTCCAGGAGGATCCGATACTTTGTCTCAAGGCCCTCGTCATTCTGACCTCAGTATGCCGCTCGTGGCGATCGATGATGCTCTACGTGAAATCGCTCTGGACCACGCTCTCCTTCACGCTGCCCCGTCAGGCGGGGCCTTTGCTTTACGAGTTTGCCAGACGCTCATATCCATGCCCACTCCATATAATCGTCACGATCTACGGCGGGATCGACGCGAGCGTTTTCCTTGCATCCGTCATGGAGGTCCTCCGCGCGGGCGTCTCCTTTACTCCAGAAACGCCCCGTCTCCATCAGTTGCATCTGCGTATCGGAAGGATAGTGCGTACGCACGAACTCGAAGCGCTTCTGAGGGGCCTAGGGGAACACGCGTTCGCGACCTTGACTACCCTACGCATCGAGCGGTTCATGGACGTGCTGCCAGCAGCCGACCATGAGCGGTTTCTTGTAGTCGATGCCTTTTCGCTCTCATCATCAGCACTCCACACGGTCCGCTTGAGCAACGTCTTCTATAGAGGGATATCATCGAGTTTATTCAGGAACTTGACCGTCCTCAAGATCTACTGGGTCCTCGCTGTTCACAGGGACGAAGGTGGTTGGTCGGGCCTGGCTGGATGTCAGAAGCTACGGGAATTATGGCTTCATTTCAGACCTGGTCCTGATGGCTACTGGAGCGTACAGTACTCCAGTACTATCAACCTGCCCCTGCTTCGCAAGCTCGTCATACATTCCATGAGCCGGCAATCCAGCTACTTTGGGGCTATGTTCCTTCGAAATTTGCACTGTCCCCGTCTGGAGACCCTTCTACTTATCTGCAGTACTACACGAGCCCAGTGTCTTGAGAGCGCCTTGATGGAACCCGTTCGTGTCTATCCGTGCCTCACGACTCTGACGGTAGAGTCACTTGACCCCGATCAAGACCTCTCGACTCGATTTCCGATGCTCGATCGACTCATTCTCAGACCCGCGGTGCAATTCAATCCGACTACATCTCACATAGATGTGCTGGAAATATCCTGGATATTAGGTTCTTGGCCTAGGCGGCGAGAAGTGGATATACGATCGCGCACCAAACAAACTCCTGGGCTCTTCATCCGAGTGCAGGATATGCCAGCTGGTATCAAGCCGACCCTCAAGATCCATTCGTCTGCGAGAATCGTGTGCATTGAACGTGGTATATTGGAGAAGCTCGCCGAGACTACCGATCTTATATGGGCGGAGTGATATACAGGGTCTCATCTGCGTTTAATTGCTTGTATGACTCACGTCGACGTCTGTGCCATTCGTTCTTCATCTTCGTTCAGCTCGTCTCCGTTTTCTCCATCTATGCGTAGTGATGCATGCTACTAGGTGGCGCAGCGAACTCTCCGTTCGACATCACGCGCTGCAGAACAAGTAATACCTACACGTCTCTTTTCTAGGATAACTACTAGCTGTGGAATACATGCCTATGTATCAGTTTGTACTTATATCTTTCCACTACTGAGCCGTCTCCCAAGAGCTCCACTACGCGGTTTGAAGTTTAGAGCTCCGACATTGTGGATCAGTGCTCCGTCTAAACTCGCAAATTAGCCGCGTCGCGTCGCGGCCCCGGGTCTCTGACTCCTTCCCCCCTGTTCCCTCCCCGCTCCCTGGCACAATGAGCAGAAGAAACAATGTTCGCGGTCCAAGCTCTGCGCTTACCAGCTTTTTGAAGGCAAGTATCTACTTCAACTCCCCTGCAGCCAAGTTCTAATGTATGGGCAGGACAGCGGTATTACAGCCGCAAGTGTGGCGCGCAGAGCCGCCACACGTCGACAGCCCTCGAGACTTGCGCAAACGACCACGGCTTCGACTTCGGAAGGCCAGGACGGTGGAAATCAGCAAGATTCTGAGCAGCCGCAGGAGAAAGAGCCTGAGCAATCTGTAGCCGGACCTAGTCGGAGACGTGCGCGTCGGGTGAGCCTGCACTTTTCTGTAATGGAACCGGAGTTCACGCGATTTCTGCTCTAGACACTGGATTATGACTCGGATGAGCTCGACGAGCCTGATGAAGAGCATAAGAAAGCACCAAATCGTGACGAAGAGGAGCCTTCTCCGAAGAGGCGCAAGACGAACGCCAAATCCAAGGCGGCGCCGGCGAAAGCAGAGAAAGAGAACGCCAAGGCGAAAGGCAAGGGCAAGGGGAAATCCAAGAAAGGGAAAGGTTCAGACGACGATTACGAAGACGACGACGACGATGCCTATAATGGTCTTAGTTTGTGGTCAACCAACGCGTCAAAGCCACCCGTTGGCAGCTTCGAGAACTGCGCCAAGTGCGAGAAGCAGTTCACTGTGGTGCGTGATGCGTTTTTGCCTTGCCACGAATGCCTGCTAACTCCTTGGCGAGTAGACGAAGTATACCATGGCCGCGAACCCCCCTCCAGGATATCTTTGCCTTCCGTGCAGTAAATCCTCGGGATCCGATCCCTTCAAGAAGCCTGTGGCGCCACGGAAGCGGAAGGCTACCGAGGACAGGAGGAAGATAGTCTACTTCGAGGAGAAGCAATTTCCGACGCTGGTGTCGATGTGTATCCAGGTTTGTACTTTGCCTACTGTGCCCAAATCTGTCCATAATGATCGACGCTTCAGCTTGTGAGCGATTATATCGACGATGTGGAAGCGCTTGGTCTCGACGGCACCAACATGGACGCGATTGCAAAGACCCTCGCGAAGACCAGGAAGCTGTGCGCGATTTCGCAAGTTCGACACGGTTTTCTTGCTAACGTATTTCCCCAGTAATGAACAAAACGCTCCCTTGTTCTATGATGCTCAGCAGACGAACCTCACGCTTTACGACGTTACAAGTAGGCATTTTCTTGTTCTTTGTTCGTTTCCGGACTGATGCGGACGTTACCTTCCAGATCTCACGCCTCCGGCTTTGTGCGCGCTTGGCTCTCTGAACCCGTCGCTTACGCACCTCCGGCTGGATTTCTGCGGCCGAATGGATGATTCCGTCCTCAACTCCTGGCCCCGGTCCATGCCGCAACTCACGCGTATCGAGCTTCTTGGTCCCTTCCTCGTCCGCCGGGATGCATGGATCTCCTTCTTCGCCTCGCACCCGCAACTCACGGGCTTCCTCATCACTCAGAGTCCGCGCTTCGACCTTGCGTGCGTCAAGGCCCTCGTGCGGAGCTGCCCTGAACTGCGTGAGCTCAGGCTGAAGGAGGTTGGGCGCATGGCCGACGATTGGTTAGACGAGTTGTGCACGTTGGCGGGTTCACTTGAGTATCTGGAACTCTCATACCCGGGCCGAAGTCTCAGCGAGGATGCGCTTGTTGGGCTCTTGGAGTTTGTAGGGCCGGGCCTCACTCATTTGGATTTGTCGGGGCAGTCGATGATAACGGATGGCTTCATGGAGGACGGGATCGTGCCCAACGTGGGAAAGCTTCAGAAACTCAAGCTGGCGGACGTGCCTCAACTGACGGATGAAGGCGTCGCCAACCTCTTCGATACCTGGGTGGACGAGAAGGAACCGGACTACAACCCGCCTCTTACGGAGATCTCGATGCCACGAAACCATCTACTGACATCGGAGGCGCTCCTCGCTCTGATGAACCACTCGGGTCCTGAGCTAATGCATCTTGACATCAACGGCTGGAAGGATACAGGGCGCGAGGGCGTGTTGGAGGACCTTGGCGAATACTGCCGAAAGCTGAAGACGGTCGATATTGGGTTCTGCAGAGAGGTAAATGACTTCGTTGTCCAGGGGATTCTGGACAACTGTGCCGACGTGAGGGAGATCAAGATTTGGGGATGTAATAAGGTGACAGAGACTTGTCCAAAGAAGGTGCGCCTCGCCCCTCGACTACCAGCGGTCCTCGCTGACGATGACCGTAGAGGGGAGTAAACATCCTCGGGTTCGAAGCACACGTCGTTTGAATATATTGATGTCGATTTGCTCCCTTGCGATGCTCTATAGCTGTGCTATGCAATGATCTATGCTCTGTTGTTTATGCAGCCTGCGTGCCAGTCTTTTCGTCTGTTACTGCGATGATCGATATCCTCTCATTCACGCAGCCGACATCGAGGCAAAATGGCAACAGTCTGGGACATGTAGGTCTTGTAAGGAATGACTCGACTCATCGGGTCATCGCCGCCTTGCTTTATGACTCGACGCTAACATCCATCTCGTCATTCGCTATGACCGCACCTCACCCGACCTACCGCTTTTCGACAGGCAATCCGTACGAGGCGCGATTCGGATACTCGCGTGCTGTCCGGCGAGGGCCGTTCATTTGCGTCTCGGGCACAACCTCGATCTCTGCGGAGTCAGGGGAGATTCAGCATCCGGATAACGCATTCGATCAAGCCACGGTTATATTCGCGGAGATTTTGAGGGCCGTGGAAGCGCTGGGTGGCGCGAAGGAAGACATCATACGAGTACGGATGTTCGTCACCAGGCATGAGGATACGGACGACGTAGGCCGTGCTTTGAGACTGGCGTTCGCGAACTCCGGTCCCGCTGCGACGATGATAGTAGGAAGTCGGTTTATCGAAGAAGCTATGAAGGTGGAAATCGAAGCAGATGCTATCGTCACATAGCCAGGTCAGCCAGCAATTGTGCCATCAATCATAGAACAGACCGCATTTGAACGAACGTCAGCAGATTCAATTTCGCTTTCCGTGTCTCAGCATGCGACTCCGTTCGCCGAGCTGGCCGCAATATGTTCTGCTTCATCTCCAGCGCTATGTTGCACTTTACACATGTCAGACAGCCCTGATTATACTCCGATCATGCTATTCACTTGACGTAGTTGTCTCACTCTCGCTGATCTTCCTGCCAGACTGCCTTCGATGCACAGATCTGAGTACACTCAATGGTATACACCGCCGCGGTAAGAGAAAGAAGAATTGACTTATAGGCAGCTAGTATCAATTAACCCCCTCACTTTCCGGGTCAATAGTCAGGGCCGAGCCACTACAGCTTCAATGGATTGTTCAGGCATCGAAGCCTGCTGCGGCCGTTTCGCTGAGTGTGCATTGCATACGCCGAAGAAACAACGATACCGACGATTTCCAAAGGCGCAAGCGACTGGCGTCTGCTGATCAATATTAATGATCAGTTTCGCTCTCCGCGTGCAGGGGCCCCGCTCTTCGCCTCGTCAACCTTCGCCACTGACCACCACCTTCATATCTTCACGATGATCTCTTTGCCTCAGGAAATCCTCGACGCAATCATCGAAGTAGTGCTAGATATTGATACGCTCAAGGCGGCATCCCTAGCCTGCAAATGCCTCATATACGCCTCTCAACGACAACTTTTCCGAACGATACATTTTGCTCGTAACAACAGCCGGGTGCGGGATCACACAATCACCCATCTGATTCAGACTCGACCACATATCGCGATCCATGTTCGTATTATGTCATTCGGAGGACCCGAAGAAGACATTCCACGCTTCTTAGCAACAATGGCGACATGCACGAACCTACGATACCTGGACCTCACAATGGTCGATTTCGACTCTCAATCCACAGCTGGTGGCAACTTGACGCACCTCCCGTCGCTCCAAACACTGCGGATGTTCATGTGCACATTCGACTCGTTCAATGCGTGGTGGTCACTTCTCTGCCGCATGACACGCTTGAATACGCTCTTGATGCACTCCTGCGATTTCAGACGGGTACAGAAACCGGATGGCGCACAAACACTTCCCTTTGCGCTACGGCGCTTAGGGCTTGGTGGCAACAAATCGACGCATCACATTATCTCCAGCCTCATCCTCGACAGACTCGCCGAACTCGAACTCGAACTTACTGAGGTTAACCTTCTGCGAACAACTCTCATAAAGGCCGACGCATCGTTGACCACGGTACGATTTGTGTGGCCTCATAACGATGAGCGGGATCTCAGTGAGCTTGCATGATGTTTCCTAATTTTACAGTTTCTCATTCATCTCAGCGCCGTTCATGATCGATTTCTGCGACTGTCTTCGAATGACCCAGAGAACAGCGCTCCGCACTGCTGAACTACACGGTCTATGCAACAGAACACTACCATCCAATATGACACCACTGAACAAGTTCCTCTCCAATCTTAGTTCGCCTGTTATCGAACGCATGGCTCTACACTGGGAGCAACCTCCTATGCCTCCTATGCCTGATGCGTGGGCCGTGTTCGATAACTATCTGTCATCATCGAAGTTGTTTCCATCCCTTCAAGAGGTTGCAGTATATAATCACGAGCTTTGCAACCTTGCCTTGCCCTTCCCAAACGCCACCCATCATCTGCCTCGACTCACGCTTCGCGGCCTCTTGCTCCCGGAGCATAAACACACCTCGAAGGGTCTCCTTTCCTCATGGTTGTGATACACCTCAAAGTCCGGTCAACATGCTGCGTGAAGAGCGGTTTTGGACTCTTGAGTTCAGGCTACCATGAACTGGGTTCATGGGGTGATCACGACAAAAGCTACGGATGGTGGCGACGGCACATGACGGCTGAGGGCATGGAGCACAAGACGTAGATTTGGTCGGTGTACTACATGCATGGTATATAACTACACAGTCCGGCGACGAGATTATCGAGAACTATAAGCACCGTGTTCAGCGGTAGTAGGGTGGGGCCAAGCCTTTGACACTGTTCCAGGCCTCGTTCACTGCGTTAACGACGTCTTCGGCTGGTGGTATTAGTGACGTTAGTATGGTAGCAAAATACTTATGACCGGAGCGCTTACGTAGCGGGCCTTTCTCTAAATCATTCAGGTTCTAGAGGCGATTGCATCAGCTTGATGAAACGGAAGGTGATTGGGTCGCACCTGCTCAATGTACTTCAAGCTGGAGGCGCCGATGATGATCGAGTCGCCAAATTCGCGTTTCATGGCGCTGTGATGCGAGGCCCAACGGAGCGCTGCAGTGCAGGTATCAGTGTGTCGGAATTGGTGGAGAGCAGCGCGGACGGCGAGCTGACCGACTTCGACCATTGAGAGGCCGTGCTTGTCCGCGGCTTTCTTGATGGAGGTGACGGCATTGAAGTAGGGATCATTCCAGTAGAGGCTGCGGACGAACTAGTTGGGAGATGAACGAGGAAATTTGACGTTTTAGGACAAAACCGTGTACCTTGCCCAGCATACGGCTATCGTCAAAGCGCGAGCCCGGTTCGGCTTGATCTTCCTTGGAGAGATACTTGCCGGTGAAGAAGCCGCCGGCCACTTTATCGGTGAAGATCGTTAGCATAGGAGAGCTTGCGGATGTCGATCGTGCGACATACGGCAGTTGAAGGCGTAGAAGCTAATGCCGTACTTGCGCAAGCAGAGAAAGAGCTCCGGTTCCACGGCACTATAGAGAAGAGATGAATCAACGGTAGATTCACAGATGTGAGATAGACGTACCGCTGCAGAGCGTTGTAAAACCCTTGATACACAGTCGGCTGGATGTATCCGTTTGCCTTGCAAATCTCGCAGATCTGTGCGACCTCCCATCTGCGTGGTCCGGCACATGTTCCGGCCCGATGCTGAGAAAGCGAGGAACTAGTACGTACGACATGTAGCTGCTGAGACCGAAGCGCTTGAACTTGCCCTCCTTGTAAAGTTCATTCACGGCTTTCATCGTAACCTCGTAAGGAGTCGTGCGGTCGGGGGAGTGCAGATACCACAAATCGACACAGCTGAAGATCTGCGATCAGTTACGTGGCAATCAAATGTCACGAGAATCTAACTCTGTGTTCAATTGCTTTAGGGAAACATCGAGCCACTTGTGGAGGTCCTCCGGCCCATGCGAGATGGTTTCTTTCCCGACCACTATCACCAGTTAAACGTAGCCAGGAAGAGTTGGTAAAGCCACTTACTGCCAACCCTTCGCTCCACTGGGATGTGCGCAGTGGGATTCAACTTCGTCTGGACTTTCAGGACTTTCAAACCTTTCTTGGCGTAGTCGATCTTGGCGAGGTAGGACTCGGCACTACCGCCTCCATAGCTACGAGCGGTGTCCAACTAGGGTGCAACAAGGTAAGTCTGGTTGTAAGGTGGTGGTTCTATTAAAAAGGGTTACCTCGGTATGTCCGTGAGCCGCGAACGCGTCGATGATCGCCTCGATTTCTGTCGTCGGTCAGCTCGGGTTGCAATGAAGGGGAGTAATGCGAACCTTTCAGGTCAGAGACGCGAACGGCTTCAGTGCCTGGATCTCCAAACGTCATGCATCCCTGATTATCCGTGAGTTACGGGGAAGAATGACGGGCGATGACTCTCGACAACTCACCATGACGATATTGAGCGCACTCTTCGGGGACGTGTTCGTGGCCATGATGGCGAGTTGATTGCTCTAAGTCTGAGGATCATCTTGTACAGTTCCTCAGGCATATATACCAGGCCTCCAAACGACCTCCAACCCATCCAAGCACAGGTGATCCAGGCAAGAACGCAAGGAGGAGTGGATTGAGGTCGGTGCTGCCGAGAAGCCGCGGTTGCGCGCAGCCACGTGAGCGCGCGGCCCCGCGACGCGACGCGACTCATGAACCCACCCCGCGTGAGATATAAGACCCATCCGACCCATCCTGCTTGGCCACAGCTGCGACTCACAGAGCAACGATGTCCACCACCATATTCTACCACTGCGCGACCAGCAAGGCTTTGCAATGCAATGTGGTCATCGCGTTCACGTCGAACGGCGTGTGTGCCATCGAGCTCGCTGACGAACCTCACGTCACCCTGAAGAGACGGTTCCCCTCGGCAAGCTTCAGCACCGAGCTCCATGCTGCGCAGCTCCTGTCTGTCCAGGACGTTTTGGATTGTCTTGAAGATCCCGCGACGGCGTATCCGTCCCACGTGGCCTTCGACCTCTCGTTGACGAGCTCACCCTTCCGTGCTCAAGTATGGAATGCGCTCAAGGGCGTACCGGCGGGAACCACCGTGACCTACGCCGAACTTGCGCAGAAGATTGGGAGGCCAGGCGCGGCGCGTGCGGTCGGCGCTGCTGTCGGTGCGAACCCGCTCGCGGTCCTCATTCCGTGCCACCGCGTTGTGGGCTCGAACGGGCAGATGACCGGCTATCGCTGGGGCGTCGAGCTGAAGAAGTTGCTGCTCGAGCGCGAAGGCCTCTCTCTGCCCTCCTCCCGTACAGCCCGCGCACACACTCGCGCAAAGGAGACGGAACAGGCGGATACTGTAGTTGTTGGGCGCGATAACTCGGCGACAGAGTCAGTTGCACTCAAATCAGTGAAGCCTGTCGAACTGACCACGCCTCACGATAGTGCTGAGCCTAGGCCTCATTATGAACTCAAGGCCGTGTATGAGAACCTCGATCAACTTACGAGGTATGGTCTTAGCCACATTTCGGAAGCAAGCCCACAGCTTATGCTCGGTGTCTCATCTCTAGGGCGGTCCCGGTAACGGCATGAGTTTTATATTTTTTGGCGCGTGTAGGTGCACCCATGAGGCTATGTCTCATCGAATTGCGAGCACGCACGCATACGTTCGATGCAAACCGACTCGCCATGAGTGACCGGATGATCCGCGAGGTTCCTTTTGGACGTCCTACCCAGTTGTGTGGAGGTAAAAAGATGTACCTCCTATGCCCCCTTGATGCAGCGATACAGTGACAAGGAGATATTGTAACGCATGATTCATATGGCATACCTGTGATATCTATACTTACATGTTGTAGGTATCATGGATCGAGACGACACATTTCAACGCGTTTCTGCCAGGCGCTGGTAATTGATCGCAAGCGTGATTTTTGACCGAAGGAAAGAGAGATAGTATAGATGGAGGTCGTATGCGGTGTTGCCCAACAAGATACTCCGCGCACGCCACCGCAACACATCGCTGACTCCAGTCGCGTATTTCATGAGTTCATCATATGTCAATCAGCAGCTGAGGAAAGACATGCGAGACGTCATCGATGATTCACAACATCGGCCCAACGCAACATGCTGCTCAGTAGAACGGGCTCCCGGTTGAGCCGATACATTAGTGCTCACGTACACATGTGCCATCTAGATCAGGGTGCACCTCGAGAGGGACTGGGATCTTCCGCTGCAAGTCCGGAGGTGCTTGGTTGACCGGGGTGGATCAGAAGGGACTCGGATCCCTGAGGATCGAGATGACCATCGCAGTGGGTACTGTTAGGTGAATGCGTGATTGCATTCCCAATGGGTTCATCTTCACTCAAGGGACGCTTCGATGAGGAAGAATCGGACTTTGACAACAGGAAGGACGAAGGTGTAGACGGCGATGATGATGGAGGGAGAACCAGCATGTACGACGAATGGTCGTACAACCGATCTTTCAGTGTTTTGTCCTGGATCGTCGTGTAAAAGTGATGCTCACTGCTTATCACAGGATAAACACACCTTTTTGAGCTCGTGTTTATCGTTGTGGTGGAGGCAATCAGAGAAATATGGTCCGTCGATCAGATACGACAGATCCTGTGGGAAGTAATCCACTAGCGCGAGATGGAAGTCGGACGGGTTCTCCCACGCCAGAGTAAGTTGCTGCTCCCGAGCGAAAGACATGGCCGTCTGATCCACAGGGGCTGCCCGCTCAAAAGGAACGATCTTCGGGACGATTCTCATTCGTATGTTGTTGGAGCGGGTAGCTGAGCATTGGCCGCAGCGCACCTCATGTCTTTGACAAAACAATTGAGTACATTACTAGCTGGAATGGTAGCGTCCGACGATAGATGCTGTGGTGAACTTCAGGTCTTCATGGGAGGCGGCGTACTCCAGCGATATTTGACGTTGTCCCTGAGATGGTTAGTGAGAGCTCTCCGACGGAGTTCTTCCAACGTAGACCAACCTCGAGTAGTCGCCGTTCCTCAATGTTTGATAAGTCCATAATGTGGCACTTGCACAATGGTCGGCGCGACCAGCTGACGCGTGCGATCCACTAAGAACCACTTGTCAAACCCAACCAGCCAGCAACAGCAGCATCGCTGGCGTCCTCCCTCGATACATCCTCTCACCGGAGATCGCCCCAGGACGCCGCGGTATTCGTGGCCGTCCCAGGCTCGCCTTCTGAGCTGGCAGACTGCCGCCATCTGCGAGAACCAGGACAGGAAGGCGCAAACTTCAACCACTGTCCATTGCTGAACATAGAAGGAATCCTGGAGTTCGACGATCATGGGAAGCAAACAGGATGTCCAACAAGATCCCAGTGTGAAAAGGCGCGAGGAGAGCGCCAGCCTGATGAAGACGCCTTCGGTAGGCGGGGGTACCATGGGCTTCGTATGTTCCATCAACGGTCTGATTTTCTCAACTGAAGACACGAACACGACATACCAGATCCCCCCTTTCTTTCCTGAAGAGTGCATTACGGACCAACACGGGTTTTTCCATCGAGTAACACGCCTGACTGCACTTAACTCGACTGTGGCGCCGAGATCGAGGATCGACATCGGTGCAGGTATCCCAGGCATCCCAACGACCAGCCTGGTCATCGATCAATCATCTTTCGCGCGCTTCGACTACATTGGTAGCTTCGCGCAGAACCAGAATAAGAACACATCGTTTCGCCACCCGGCCTGGGCAAACTCGTGTTCGACATGGGAGCTTCCTGCCTCTTGCTCGCCAAGTAGAGGCGACCATAAATCTGCGCTCTTTGCGGGTGTGGAAGCGCAACCTATCCTTGACGGCGCCACACCATTATCGGTGGCAGGTTTGACCCTGCCTGGGTTTGACATGTCGCCGGAGATCAACAAGCGATGGAGTCCGGTCATATTAGACGGCTACGCAAGCGGCGACAGGATAGACCCTTGCGAATATCGTGGTATGGTCTATGCGTATCCGATAACGGCGACACCATTGGGAAACGACGTAAACCTCGCTTGCAACGGCGGTAAGTACATCAGCCTACGCTTATGCAACATGCACGTCGTTCTTAAGCGTCTGAGAACAGTACTATTTGTCAGTCCGGCAATGCCGGGCAGACAACAGTATGCTCACCCTGAGCCTGATGCGGTGACGCCGCTGTCTTCGACAGATTTGACTCTTCCTGGTTTTGACAGGTCACCGGAGATCGTCATCCTGCCCGACGAGCGACGAAGCAACGACATATCAGACAACTACGGTCAAGATGATAAGATACGCTCTTCCGGGCTTTGGGGCGGTATCAGCGAGTATCCGATGGCGGCGATGCCAATCGATCTTAACACAGGGATCAACTACAATGCCTGTAAGTCTGTCATCCCACATGAGAACGATACGGATGATGCAACTCACCCTTTACTCCACGTTGTAGGTCAAATCCACCTTGACGCCAGTTCGTACGACGCCAGCTATATCGAACACCGCCAAAACCTCCGAGACCACCGAGTCAACCAGTTCATAAAAGCCAGCATCGACTGCGACACAAGATGGAGGTGGGATGCCTTCGACGTTTCGAGGTCATGCACCCTCTCCTCCGGCAAAGACGCGATCCTTGCCAACGATGAAGGCATCGATGATATCCTCGCGAGTCATCCGGGGACGTTTGAGGCGTACGATGTGCTTTCACAGACCCTGGAGGATGCGAGCAGGTCATGGTGAACGATCGCGGTTGACGATGCGTGCAGGATTCCGGGGATCGTCCGTCGATCGTGGTCGCTATATAGGCAGGTGATAATGACAATTTTTAGCAGCTCAACTACTGCATGTTGCAGCTCAAGCAATGTGGTTGTATCGCGAGCATCGTCGAGAGTGGTAGGCGGAATGGACGATGGCCGTCAGGAAGAAAGGCATTGACGCAACTGCGCGGTCGTCTCCGGCTATGTAGTACCACGTGGAGTCGCTGCCCACAGCGACGGTTTAGTTCGTTTTCATGCTTGACCACCTCGTCTATTTCGTCAGAAATCCAGAGGGCTTGATCTCTTCATGACGAGCGCCTGCTAGAGAGGACCTTTCAGTCTTTCTCAGAACTAGGCCTTGCGTTGATCTCGGATGTCCCTGCGCTGCGTTCGATGTCCCTGCACCCGCTCATGCACATGCGAATTGCGTTCGGCGTCAGAGAGCAGGTTTCGGGTCCGACGCCAACCTGACATCCATCTCAGCGTTTTCAGACCACTGCCTCGCGCCCGCGGAGGTGGACCCATAGTATCAAGCCCGTGGTATACCGAAGGTGATGTACAAAGACGCTCCGGGGTGTTCGAATACAACAGTAACTGAAGCGGTCATCACACACAGCCGTCCTTAAATGCTCTCGACTCCAGAGGCGCACCACCAAGTTCTACCTCCCTGCCTTGGCATACATTCGCCATAACGGATTCCGCACGTATGACTGAACCTCGTCTGATATCGAACCCGCTGCCGGGTCATCTGCGATACACAGACGCATTGGTCATGCCCACATGAAGTTCTAAATCGCGTCCAGTTTAAAAAATGTCTGCTGAGACTCGGGCTGGTGCAACCCAAATACATCGCCTCGTAGTGCTCATCCAACTGCCCTCAATGTATCCAAACATTCCACAGCGCAGCTCCCGTAACCTCAGCATGGAAGCGAAGTGCTGTGTACAGAAGGAGCGGCAAAGGCTGTGGCGACGACTAGGCATATAGCGAGGAACATGGAGATATGCATGGCTAATTTGGTAAGTGATTGATCCTGAGCGGGTTAATGACACAGACTCGCCTGACTCTTATAGTCCCCTCTTTCCGTTTCGGAACCTTGAGACTGCTCTTCAACTGCTTGCACTCCGATTTCTGAGTCGGATATATACGCGGGTGAACCCAAGGCAGCGCACCATGTGCGAGGAGCACGTTGGCAAACAACCCTTCACGAATGAAACAACGCATCAATCTGCGCAAACACCACATACTTGATTTTACTGCATTCTGGGGTCGCTGGCAAGTCTTCGACTGATTGAACCAACGAGCTACGAAAAAGTATGCATCCCAACGGTATCCGCCAGCCTGAAGTGCATATGCACTCAGGCGTCACAGTCCTCGTTTGAATCCCGATTGGAGAAGGGCAGGGATAACCGTGATGTGTGAGCAATATTTAAGCCATAGTTTCACCCGGGATGCTGCGTAGCAAAGGTCGAAGAGGGTCTTGAATTTCATTGTGGTTTCTCGCGATCGGTGTTCCCCAAATGGCCAACACCGCACATTAAGCACCTGAAGCTCGTCGAGTCGCAGCGGCGTGTATAAAATCGAGACTGAATGATAGGTTCAACAATGGAAAGGTGCACGAGTCGTCAAACAGAGGGGATGTATGTGGTGAGTAGTGGGTGCGAGCCCGATACGTAGTGAACCTGTCCTCTCGATTATCGCGTATCGGATTGAAGGCACTTCCATGTAAGCGTGTGTGCAATGGTCCTTTATGAACGACAACACTGGGCGTGATTCTAACGAGCGACCGGCCCACCGGAAACTTATCCAGACCAGTCGATTTCTGGCGAGCTAGAGTAATAAGCAAAAAAGAGAAGGTGTCTGAAGGTGTACAAGTCGCAAAAGGCACGCCACCGCCTTGTATCACCGCGTCCGTCTCCGAGACTCCGATACGTTTACTGATACTCACTGTCAGCGTCCGACCTTTCATCTATTCTCTTCACGCTCATCAAAGGACGCATGTTATCCAGCGCCACGCTTGAGGCATAGGTCAACATCAGCGACCGTCCGGCGATGTCATCCGACCATCAAATGGATGTGCAGGTCGTCGGACTCGTTGCACGTCGCCGACTTACTCTCAACATCCGACCGTAGAAAATGAGATCTCGCTCGTTGGTAAATGCGAGGAGTCATAGCATTGCTCCCAGTGAGCATAGAATCTTGCGATCGCGCATGGATGGGAGCGGGCGGAATGGACTCGGGTCGGTTGGTGGTTCGAACGGAGACTATTCTTCGCGTCGTAACAAAAGCTGGTCATCTGGACGTGAAAAGGATCTATTACGAGTCCTTCCGAGGTACGCCCCGTTGAAGTGTGTAACCGGCACCGGCTGACAGAGAGCCCGAACGAAAGCACTTCGTCCTCACACCTTCGGGGTGATCTTGAAGCAGTACCCGTCATCGAAGTGCCTTCCCCATGAATCACCCCGCGCAAACTTCCTTCCGCACCGTGGACACGTAACACGTCCCTCCGGGTTGCCGGTGTGCGATGCAGACTCCAAATGCCTTCTAAAGTCGGACCGGCGGCTGGCACCCACGTCACATTCGGTGCAGTAGAATCGCTTCGACCATTCGGGGACGGTGGCTTTCTTCGCCGTTACCTTCTTGGCCTTCTGTGTCACCGCGCGCCTCTGTTTCTTGGCTTTCGGCCTTGCATCAGGGTAGTTGGCGTCGAGATCGAGGGATGGGAGGTATTCCTCGTCGTCGAGTTGACGCTTCTGACGAGAAGGCACCTTAGGTGGCAGATACTGCTCCTTGGACCTGCTGGAACGCTGGAGAACGGTGTCTTTTTCCACACTGCCTCCATCCATTCGCTTCGAAGGGAGATGAGAGGGACCGCTTGAATCGACCAAGTGGGACGTGTCGACGGTGGGACAAGGCGCCGGCGGACAGTGTGGGCCGGACTCAGAGCAAGGGAATGGAACCTCGCGCCGCAAGTCAGGCGGAGTGGTATGTGGTTCATCGGAGTGGATGGGATGGGACCCGCGAGGATCGAGATGACCAACGCGGTGGGTTTTATCGTTTGAATGCGTGATCGCATTCTCGATGGGCTCATCTCCACTCAAGGGACGCGCCAATGAGGAAGAATAGAACTTCGACGACAAGATGGGCAAAGGCGAGGATGGCGGTGATGACGAAGGGAGAACCGGCATGTACGACGAAAGGTCCTCTGGCCGATCTTGCAGCATGTTGTCCTGGATCGTTATGTAAAAGTTAGACTCACTGCTTATCATAGAATGAGCACACCTCGAATTCGCGTTTATCGTCGTGACGGAAGCACTCAGAGAAATATGGTCCGTCGATGAGATATGGCAGATGTTGCGGGAAGTGATCCGCTAGCGCGAGATGAAAGTCGAATGAACTCTGCCATGCCAGAGTAAGGTGCTGCTCCCCGACAAAAGGCGCGTTCGCCTGGTCCACAGACTCGGAAGATACGTCCAAACTCGGGTCGCATTGGTCAATGTTGATCCATGATTCTCTAGCAGGGTGGTGAATCAGCGAAGGCCTCACAGAGACGGTGGTTACATACATCGGTTCCACGGCAACGCCCTTCGACGCGACATCTAGATCGGGTGGCAAGGCTGGCGGCAGAACAGGCACCAACATTGTGTGGCGAGGGCAAAGGCGTGGGCAAGGAAACTGAAGTACGCCACGGATACACGGCGGTAAGGGATGCGAGCGGGGGGAAGGGGAGGGGGGCTCGTCCCAGCCGAATCTGTTGACCTTTCGTCTTATTGAACCTTGTAGGTCCGCTGGTGATACCAGCGGTCAATAAACAACGTATCTACTGGCATGCTTCGGAATGCTTCCGGCGAGGCGCGTGTATATTTTACGAGCTGTCAGACTCACGGACGTGTAGGGTCCAATATCAGGAACGGCACGTTGTCAAGTCAATTATGACTCTGCCTGGGTTGCGGAACGTCTTCTTACCCTGGCAATATGGGCTCAGAACGATCATGGTTAGCTTGCTGGTGGTATATCTATCTCCGCCGTCCTCAACCTGTGCTCACAATTTTATAGCTTCAGCGGTCATAACTCCCGCTTCGGAACTACGCGAATGCACCATGCGCCCACCACAGAAAACAGGCGGAACAATGGCTGAGCGCAGATAGGGGTGTGTCCTTTAAGATCATCGAAAGATCTTTCGTAGGTTACATGTGTGGAACGGAGCCTTCGATCGAACCTAGTCACTTCGCACGCTACTTATCCTGTATATCTACCCCCCGAGCAACCAGACCCCGAGCAACCAGATTACCGGCACGCCGTGAATACGCCAACGAGGGCTTCGAACCCTATGCTCTCACCATCATCGATGCCGACCTGTAAACAAGCTTCTCGCTTCCACTGGTTGTAGTAGTATATGCCTACGTTTTCTGATCGGGAAAAAATGTCTGAGACCTGAGGCTAACATCTCCCCACCCACTATGGGCGACAACCTTTGCTATCAGCATCCGGAGCGAGACCTGTTCGTGTGTAATAGTTCTGGCAAGAAGGTAACTTGCTGCTCGTGTGTACAGTAAATGACATGTCTGTCGCATGGTCTACTTCTTCTGAACTCCGTGCGACTCGTCTGATTCCTGTATCTCGTTACCTAGATTAGCGGTTGTGTAGCTAAAACAATATGAACAGGCCGAAATAATTCATTTCGATCTTCCACATGGATGATCCTGGAGCTGTGGAGCAATACGGTCCGGACGGCTTCTGTCAGCTCGTTGTCCTCATCAATGCGGTTTTGGTTTCGCCGCACGCCCTACTATTCGGTAACATACTGAACGGCCGATTATGGTATATAATCGTTTCGTCGCCCGTGTTCACATCCAATGCAATACAGTATACCAAAACCTATGATTGCTTTCCTGGCTATATCTTCCACCGAACAAGAGAATGTTGGCGAAGTCCAGCCCAGTGTCAGCCGAAACTTATCAAATCTTGGGGGTGTTGAGCACCACTTAGCGCCGACGTTGGCAGGAATGACGTGTCGATGTAGGCTTTACATACGCGTAAATCCGTTTGTTCATCGTACGGTGAATAGATGGATTCGAGGTCGGGGATGGACGGAGAGTGGTTGTAGCACGCTCTCCGTCAGTAGGAGCTCGAGGTACACCGAGGTAGAGTGCCGAGCGCTGCAAAGATCCAGCTCACCGCGTAGATGCATCACTATCAAGCAAGCTTCGCTGGTGCTGCATGGCTCTGCGCTCAGGCGCACAGAGAATGCAACGTGAAGTATCGCCATCACGCCGTTAGACGCCATATAATATCGATACAACAGATACATGCAGTAGAAAGGATGGGTGTGATTGCGAGGTTAACGGGCATCGAAGGAGCGAGGGTGTATCATGCGGCACGGGTATCATAGAATAAGTTATGAAAATGGGGAGTAGTTTAATGAGGGGAAGCCAACTTAGCAGCTGCAAATGATTACACATTCTCAGGAAGCAAGAACGGACGCGCATGCGGGATTTTGAACCAAAGCGGGCTAGGGTCTGCCACGAACCAATGCCGATTAGATAGAATGCCGAAGTGACCAGTACTTCACCATCGTGGAGGCGGCGCTCGAATCGGATACCTAAACACATACCATCAGACATGGAAAGGTGCGCTCAACATGAGCATATACGCACCCGACAGTCTGGCCTATGCCTTTTTCTTTCTCCACCCGAATGTCGAACAGCATTTCGCCTGAGGATGGGTCAAGCGTGACGGCGGTCCAGTTCCGTCTGCCCATGATGTACTTGTTTTTGCTCGAGCTACCGTCTGGGTCGTGCTGGAAAAGAGGCACCATCGTCTCATCCGTGTCGCAGTAATGCATTGTGCGATGCGTCTTTGAAGCGAGGGTGCCGACCATGGTTAACACACCGCCTGGCGGCCTGAGAAGCAAGTTGCATTCGTCAAATGCTTGTTCCATCCTCACTGTCTGAAGGCACTCACGGGGTATTGACTATGGCACCTACGAACGGCCATTCGTCAGCAGCTCGAATCAGATTTACAGGGGATTCTTGACGCTTACTGGTAACGACGTTCAGCATGTATCGATGATCCTCGACGGGGGGCACCGGTGCCTGATCTTTCTTCTTGACGAGTGTTTTGAGCACGCCGCAGGCGGCACAATGCACATCGCCAGATACAAAGGTGATTCGGATTCTCCTGGCCAGCGCGAAGTGCTGCAACTGTTCGATGAACCAGTTTCGTTCCTTCTTGTGCGATTTGGCGGTCCAGTGGTCGCTCTGGCACGTCGTGGTCAGAAGGCGGGGTGACGCGCAGTCGCACTCGACGTAACATACCAGATCATCGAGAAGCTCGGCGTCAGAGTTGAACTTGTTGAGAAAGCCGGACAGGCCCGACGTCCCGTTCTTTCCGAGAGATATTAAGGGGTTGAATTTTGACTCTAGCGCTGTCTCGAGGAAGACCATTCGCGGGTATGCGATGGGAATGCCTAAACGATGCCAGACTGGTAAGCATCAAGCAAGGTTAGGCGGCCATAACGTGACCTACCGATGAGAACGGCCAGATGCTCGACGCCCTGGGGTATCGTCTGCAGTCTCTCGAACACTTTGTCATACTCCGTTCGGCTGCAGACCTGGTCCTTCTTCCTCTCCGCCCTAAACGGTTCGGAAACCATATCAGCCTTTCATTTTCCCAGAAACCCGATTGAAATGACGAAAGGAGACGCGGACCTGCAATCGAGGAGCAACATCCACGTTTTCGGGCCCATATTCGCCAAGAACGAGTGGGACGGGAAGGGCACATAAGGACCGGGTCCGCCGATGATGATCGACTTGTTCGTATGATGTTTGTCGTCCAGTCCATCGACATCAGCTGTACGCGCAACGTCATACATGAGCAAAAAGGCCAAGTCAAACAGGGTAGAACATCGCCGACATGTCCGGGGAGAATATGTCCGACTCACCGACGATGAAACATTGGAAAAGGAGGAAGAAGAAGTAGCCTCGGGATCCGATACTGGAAAACGCGAGCATGAAGTCATACAGTCGAGCGCGGGGGATCGCGTAGCCAGGGCGAAGGAAGCGGGGCTCACTGTCTGAATATGGGCGACATCTGCAGATCGTCGGGGTCTGCGTCGAGATATGGTTAGCGTGCGCGTTGCGGGGAAAAGCGAGTAAGAAAGCGCCACGCACAGCTACCGAAGCCGTCGATCTTCGCGGCGGAGGGGACGCTCAATTCAGTTCTCTCGCTTGCGCGTGATTTCACGTGACAAAGAGTACTCACAAGATCTGAGCGCAGCGATGAGCGATCGGGAGTCAGAGTGTCGTCACAAGTCCGGGCTCACCATGGTCATCTATGTGGGGAAGGGTCAAGGCACCGTCAGCTCGACTCGATCGCCCCTCGCCCACTAAGCCAAGAACCACGCTCACCCAGCATATTCATCATCGGAATCGAGCAGTTCGCGCGCGCGAACGCGCCACTGCGGAAGGAAGCGCAGTAGTGGTTGAAATAGAAACGGTCGATAGCGAAACGGATTTCGTCCGTAAGCGGATAGACCTTTTTCTTGGTGTTGTCCCTCATCGTTACCCATTCCTGCAGCTCCGGTTCGCGCGTAATCCTGATATCATCAAGCGGTGCCATCAGAAATACGAATACGAGAATAGAAGGCGACGCGACGATATGCGGGCGCGCGGTACGGAAAACGCGAAAAGAAAGTCGACTTCGGAGTGGAAAGCGCATAGCGCATATGGAGTAGACAACGCAAAGAAGTCGAGTGGCTTACCCATCGCAGTAAAGCTGATCACCACCCCCAACGAGTGCGTGGAATGGGTCCTCCGCGTGCTTGGCGAGCAGGTCCATCCACACGGGGTCGTAACCGCTCTTGAAGCCGGGCCCTCGGAAGTTATCCGGGTTGACACCGGCACTGAACCCGTTACACTGCCGAACTTCCTTGAGCCAGATAAAATCATTGCACACGAGATGTGCCTACCGAGTACGCAGCCCAGCGCATGTTCTGTCCGCGAGCGGGAACATGAAATTCAAGATCTTGTCCGCTGTTGATGCTGTATTGGATCTTCATCGGGTTCCGTTCGAGAGGGACCCGGATCATGAAACGCCAGAATGTGAACGTCCTGGGTTGCGCATATGCGTGGTCAGCATATCAATCCCAGCTGAATCGTCGGAAAGGACGCACCCGCCGTGACCGGCATACACCCAGAGCTCCTGACCTCGAACGTGTTGCACTTGCGTGTTCGGCCCTTCCAGGTGCCCGTTCGCCGGCGGAAATGCGACCGCTTGTGGGTCGGCCGGGTGCGGTCCAAGGTCGAACGACTTGCCGTGCGATCGCGGTGTTTCCGGGCTTCCCGGTAAGCGAGACACTGGAGTACGATCCGGGTCCCATTCGTAGGTGAGCATCGGATGAGGTTCATAGATTGATCCAGCGTCGGCGGCTGCACGGAATCAGCCCCTGAACACTTCACACCCCAACACTGCACCGAACGCATATACTCACTGACGATCATCGCCGAACCGCACCAGACCCCATGCTCGTCGATCGTGTCAAAACGCAACAGCGGGCCGGCCATGAACTGCAGATGCGGGTTCATCCGCGCCGTCTTGAACCTGTGCGTGCGCTCGACGGCGCTCAGCTTGGTGAGCTCGCTGGCGCGGATCGCGGCGGGCTGACCGGGCCCTTGGGGGTAGTTGGGCAGCCACGCGGCAGGGACCTCGCTCACGGGCCGCGCATCCTCGTCGCGCTGGTGGCGGGCCTCGAAGCCGGGGAGGTGGAAGCGGTGGTCCTTCGGCGGCAGCGGCGGTGGCGGCGCGACTCCCGGGTCGATAGTGGGATGGAAGCCGCCGATGAAGCCCTCGTTCATGGGCATTGGCTCTTGCTCTACGGGCGTGTACATGCCGTCTGGTCCGCGCATATGAGGGCGTTCGAGCTCCTGCGGCTCCGGGTTAGCTACGCTCCGAAGTCATCGCTTTTGTTAAATTGTGGCTTGCCTTGCGAGCCTGATGCCTTGCGCGCCATCCTGGATTGTCCATCTCTTTCTAGGTCGTTGACGGATGTCAAGTATCTCAGCAGTTACGCCGTAGGGAGCCAACGTATTTAGGCAGGGTGAACGTTGATCTTGAGGCGTATAACAGGGTGTCGCAGGTGTCCCAGCACACGAGCACAGCACCGGGGCGATGTTGCAGTCGGCAGGAGGCAAGTACCCTGGTACAGCAGACAGCAGTGGAATGGTTCGCTCTGCGCAAAATTGACCGCAGGACCGCCGCAACGATGACAGCTCCGAGAGGATCAACGGGACGACGGGACGACGGCGAGCTTGTTTCGCTCCAAAGTTGCCTTTCCCAGCCACCATCAGGCCGGAAAGACGTGAATGGAGTCACGTGTAGCCAGGGAGAGAGCACAGCTTTCCCGATCCGCTATTTTTGGGCGACGTCGGCACGTTCGGGGCGGCTTATCCCCAAAGAGGGTGCCCGCCAAGTGTCCGCTCACCCTCCTCGATCTCCGCAGGCAGAGAAACACCATCTTTCTGGAAGAAGGTAACAGCCGACGCAGGGATCGCCGCACGGTCGCCGGCCGGGCACACGTTACACAAGCAAATCCGTCCCCCTTCGATTCTCGTCAACCATTCCTCGATCCTCCTCAGGGGATAGAGTAACCTTGCCTGTCGGCTAAATGCCGAACCCGAACTTAGTACTATGCGCTGAGCGATGAGCGATGACTGCTGCTCATAGGCTTCTGCCTCGTCGCTGGCCAGAAGACATCGTCACCGGAGTCATCATGCATCACGGCTAGCTGGTGCTTGTCTCATTCTTCTCCTTTCGCTACCTCATTAGCTCGTCGGCTCCGACGATATAGCACAAGTACTATACTCCAGCAGCCGAAAGCTTCGGTTTGCCTGATATGGCCGTCTTGGAACTTGAAGCTCGCAAGCCTCCAAGGGATCTCCGGCTCGAAGTTGAAACCTTCGTCTTCTCTGCTACTTTAGCTCTTTGCATTGCGAGGCTCAACTCACGCCTTCGAGTGCTTCCATGCATCATACTCGGATCTACCGCGAAAGCCTGCTTCTTGTCTACCCCGCTACAGCCACTGGTACCACATCGGAACTTCGGTCGTTCCTTCGGTTCTACATATGTCGATGACACGATGCCTTCCACATCCGCCAGGGGCCCGACAATACACCGCTTCGCGCGCGCACATTATGCTCTTGGGTCTGCGCTGAATCTCTCAAGCGAGGGTTCGGTGCTATTCGAGGATGTTCCTGAATGCTAGATATAGCGCTCTTGATCTGACTCTATCAAGTGGGCAGTTATGTTGCTCCGGTGTGATCATAGATGTGCCTCTGTGGTATATCGGGCCGAACAACATGACGCTCTTGGTTCCGGGGAAGAGTTTGCAGTGCATCTCAGGGTTTTGCCAAGATCCAGCCTTTTTCTTGTTTCCTTGAATCATCATCGTCACCTTCGACCATGTTCAATTCTGGCCTACCGAGAAACAGGTATTCTGTGTGCTTCCGAATGCAGGCGCAGCGCTTACATCCCAATTATCTTCTTTGTCTTTACCTCCTACGACCTATCTCAACGTTGTCGCTCACCGAAATATGGGTTTTCCAGTTTGCATTTGCATCCAGAGCCTCTGGCAGGCCAGACCTCTCCGATCGGCTCTACATCTCAATCACCGTGCTATCAATACTGTGTCTTTTGATGTTCATTGTTCAGGGTCGTTCCTCGGCGATATCCAGTACCAGCATTCTCTCAAGACTTTCTCCTTCCAAGCGCACACCGGTAAGCTGGCTCATTTCTCAGTGACGCACTCAGATCTGAACGATGACGCAGATTCTGGCCTCCGATACCATATAAGGTCTTCAGCTACTCTCGTTCGCCACGCTCCGTTTTCCCTCCCCGATTGTCTTCGTCTGATAACGAATATCACGAGAAAACGCCGATACTTATCTCGAACCCGAAGCACCAGATCGAACGTGCCTTCGCACAGCCTATCTACGCCTGCGCCTTCGTATACGAACTAGAACGATGACGCACATGCGAGCTCGAGCTGATGTCGGCGACCCCGGCCTCTTCACTTCCCTCCGTCCGCTACTTTCCTTCGTCTCAGACTTGAAATCAAGGTACTTGGCTCTGGTATAGCGCCCATCTTTGGCTTGTTATCGGATCATGGCTATTTTACCTCGGCCTGTCCTCCCGTCTTCGTCTTGTTGTCATCGGATAAAGATGCCACCCAGAACACGCTACGCGGCTGCGCCAAAACCTAAGGCAAACTAGACAAAAATTTCGCGTTTCTCCGCGATCTAACCTAGTCTGACTGTGCATGCGGATCTGTGAAGGCGACCCTGACCGTGATGCTCAGTAGCATGCAAGTGCCCATATCTGCATCTGCGCCGCCCACGCCTTGCGACGGACCTATCAACGAAACTCCGTTGCGTCGCGTCAGAACGCGGCGCTGGCCTTCCCACCGGACCTTGGCATGACCTATCACCTATCGCCAGCACGCCAGCATCGCGCGACCGCCTGCCTTTCAGGTTTACTACGGGACCTCATGATCGGCCGATCCGTAGCCAACCAGACAGCCAAACTCGCTCACGGGATGTCGTTATGTACCACCCTATGCCCAAGTCTCGTATAGCATCAACGACAGATAGCCGGAGTTCATCAAGCTCCGACAAGATGCTTTGCTGCTTGCTTACGGGATTCACTTGCATGTGCTTTCCGATTATTGGTCCTCGATTATCCTTCCTCGAACACACCCACGCCCGTCCACCATCACGACTCACGACCGTCGTACGTCTCTCGTCGGACCGTCACCGACAAAGCAAAGCAAGGCTGTGGATAGATCTGCCCCTCTCCATGCGTTGATCCAAGTCGCGGCCAATCATCGGGGATTACACATCCCAGCCCTAACGCCGTTTACCCCGCTCGCGTACGTACGCCGTAGAATATACGCCTCGCCCTTCCCCGCACCTGCCGGCTTCTTCGCACTTCGTCCTTCTATCTTCGGATCTCGTTTCGACGCTTTTGGCGGATATAAACGGGGTCGTACCACTACCGCCGGCGCGCTGCTTACCATCTCCTGATCTGGGCGGACCCCCCAACGTTCACATCTGACACACGAAAAAAAAACTGGATTATATCCTCGCGCTCGCACGCCCCCTTGACCCTAGCTTATGTATACGACGCGGACGCCTTTATCTTCCGCGCCATATTCCCCCTTCCTTCGCGGAGGAATCTTGATCCGTCGCGTGACGGCATGGGGTCCCGTTCCTCTTCCCGCTGTGTGGGGAAGCATGGGCATGGGCCGCCATCAGATTTGCCCTCGCACCCCGCGAATCCGAACAAACGAATGCGCCGGCGACCAAGGAGAACACGCACAGTCGCACGCGCACGCCCAACCCTTCCAAAGCTGTTGCAGCGCTGGGGCCTTGCTGGAGGTTTTGCGTTTCGGGGGCAAGGGGTGGACATCGGCAGTTTCCGAGACGCCACTGGGTGGGTGGGGGGGTCCGGGTCAGGCCTTAACGAAACTTTGCTACCTTCCATATATGGCAGGTGGCGGTGCATTTTCACGGTCTAGTGATGGCAAGTTGCCGCCAAGTTGAGTTGGAATTGATTTTGACTCAGCTCAGCTTGAAAATTGACTTAGCTTGTGGGTTTCGACTTGGAATTGCGTGAACTTGTGAGTTGGTCAGGCTACTTACTGCCGTTTGCAAAAGAGATGGCGTGTCGTGACTTCCGCGCATTACTTGACCTCCCACTGCCACGCAGAGCATATCGGCTGTAGCTTGACAACGGCGACAAATTTCACCATGATTTCTGAGACAAACTTGTAGCACTCATTGACCTGCAGGTGCAAGGATGTATACCTAGCCATTTCTGATAAGTCAAACAGTTCGTGTGCCATGAAAGGGTTCCCAGAGCTCTATCACTCGCTGTTTGGTCATACAGAGTTTGTCGGTGCCCCAGTTGGTTCAGGAAGTTACTTATCATGTATATTGAGGTGCATGTTGATCTGATAGTAATAACCCTTGTGAATGTAGAGCAGTCTAACCCTTGTTGCATTCCTATGTCCCCAAACTCTCATACTCGGATAGAAATCCTTGATTGTTGAAAGGTGTGGACTGGTAGAGATGCCTGCCACAAAGATATACATGCTCGCAATCAAACATTGACATGGCTTGGGTAGTGAAGTGGTATGATGTGCATGTACATCACCTCTTGTGTCAGGTGCTGCAATCGATTCTGAGTGTAGTAGCTTTTTCTATCAACTTTTACTCACCAGACCATGTGTTTGTATATTTCTGGAAGGCTTCTCAGACTCCTCTGGAGCAACTCTAAGTTTTCTACGAGTAGATATGGGGCTGTGTGCAGAAAGTCGGGATGACTGAACACACCGTGCTCCTCAGAGTCTTGCGACCGTGGGAACACATATCCATATTAGGAAGGTTGGGGTGGGTGGGTGGGGGTCCCAACACCCTTAACGAAACTTTGATACTGGACGTCAAAAACTTTGTTAATGTCTACCCCTTGTTCGGGGGCCACCTTCAAATGAGGACGTCCTGATGAACTTCTGGATCTGAAGGCAAGAGCGATAATTCCCTAATATATGATCCTCAGTCAAGTATAAGGGAAAAGACTGAGTTACGCATGTAGTACCTAATATATGACTACAGAGGCATCATAAGTACGTTAGGACATAAGGGACATGAAGGGACATGGTAGACTCACTCCTCAGTCAAGTATAAGGGAAAAGACTGAGGAGATGCGAAGGGAGAGCTCCTGGTATATGTGAGGGAGCTCGAGGGAAGCATTTCCATAAAGGGAACAAAAGAATGTGCCTAAAGCGGTAATATCAATCAGGAAAGATAGAAGATCGCAAAGAAGAACACAAGAATAGAACATGTGAGAGAATCTGTACATAATAGGTAACGAGTGTGTGATATTTCCATATTTGTACGATATACAAAGTTTAACACTCCCGCTTGTTCAAGTTGCGATCGAAGGAACAGAAGGAA